GCCAGCTCAGCAATGTCGAATTGGGACGACAACACATGTGGACAGCTATTGAGAGTACAATGACGACCGCCCAAATCTGGTAAGCGGTGCATAATCCATCGCGGGACATGAATGGTGCCGGCAGTGCGAGTTGGTCNGAGTCATTGCCGGAATAGACAAGCCCAAGCTGGTAGGGCGCCGATAGACCAAGTTGCCATCTTCCGGACGATTCGAGCAGTCTGACCAGCCGCACGGCACAGATATCATATGATGCAAGCNCGATAGACATCTGCTGAGTGATTTGAGATCGTTAGCTGAGATATGACAGAAGTGGCTCATGTCTATCGAGTGGTCTTGCTCGGCGATGACTCGATGTGGTGTGCATGTGCGATGGGTGTGGTGCATATACTGGCAGGCGAGAGCGTCTGTTCTTCTAATCGCTGCTGTTCTCACTGGGGTAGATAAGATGGTCTTGCTGGCAGTTCTCCAGCCTGACGTGTTGCCTCGTAGCTAGTCGCCAGTGAAAAATGATTGCTGGCTAGTGTCCCACGCTCTCTGACTATCGGCATTGTGATGCATGATCTGACCATGTCTAATCAGTGGAAGTAGCTCGCGGTGTCTACAGCTGCTGTTTGCGGTTTAAAGGCAGATGAGCAAAGTGACTCGGCGTGACTTGGCAGCTCGTGGCAGTCGTGTCGACTGGACTTTGCAAGATATGCATCACTCGACGATACATGATCGGACTGGACGACTGAGCGAGAAGTTGCACAAAGAAGATACAGCGGAAGGCCAATTGATCTGTATGATATATGTCGACGATCAAGAAGGATAGCACCGCTCTGCCATTGTCGAGTGGTGGAATGCCAGGGGATTTCTTCAATTTGCTTTGCCAAAACTCAATATTGCGTAATTCATGGGAAAGTTATTAATCACCCGNATATCTGATTGGCGTGATTTATCTAGGCGCGTTGGCAGGACATTCGCTTGACCACAGCGACTTTAGCGGAGATCCTCATACTCTTTACTTTGTCGTATTGCTGCATTTCATCGGNACGANATCCAGTCGCCATCACTGTAACGCGACACAACTTGCAGTTTGAGGCATCGCCGCAAGACTCCCTGCAATAGCTACGACGAATCAACGGGACGGAGAGTCAGTCTGTGCCAGACAACTATCAACAGAGATGTGTTCGTACTCCGGAGCAGATTGAACTATCTTCACTCGCGATACTAGCTCAGTTAGAGAGCTCGATGTTGCCTGTCTGGCCGGCAGTACGACTGAAGCCGTACCTTGAGACGGTACCATACAGCAATAGTCTCCAGAATGGTATCTAGCGGACGATTGATGCATTGATTGCTCGAGCGGATGTCGACAGCAGTAAATGATTTCCCGCTGCTGAGATGATGTTGACATGATGGTCATCGCTGCGTTGAGTGGGCTCATGCAGGTGATATGTTTCATCAGATCATTGCAAGCAGTAGACTATCACCAGCTGTAAGTCTCAAAGACAGGCCTGGCACAGTGTCTGATAGGTGACACGGCGAGCTGTACGGATGACAAATGGCTTGCTGGGCGAGATCACCTTTCACCATATCTTTAATGTGCATTCGACATTATCAGAAGGATAGTCTTCAATTTCGGTTGTTCGCCTCGACCATTGCTGTCACTTCCTGGGGCGTTCCTTTGCCTGCGATGAGGTGCTCACTTGTTGCTAAATTGTTATATGACATATTCAAAAGACCTAGCTACCTTTCGCTTTCAACGTGCCATCGGGAATATGGATGAGATCAAAGACCATGGTTGCTTGTAGCGAATATTCTTCAGCTTGAGCTGCTCGTTGATGTGCATGAAAACAGGAACATGTATCAATGAAAATCACATGCGCCAGCAAACAGATCGATGTGACAGATTCGCTTAGTGTGCATCCGCTTGACGATGATGACAGCGTGATCTGTCAGCTTGCAGTCTCCACNCCACTCGCGCGAAAGGTNTGATGGTGGCTGAGTCCGGATTGCTCTTTTCTGACCAACAAGTGGTGATAGCGCGTGGCTGGGACATGTCGAGCAGCGAATGCAAAGACGGGAGTAGTCGCAGAGAAATCAAAAACCGCATCCATTGAGGCTCATCATGCACATCGAATAGCAGAGATGACACTGAAGGATCAAACACGATTGCCGATAAGTACGAGACAAGTAGCGCAAGGCCTAGACGTTATGCGCCAGACTGTCGTGAGAATTGCCAAAGGCATACGGTGTCGGCATGATCGTCATTCTCGCCATCAGCTTGGAGCTGGCAGACGACACTGGTGAGTTTGTGATGAGACGTTGAGGCTGTGATGCTAGACGACTCATTGGCTGCAGATCTGCTGGCGCGTGATCAATCGGACAAGGCGCGCNGATCACCGAACTCGCCCGAGCAGAGATAATTANCACGTCTGTGCTTTTTCTCCCTTGCGCGCCAGTCTCGACCAGCACGACAATACAAGTCCGACACTGTCTTGCGAGGATACTTGATAGCACCCAGAGATCACGACGATCGAGGAAGGACAGTCTATGCAAGGAGATGCAGCGAACGAAGAGTCTTGGCCGGCAACATTTGGCTAGTCGTGGTTGCTCCACGCTGTCATTTGGAGGCCTGCTCGCTCGTCAACGACGCTCTGGCGACCAAGAAACAAGATCGACATGCCCGTTCAGACCCTTTGCGAAAGCTGTGATGATCTGGAGCTAGCTCGAGGCCATTCTCGCAAATTGGTCGTTTTCGATGAGGAGCTCCTTTTCTACGCGACTAGCAGCGAGAGAGCAACTGCCAATGACCCTTTGGAACTGTTGAAGACGCTTACGAATATCGGGGGAAGGCGCCTTCACTCGTCGAGGCGAGAATGTGGCCAACAAGAAGACAACAGCCGCTTCAGACGCTCTAATTGGGAACATGCCCGGGACCGCGACCCTTAGGCAGGGGTGGTGAACTGTCGTCTGATGGGGAATTGCGCGTGAGGTGACTCNAGCGGACGAGCGCAAGCCGACGAGATTTGACCTGCTGTGCTCGCGGCTGTCAAGTTGAGGCGCGCTCGGTCGTTCAGACGAGAAGCTGGTCAGCAAGAAGACGACAACCGCCTCTGGATCTTGCTTTGCCTGTGAACACTGGAGCCCGGAGGTAGCTTTGCAAGCTATCAGCGACGGACAACTTCAGAGGAGGTATTTGTAGCGAGCAAGGAGTATCCGCCTGCGACAAGTGCTCTGCCGCATGCGGCCAGCCTTGGAGGCTTGCTCGCTCGTCGGACCAGCTCGTGGCTCGACAACGTGCCTGGTCAAATGTCCAGTGCGCATAGCAACGCGGTATTCGCCCTATAGTCAACACAGCTGGCAACCTTGTGAGTCTTTGATCCCTTTCGTGCTCTCGCTCTCAAGTCGCCCGCAAATAGCGCTCGACTTCACCTTCGCCGGATGTGCCACTCAAACGCCTTCATTTGCTTGTCTGCACCTGCGCGATTCAATGGGCTGTGCTGCGCAACAGTACTACGCTCTATACATATTCCTTTGAGGGCTCGTCGCGAGTGCCGGGCAGCGAGACGGCGATTGTCTTGTCATTCTGTTCATGAGCTATCGAGGTTTCAGATGCTCTTGTAATCCGAGGAGGAAAGAATTGGTTGATATTGACAGCAAAGCTGTAAGCAGCCTATCAGTGAGTGAAGAGAAGACACGACGCAAGCCACTGACAAGATGAGGGTGGCAAGCCATTCTACGGCCCCGGTGAGAATGTAAAACACAATCTTGCCTGAGCGTGAAAAGTTGGCTGGTCGGTCGAGCGTGCTGCCCAGCTTGTAAGCTGCGGTGATGATCTAAACAATGAGCAAGGTCAGCAATGCTGAAACGTCGTCCGGCTTACGTACAAGCAAAGCACACTGGATTACGAGTACGACGACGGCACGGATCTGAAGCAGACGAGCCGATATGAGATTGACTGCGATGATTGCCGAGGTGCTGATGGCACCGATGATGAGTGCAGCGTTGGCGATTCTGTATTGTTTGATACTATTCATTGTGCTCTGACTTTCGTTTGCGCTTATGTCTGTCGAGGCGACGATGCCAAGGATGAGTGCGACCGTGATAGCAAGGCGACAGAGAAGAAGAACGCGCTGTTGAAGCCGATTCTCTGCATGCTGAGATGCTCCTTTGCTGTATTTGCCCGCCACACGTCTGCGCGAATCAATCAGACCCGACGCACCACCAATATCGCTAGACTGACGTCAACAGCGCTGGGATGGGCTCGCAAATTGCACTGAAGCCCTGGTGTAGTGTGTGGTCAGCACCAATCTCATCTTAATCCTAACCACGAACAGCGAGGAGCAAGATCTCAGAGGCTTCGTATATGCCCGTCGAAGTACTGCCATTTGCGATCGCCGCGCGCATGCCATAAGCCACTGCTTGTGTGAGACAGAAGATCAAGGGTCGAATCTGTAGGCTGATCAGCCGTCTACACAGGCTATATCGCGAATGGAGTCACCAAGATTCTTGTTCGAGTTTCTTTGACGACAAGTCGGAAGATGCATATTGGGATCAACCTGCTCGTATCTCAGCAACCTGACGAAGAAGGTCTGGCGAAAACGCACACTGCGAAAGCAACGGTGAAGATGATAGATGCTGCAAAGTCTTGTGCGTTGTTCGGAATGCCTCCGCTCAGCGAGGCGAATGGCGTGTTAGACATGTTGACACCAGCAATAAGCAGAATTGTCGTATCAGACAGAACTTCTCGTGCTCGGAGAATCGGCACACAGTTTCTGAGGAATTCAGACTGAACAGCATGTTCTTATAGCCACGGACTGGTCTGCGCAGAGAAACAAGAGCCGCTGCGCCTGAGGCCCGGCGGCCCAACAGCGGCGCGCGCCGTCGGAGTAATTTGCTCCGTCGGAGCGAGATATCTCGCCAATCCGTCGCTCCGAACTTCCTTTCTGCCTTCCCATCCTGCTCCGAAGACTTATATAAGTCATGCATGCACCTCTTGTCATTCAAAGAGCATCGTGTGCGAAACAGCCAGTCAGGTCAAGTCTACAATATGGACGCCAACAGCTCGCAGTCGCAGCTCGCGCGAGGCCTTCGGAAACACGAGCAGCCTTCAATACTTTACTTTCAGACTCGGCCGGATGCCTGCTTGACAGATCCGCCTGCGTACGAAGACCAATACTACAGCACGACCAGGCAGACTATGACACGATCGGGACCGCTCGAGTGGGTTAGTGGGCAAGACTTCTCCGGTTCAAGTCGAACTATCGCATTGCCTCAAACGAGCTATGGCCAAGGCGCGCCTTTCCTTCGTGGATACAGCTCCGAGCTGTGTCAGTTGCTTGTGCTTTCTACTCGTATGTTTCTGACCCGACTTTGCAGGCGAAGCGGGTGTGCCAAAGGACGGATACTTTCGCTGGTTGGACGCGCTCAACGTATCAATGGTACCCAACCCGGAAGCTCAGATAATTGGCAAGGCGGCTGGCATAGCTTCGTGGTTTGTGTGAGTTCTTCAGAGGCATTGAGATTTGACGACTTACGATGCGACATGTAGACCCGGCGTGGGCGGCATCGTGTTGGGTCTCAGTTCTATTGGCGCTCTGATCGGTAGTGGCATACAACTGAAGACAGTCACCGCAACCTGTTTGTCGCAAGGCAACCGCTCACTGTTCAATCCCGCTGGCTTCGAAGCAGTCATCTGCTCAACGCACGATTTGAATGTCCATTTGGGCCTCGCAAATCAAAGCCAGGCTTGCGAGTCATTCCAGACGCCCTACCAACAGCGCTTGCAGAACTATGGAGCTTTGTTGTCTTCGCTGACGACAGTACTGCCTCCTGCCACCGGAACGGGGCGCAGCGATCCATCAGCGCAGCTCGGCGCGAGACTCAGCTCGAGAAGTCGGTCAAAAGCACAGCGCAAGGCGGCTAAAGATTTGGCAAATGGGAAGGTCAAGAAGGCGAGTAAATTTGAAGCGAGGTTATGTTGGCTACTCATTCGTCCGCTCGAAATGTCTGTATTTTGATTACATATTCGATGATCACATAGAAAGTTAGGACGATCGCTCAGATTCGAGCGTCTGCTTGAGCTCGGCCTTCTTATCATCTCCTACATTGGGGTTCTGTGCATTAATGTCAGCGTTGTTTGCGAAAAATTTAGGATATGCATACGTTAATAGCAGCCTTGAGACCACCAAGTCTCTGGTTCTCGTGACCACCATCGTTGGGTGCAGGGGTCTCACCCTTGTCAAGGGCCTCGCGAATCTCTTGCTTACGAGAGTCGGATGTATTCTGTTGGAGAATTAGTCCGACCGATCGACTGGAAGGGAAAACATACCGGGTTGCTCAGGGCAGCCTTGAAACCGCCTTCGACTTGGTTAGATGTCATGATGTAAATTGGTATGTAAGATGGATCAAAGTCGAGATGTAGCTGATGTGTGGAGTCGATGAGAGGTTAAGGACACTTTTATATACCATGAGAGGACGTCATCGTTGTTCTTGACATTGACGATCTATGCATCGCGAGTCGAACGTCATGTCGTGCTTGAAACCGATGAATCGTGACGATTTGGCCGACGACGGGGCGGTTAGCAGAGAAAACGACCGATTTCTCCGGGGATCATGCGACCAGAACTGAAAATGATATGACGCGACGCGCCGTAGACGAGCATCGAATGACGCATCAATCGAGATATACTCTCCGAAATGGGCTCGCGGCTATCGACGGTGTCCCAGGACACCATACGATCGACAGGCTGTCGATCGGCACCCGGATAGATATCAGGCTTTCTCAATTCCTGGAGCTGGCTCTGTTTCGTCCTTTACTGTTGACTTTGCTGGGCTCTTGAAGAACGAATGGAGTGTCGTCTTCTGAACGGGAAACTTGCTTCTGCTCTTCCTTTCCGGCGACACTGCGTCTGGGTCCTTGATGCCGATCTCCATGCCTTCTGCGCAGAGTTTCTCGAATTCGACAAGTGGAATTATCCCGCCCTGTCAATGCATTTCAGCAAATTCTCACAGGTGATACGAGGACTCGCTGTTGCTTCTTTATGTCCCCGAGCAAAATCGTTGCCGACTCGATCGAGAAAGCCATCGATTCTGCTGCCATACTCAATAAGTAGCTCGATGAGATTCGGTCGCTCCTCGTCCGGTAGGCTCCTGAGCGAGGCGCATATTCTGCAGCTGAATGACATGATATCTGCGGAAGGATTGTGACCTGCGTTCGCGACCTGTGCGGCGCGCTAAGATACTGAACGCTAGGCCAAATATTAGCTAGCTTGCCATAATCATCTGCAACTTCTTTGCGCGAAGGAAGCCTGCCCATCGAGTGGCAATGACGGGATGTACTGTGCAGCAGTCAATGCGAGGCTGCTGGTAAATCGGGCTGTCAGCTGAGCTTACCTTGGTATGGAGAGTCAATGCGCAACAATGCAACCCGCCCATCTTTGGAAAATTTGGGAGCTGCGTGTGTGCATCGCTCCACCTCTTCATTGACCTGGAGCCGCGCCAATTTGAGGGTGTTGGAGCTGTTGATGTCATCTGGTGATTTCGCTTGGAGCAAGACCGACCAAGCGCTTACGACATCGTATTCGGCGGTTCTCCTGGGAGCGTTGAGGGCGCCGACAGCGTCACTGATCTTCTTCTTGCTCTCACGCTTGATAGACGCGGCCAGCATCATCATCTCAGTAGAGACTGGCCAAACGCCCTGTGGATCACCGAACTTGACTTCTGATGGTCCCAGATCGCCAAAGAGACCGAGCACAGCAACCCAATCATTGCCAGCGGGTGCCTGAGGATGAAGAGGATAGCACAGTAAGTATGACAACAGCGAGCTTGTCGCGATCGGCTGTGCGTCGCACGCAGTCAGTACTTGGGCGCCATCTGGCCATTCGCTGGACTGGTGATGATCGATGATGAGACACTGCACATCGATTTGCGCTTGTTTGCAGTGTTCGGCATCGTAAAGTGGCGGTCCTGGTCTGCTCCCTTGGTCGACAACGATAACGCTGACATCGCTGGCTTGAGTGGCACAGATTGCATCGGTGAGCCTCGCTTTCTCATTGGGTGTGAAGACGCTGGTGCCTTTGAGTAGGAGATGTACGATGATACGATCGAGGGGCATGCCGAGCAAGGCAAGTGTGTGGTACAGCACACGACAGCTCGACAGTCCGTCGGCATCTTTGTCGGGCACAATGACGACTGCCTGGCTTTTTGGCGAGCTCGTTGCCCGTCGAAGGAACTCGCGAGCGGCAGTCATCTGAGTGAAGGGCGCCGGCCAGTCACGCCACTTGCCAGGCGCACCAAGCTCATCTGTCGCGGTCACGTCCTCTAGCTTGATCTTCTTGGTCGGTGACACGGGGCCAGGCGTTGGCTTTCGCTTCCCTTTTGCCGGCATGACAGCCGCAGTGCTGCTACTCTTGCTACGTCTGACTAGACTGAGCATACACGGCCCAGCGCGCCGTCCTGTCGCTCAGGCAGAAAGGATACAGATGCTCGCAAGGAGGATGTGTGGGATGTGTCGCGTTCCTGCAGGGAGCCGTGCAAAGATTGCTGGACAGCCCGAGACGCCATGAAGTACGTCCTCGTGTCTGGTGGTGTCAGTAGGTCCTGCCAAGGTTCGTCAAGCGCTGGAGCTGACAGTCAGACAAGTCTCTGGCATCGGCAAGGGCGTCATCGCTTCGAGCACGGGTTTGCTCCTCAAGACACTCGGCCTCAAAGTGACGGCCATCAAGATAGATCCCTATCTCAACTGCGGCACGTTCTCGAGATCATCACGGGCAGGTGGACCCATTGATATCTGCTGCGCTCATCCTGTAGATGCGGGAACAATGGGTCCACTCGAGCATGGGGAATGTTACGTGCTCGACGACGGCGGTGAGGCAGATCTCGACCTGGGCAATTATGAGCGCTATCTCGACGTCACCCTCTCTCGTGAGAACAACATCACGACCGGCAAGGTCTATAGCAGCGTCATAGACAAAGAGGTGCGTGCCTCTTTTCGCGGCTGTGACTGGCGCCAATGACGCGCACAGCGACGCGGTGACTACCTCGGCAAGACCGTCCAAGTCATCCCTCACATCACGGACGCCATACAAGACTGGGTACAGCGGATAGCAAAGATTCCGGTCGACGAGACTGGCGAAGAGCCAGACGTCTGCATCATTGAGGTCTGTGCGAATCGGCTGACGCGAAACGATGTCCATGCTGATCTGCAAGGGCGCTAGTTGGGAGGCACAGTAGGTGACATCGAATCAATGTCGTTCGTCGAAGCCATGCGGCAGTTCCAATTCCGAGTAGGCGCAGAAAAGTCAGCCCGGTCTCCAGTCGACATGTCTGCTCAGGCTGACCTTGCGCATCCAGCTTCGCGTTGATACACGTCTCCCTCGTTCCTCTCATTCATGGCGAGCAAAAGACCAAGCCCACTCAGGCAGCCATCAGGGATCTGCGCGGTGCTGGTCTCACGCCAGACCTGGTATGCTGCACCCTGCGCGCCCTGAGAAGACAAGCTAACGACTGAGCAGATCGCTTGCCGATGCGAGCAACCGCTCGAGCGATCAGTGACCCAGAAGATCTCCATGTTCTGCCACGTTGGCCAAGAGCAAGTCTTGGGCGTGCATGATGTCTCCTCGCTATATCATGTTCCATTGTTACTCAAAGAACAAGGTCTCGTCAGCTTTCTACAGAAACGTCTCAACCTGGCGAGTGTATCGGTCGGCAAACAGGCCATAGATCGAGGTCTCACCCTCATGACACGCTGGCGTGAACTCACCATTGCGTACGCTGCCGTCTTTTGTCGCTAACCAGATGCTGACACGAATTTGGATAGCTACGATCGATTGTTCGACAAGGTTTCTATCGTCCTCGTTGGCAAATATACCTCGCTCAAAGACTCGTATGCGTCCGTTATCAAATCGCTCGAGCATGCTGCCATGCGATGCGGCCGAAAATTGCAACTAGAAGTCAGTGTCCAGCTATGAGATCGACCATGCTCATGCGCGAGACGAACTGTAGTGGATAGACTCATCGGATCTCGAGTCAGACGCCCAGCATACTCGTCCAAGGGAGTTTCATGCCGCATGGCACGCGCTGTGTTCTGCTCAAGGCATTCTGATCCCTGGCGGCTTCGGTGTCCGCGGTACGGAAGGCATGATCGTCGCCGCACAGTGGGCAAGAGAGAAGGAAGTGCCATTTCTCGGAATCTGTCTCGGCTTCCAGATTGCCGTCATCGAATTTGCACGCGCTGTCGTCGGACTCAAAGGTGCTTTGCTGGCCATCTTGATCATGGATCGTCTGACAACCGGCCAGATGCAAATTCGAGTGAACTGGACGAATCGGTGCAACACCCCGTGATCATCTACATGCCAGAGATCTCAAAGACTCATCTTGGCGGCACTATGCGTCTCGGCTTACGGCCGACTGTGTTCCAGCCCAATACTCAATGGTCTGTCATCAAGAAGCTCTATGGAAGCGAGGAGACCATCTGGGAGCGTCACCGACATCGCTACGAGGTCAATCCGGCGTATGTCGAGCAGATCGAACGCGCGGGACTGATCTTCACGGGGCGAGACGAAAAGGGCGAGAGGATGCAAGTGGCGGAGATCAGAGGTGATGATTATGCTACACCAGTGTGCCGGTCACTGACACTGTCCCAGATCATCCCTACTATGTCGGCATGCAGGCTCATCCCGAATTTTGCACACGTCCCTTGAATCCCTCGCCCCCCTTTCTTGGCTTCATTGCCGCTTCTTGTCGATGCCTATCCGAGCAGCTGGAACGACAGAAAGGCTACGTTCAACCTCATCCGGAGCGTCACCTCAAGTTTCCCAGCCCACTTAATTCGCCTGCAGTGTCAAAGGATCTCTCGCTGCCGTCGGTGACGAAGAGTGTGAACGGCTTGCATTTGACAGTCCCTCCCTCGCCGCAATGAGTGGGCCGTGGTGTCTTGTAGATTGTGTATAGCTGTATGCAACAGGAATGACATGCATGCGTGCGTGTTTATACAGCCAACAATGAGTAATCGTGGCGCGCGATGGTAGCAAAGGGTCATCGTGCGTTGCTTGACTTGGTGTTGCCGGTGCCGATGTATAGATACGCACACGGCAACAGCAGACAAAACAGTCCGCAGGTTATGATGACCATCGCGTCGAAGCCGAGCTCGATCTGCAGATGCTGAAGCAGCTGGCCAGCTAGAATGGGACCGATAAGCGTGCCCAGAGCAAAAGCGATGTTGAACAAGCCATATACTGCCATTTTGTAAGCAGCGATGGCAAGTGGATGACAGGAAGACGGACCATGTGCATAGCCTGCGCCTGGAATATCAAGAACACACAGGCCAAAGTCGAGGGACAGAGGTGAGACGCCCAAGCCCAAGCCGGCGCCCGCAAGGACGAGCATGATGATGAAAGTTGCGAGTGAGATCGTGTGTACAGCGAGGACGGCAATCCAGGGGACTGCGCCGAGGTAGCCGAGAATGAGCGGCCATCGAGGCCCATACCTGTCTGTCAGAACGCCCGATAAGGGCCCGGTGACGAGACCGGGCGCAATGACGGCGATAAACACTAGGCCTGCACCCTGAGAGTTGAGACCGTATCTGCCAGTACGTCAGCTGGCTGAAGGGGCCTGTCTCGGATGGGCTCACCTGTGATTGAGCAAGAGTGTCTGGGCAGCATCAAAGAGACCGCCGGTCAGGATGCCGAGCCAGACCGTGACGGCGACCAAGGTCATGGCACGCTTCGAGGTGAGGAGTCCGAGGGCAGCCTTGCCGGGTGAGACAGAGACGATAGTGGGTAGGGTGGCATCGCCCTTTTCGAGTCCCTCTGCCGAATTGTCATGGGTAGGAGTGCCCCCAACCTCTAGCTCGCCGCGGTGAGCATCAATATAGAGTCTCCAGCGATTGGCGTCTCGTTTCTCGATGAGTGCGCATCGTAGCGTCAAGTCGATGAGAACCAAGATGATGGCAAAGATGAAGGGGGCATAGTAACCCAGATTGGTGTAGAGTACGCCGCCCAGCACGGGCCCGATGACGCTACCGACGGTGAGTCCCAGCATGACATAGCCTAGCGTGGTGCCGAGTTTGGCTTCCGGGCATGTATCGATGATGAGAGGGAGCGATAAGATCCAGAGCCCGCTGCCCGAACAGCCTTGCAGCACTCGGGCGAGGACGAGGAGCCAGTAGCTACGTGCGAGCATGAAGAGCACGAGCGAACACGCCATGAAGCCGAGGCTGCATATCAGAGGCCACTGGCGAGACGGCGTGAGCTCGCCTACGTATGCGACGGGCGGGCTGGAGATGATCATGCCTCCTGCATAAGCAGCGACAAGCCAGCCCGTCAGACTCGCCACGTCTTCGTAGCCCAGGTCACGCAAGCGGAAGGGCACGATGGGAACGACGAGGCCGTATATCGCGAGATCGGTGAGGAGGCCAAAGAAGACAGCGAAGCCGACAAAGGGCACAGAGGCTCGAAATTCGAGGCATCTGGGCGGCGATCGCTTGGCTTGCCTGGCGAAGAGCCATCGTTTGTAGGGCGGGATAGCCGGTACTTCTGCCTGGTTCAGCTCTGTCTTTGCGGGACTCGTTGCGCCATAGCTCATCGATCTGATCTGACGGTGCTGCGCGAAATCTACAGCGTGCGCTGATGATCGACGTCGGGTCTCTTCGACTTTTTTTTTTAAGCGGACACAACGCTGTCTGCCATCCTTGCGACGCTCGCAGTCACGTCGCTTGGCAAGTGAGCTCTAGACGAGCGGCATCCTCAACCATGTCTAAGAAGCCCGTCAAGAAGGCGGGCGATCAGGACTTGTTCGAGGTCGACGACGAGGGTGTCGAAGCGTTGAGACCCATCATCGAGAGATCAACGGGCGAGTTGTATGCGACGGGTGACCAAGCCGGCGAGGTGCCGCTCTCTCGTGCTCGCAAGGGTCAACTGACTCGCAAGCCACTCCGGTCTGATGAGATCCTGGCCGCGAGAACGAAACATCCTGCCCTCTTTTCACGAGCTCGTCCTCATCCGCTCCAGGTGACCCATGCACAGCAGAAGATGCAAGAGTCCAAGATCAAGCTGAGCGCTTCGGAGCGCCGTCGCATGAACGCAGTCATCAGACGGGGTACTGCAGGTAAGGAAGGCCTCTTCAAACTCAAGCTCGACAGAGTGGGCGACTCGAATTATGTCGTCGAACTCAGAGAGGCTATCTCTCGTCCTATCGAGTCGGATCTTTGGATGGAAACAGATCAAGCGTCTCTGAACAAGCAGGGGAAGCGCAAAGCAGACAGCGATCAGACGGAAAATGTCGTGCCGCCTGATACTGCTGTCGAGCCACCCGCGACGGCGAAGCAGCGTACACTCAGCGCCTCATCGGTTCTTGACAGGGCGAGTCGAGCCAGACTCCCCCCTGCTGTGTCGCTCCCTCATGCTGGCACATCCTACAACCCAGACATCGAATCACATCAGTCCCTCCTATCTCAGGCGCTACAGGACATTCAATCCGAAGAGAGCAGGGCTGCTGCTCTCCGAGCTGTGAAGCAGAAGATCGAAGCAGGCAGACGAGCGACGAAGAGCAAGGAACTCTGGGAGATCGCAGAGGAGCTCGCCGAGAAGGAAGAGACAGACGACCAGCCGGAAGAGATTTCCCAGGACCCACCGCTGGTCCCAAAGAAGACACAGCGTCGCAAGAGTGCAAAACAGAAGCTTAAGCGTCGAGCCAATATTAACAAAGAGGTGAGATCGTCAGCAAGTCACGGAAATGATCCATGATTAATTCGAGACGCTCAGCTTGCTGCGGTGAAGCGGAAGCAGACGACGAAGCAGCAGCGAGAGCTTTTTGCAACTCTGCCCAAGCTCTCAACTTCGCTCAACCGTCTCGATGCCCAGCGTGAGACTGACAGCGAGGCGAAACAGACGGCAGCGGAAGCGCGCTTGACAGCGCTCGGCTTCTCGGGCAAGAAGACTGGTCCTGCGCGAGTAGCAAAGCCCAAGATAACCTATCAGCTGGGCGAAGATATTCCAGAGGGTTTGCGCTTGCTACACACTGAAGGCAACCTGTGGCGCGACTTCAAGGATAGCGCGACCAGAAGAGGCATCATTCAGACCACCCGCCCACCTCGGCAGGCCAAGATGGCTCTTCGCAGTACCAAGAATGTCGAAAAGTACTCGTATCGCAGGGATGACTAGGCAGCCTGCGTTGCGGCTTTCTTGTTGTCATTCTGACGCGCGTTATGCAACGCATGACATTACGTGGTCTACATTGCTTGCTTACAAAAGACTATCCATGCGAGAGAGGACTGTGATGACGCCGGCAACAACTTCGAGATGAAGTTCCTTGCCCTCTGCCATTTCTTGCCGTGCTAGCCTGGAGATCTCTGCAAGGTTGGCATTGCTAGCGTTATCGGACGAGCCTGTGCCGACGCCGACGGGGCTGGCACTGTACGCTCGACCGAACGGCCACTGCGAGAAGTCGGCGAGGAGCTCTTCTGCGCGTGCGAACGCACTTTCGCGGGCGTCGAACGAGAGTTGGGCGAGCGCGTTGTCCAATACATTGGCGGCAAAGGCTGCACAGACCATGCAGACTGCTCTGATTGTTCGATACCTGACCGTTTCCGAGTAGAGCTCCGAGATAGGCACAGCTGCAGTCCGCGGGGTGAGTAGCGAGAGGGTCCGCCTCAAGACATCGTCTTTGAAAGTCGGATCAGAGACAGGATGCGTTGCCATGTCGAAGAGCAGAAAATTGCGCTTCTCTGTTCTGAGGACGCCTTTGTCGACGAGACCCTTTGCAAGACGCTCTCTGACCTGCTTGAGCTGGTAGCCGATCTTCATTACATTCCATGTTTCGCCTGCGAGGCCCATTCAGTCTTGTCCTTCTCTCGGGCAAGAGCGCAACACGAACCTGACATGAGATCGATCCATGTGCCTATGCTCATCTTCTCGCTTACTTTCATCATCTTGAGTGCCTCGTCTAGTAGTACCTCGCCTGTCAGCTTCTCGTCGACGACCTCGATATACCTGATTGAAAGATGTCATCCACATCAGTAGCCTCCTGAGCTGACTGACCTGTCTGGCAGAGGGAACCGTCGCCTATTGGGGTCCCTCACCACAGCGATCTTGTGCCGTAGCGCGAGCTCGATGACGATACAACCGCGCAGGGTGTATGAGATGTTGTCGTTCCAGAATGAGAGATAGCCCTGTGGTGTAGTGTGAGCATCCCTGACTGAACATAGGTCAACAGAACCTGCCTGTTTATCCTTGAGACCAAGCAGGAGAACTTCCTCCATGAGCGTAAGCCGGGGTAGCGTCTTCTGTTCGCTGCTGTCCTCGAGGTCTCGGGGATCATACGCGATTTTATGGTTGCCTCTGACTGGTACGACTGTGGAAGTCTGGGTCGTGCCATTGGCCTGACTCCTTGAGCCGGAAGCGCCTTGGCCTGGTGCGACGGGAGCGGAGGCGGTCATGACTGAGCCGGTGGCCATCTCATTTGCGCGTGCCGTTGCGCTCCTTGGCGGCGTGCCCGTGCCACCCGGCGAGGATGCACCGTTGCCATTGAGGCCGCTTGCAGCAGCGGCACCCGAAGAGCTCGGATTGTGCACGCCTCTCCGTCGCGAGAGACCTGACGCCGAATCGGCCATCTCGCGCGTGACGTCAAGTTGCGCTGTCTTTCGAGGCGAATCGGTGAGACTCAACACGAATGGCTTGAGCTAGACGTGACTTGCGAGACACGGTGCCCGGAGGGCTGAGTAGGCTGGCGTTATCGGGTTATTGAGCGGTACGCTGAGCTGTGTGTTTGCCCAAGTCGGGCGCAAAGAGACGAACGTGGCGAGATGCACAGTCAGTCCCGCTTGTCTGGCTACCGAGCTCGGGCAAGGCCAGGGTGAGCCAGGACCTGTGCCAGACAGGCTTAGCGCTCGTCTTGTAGCGAGGCGCTGGGAGTGCACGCGCTTCGCTTCCATTCTTTGTCACAATACGGAGCCGTGGCCGAGTCTGCCACGGTCGGACGATCATCATGTCAGCCTATGGCGACATTGATGGGCCCTCATCCGCGTCTCGACTGAGTCCCAAGACGTTTGCACTCGCTCGGAGCGATGCTTGCGTGACCGTCTATCACCTCCTCAAGGGAGATCTCCGTCAAGACGCCAGTCTCGTCTCGTACCTGCGCGAGGTCCGTCTCTGCGCTCGATGACATTCTCAGCAACTCAGATCGCCAGCAGATCTTCAACAGTGTCGTCGAAGCCGGACAGACCTACCCACAAGAAGCTCAACAATCCGAAGAGCAATTCGCAAATTACTTTTTCTCTGCTGATCTCTTCCTGGGTGTATTCGACAATGCCAGCCCCGAGCGGGCATCACGATCCTGGCAAGAAGTGTCTGCACTGCGTGACTGGCCCGGAACCGTCGCTGGGATGTATTACGTCAAGCCGAACTATCCCGGACGGTCGGCTCACATCTGTAATGCCGGCTTCGTCGTGCCAACGGCCTCGCGGGGTCGCAAGGTCGGTCTCGCGCTGGGCAGGTCGTTCTTGCACTTTGCACCCAGGCTGGGCTTTCGTGCCTCGGTCTTCAACTTGTGCTACGTGAGCAACACAGCTAGCGTGCGCATCTGGGACGCCCTGGGATTTCATCGGGCCGGTGTCATTCCAGAGGCAGGTCGACTCAAGTCAGCTGATGGCAAGTCAGAAATTTACACAGACGCAATCGTGTTCTACCGTACCTTGTCGGTCGACGAGGTTGTAGAATGAGACGGCGAGTCACGTAGTCCTTTTTCCATGCACGGCGCATGCAATACAAATGCAAACTAGAGAAGTACGAAAGCAAGGGAGAAGCTATACAAGCGAACACAGGCAGCAGCTTGCGCGTCTGGGCGCTCTCCGATGCTGACATGCATTCCCGAGTGCACACAGTCTGGACGATCGTAAGGATTCCTAGGCGGCCGAGAAGTCCGATCTCCATCCTCTCGGGCCTTGCGTTGTTGTAGGAATCAGTTTTGCTATTTCGAATTAGCGCTGGATGCCGGTGATTGCTTTCTGCATCGCTCGGCGCAGGGTCAGCTGTGACTTCTTGAGCTCGTCTGCCGTCGACTCCTCGATCTGGAGACGCTCGAGTGCTTTAGCAAGCTCGGCCTCGACATTGGCTTTCTGGGCACGTTTGATTTTCATGCCGACATCGGGACTCTGGATGGTCGACTCGACCTGTGAGACGTACGCCTCGAGATCCTGCTTTGCCTCGTGGCGAGCAGAGAAGTCCTTGTCAGCTTGCTTGAACTGCTCGGCTTGTGCGATCATCTGAGAGATCTGATCAGACGACAGACGGCCGACCGAGTTGGTAATAGTGATGTTGGCACGACGACCTGAGGCACGGTCGAGAGCGGAGACCTTGAGAAGACCATTCGCGTCGACCTCAAAAGTACAGACAAGCTCAGCCTGACCCCGGGGTTGAGGCGTAATGTTCGACAGCTCGAATTCGCCGAGCAGCCTGTTTTCTTTGCAGGTGACGCGCTCACCCTCGTAGACAGGGAAGGTGACGGTAGACTGGTTGTCTTCGACCGTGGTGAAAGTGCGCGACTTGTTCGTAGGAATGGGCGTATTTCTCGGCACGACAACGCCAAAGACATCGCCTTGCATGGCAACACCGAGCGAGAGAGGCGCAACATCGAGCAAGAGCAGGTTCTCGGTCTTCTCAGATGTCTGACCGGTCAAGACAGCGGCCTGAACGGCGGCACCGTACGCGACAGCCTCGTCAGGGTTGATCGATTTGTTCAGCTGGCGACCGCCAAAGTAGTCGGACACGAGCGATTGGATCTTTGGGATACGCGTCGAACCGCCGACCAGGACGATGTCGTCAACCTTGTCCTTGTTCATCTTTGCATCCTTGAGGACCTTCTCGACGGGATCGATGGTCGACTTGAACATGGTCGCATTGATTTCCTCGAATCGAGCACGGCTGATGGAGGCGGTAAAGTCTGTGCCCTGGTAGAGAGAGTCGACCTCGATCGTCGTCTGGGTGACGCTGGAAAGCGTGCGTTTTGCTCGTTCACAAGCCGATCTCAGCCTTCTGAGTGCTCGGGCGTCACCTTCGATGTCGTGCTTCGTCTTTCGCTTGAACTCGGCCTTGAAGTGCTCCAGCAAGGCGTTGTCAAAGTCCTCACCGCCAAGATGTGTGTCGCCGGCGGTGGCTTTGACCTGGAAGACGCCGCCAGAGATGGACAAGAGCGAGACATCGAACGTGCCGCCGCCAAGATCGAAGATGAGGACGTTCTTCTCCGCCTTGTTCTTCTTGCTCATCTCGTCGAGGCCGTATGCAATAGCAGCCGCGGTGGGTTCGTTGATGATACGTAGCACGTCTAGGCCGGCAATCGCGCCTGCGTCTTTTGTCGATAGTCGCTGGGAGTCATTGAAGTAGGCGGGCACGGTGACGACTGCCTTCTTGACAGTCTTGCCAATCTTGGCCTCGGCGGTCTCCTTGAGCTTGGCGAGCACCATGGCAGAGATTTCAGCGGGCGAGAACTGCTTGGTCTCATTCTGGTACTCGACTTGGATGTAGGGTGCACCGTCTCGGTCGATGACCTCAAAAGGCCAGTGGGCGCGGTCCTTCTTGACATCAGGATCGTCAAAACGTCGTCCGATGAGTCTGTAGAGCCATCGCGGTCAGTCGCGTGGAGGGACCCTGCAGCGGACGGGCTGACCTCTTTGCATCAAAGACGGTCATCTTTGGGTTCATAGCTGCCTGGTTCTTGGCCGCATCGCCAATGAGACGCTCCTCAGACGTAAAAGCGACGTAAGAGGGCGTCGTGCGATTGCCCTCTGCGGATCAGATGACAAATCAGCTCGGCTGGAGGCGCGACCTGCTTGGGAGACTGACGGTCATTGGGGATGATCTCGACACGATCATTCTGCCAGACGCCAATGCAAGAGTATGTCGTACCGAGGTCAATGCCTGGCAGCTGAGCATCAGCACGCGTCGCTCGGCCCAGTGCCCAGGCAGATACCAATGGCACCATCAAACTCTTCGTCGTTGACAGACTCCAGTGCGGGCACTTCTCCTTCAGCTGCCATCCTGTCTTTTTGAGGCGCAAAACTTGCTTCGACGAACTTTTCCAAAATTTCAGTGGCACAAAGTGGGGGCCCGATCGATTATGCACGCGCGTTTGGCGAGCGCACTGATTCTGCTTGAACTCTCTGACCCTTTACAACAACATGCAGTTCTTGCGACAGATCACCGCTCACATCTCACCACACTCTGCGACCAAGTCGAGTGCCTTTTAGGAGACAGATGCCGCGACAGAGCAAGATGACGCACCTGTGATCCTTACTGTGAGCTTTGGCTGATTGTTAGGTCCCGTAGGGACATTTTCGATCTTGCGAAGGATGTACAGTCCCTGAAGACTTGCTGCGTCAGGTCTGGAAAGCTTCCCATTGTCGCGTTGGACGCGTGGGCACGACGCACAGAGTGATCCCTCGTATCGAGTATCTTACCAAAGACCACGTGCTTGCCGTCTAAGAAGGGCGTTGCGGCGGTCGTGACGAAGAACTATGAGCTCTGTCTGAGCGCATGGTCGGAGAGAACGGGCAAGAGTCACCTGACAGCCGTTTGTGCCCGGCCCGCTGTTTGCCATACTGAGCAGCCCGGGACCGGTATGCTTTGTCTGCGAGCGGCGCCTCAATACTGTGCTCGCTTCTGGCCGCTACGGACAAACCTCGAAGTTCTCGTCGTCGAATTTGGACCCGTAGATTGAGAAAGAACCGGTGCCATCTGCATTGAGGAAATCGCCGCCTTGGACCATGAAGTCTTTTATGACCCTGAAAAGCCGGTAAATTCTTGCGCTCTTGCACGTTCTTCAACGAGGCAACGGACCTATGAAAGGTCGCTCCCTTGTAACCCTGTGGCACACCGTTTCGCCTTTGACCGCTGTCAGCGCGGGCCTGTCTGCGTTGCTTTTGCCGGACTGACCTATGCTCGCCAGTGCAGAGCTGTCTGAAGTTCTCTGCGGTCTGAGCCAGCCAGCGATGTCAAAGGTCGCTCGAGCTGCTCAAAAGGATAGCTGACTCGCGGGACAACATCGCTGAAGAGCTCGAATTTGATTCTGCCAGCCGGGGTATCGCCGATTGAGATGTCGAAGAAGACGATCGGCCTTGTGGTCATACTTGCAACGTCTGACGGGGGAAACGCTCTCAGTGCTGACTGGGCCGTACGGACAGTCGTCGCAGTCAGGGCGTCTCGCGCTGAAATTGCAACCACGCGCCGAAGCCTGTCTGAGATCTGAGGGAGGGAATCCGCTGGAGGGTCACATCGCTCCTTCGTGATCACTCGCGAGCAGGTAGTCCGGACGACGGCCTTGTGCGCCGTTCATACCTGCTGCTGAGCAGGCACTTCGTCGCAGGTCACCGAGGGACCGCATCACAACGCGACCACGACTACGACGACAACATAGCTTCGTGATTCGACTGTGGAAAGGCCAGTAGCGTCTACGGTCCTCTCGACTCCAGGCCGCTTTAAGCGTCTTCAGGAGAACCAGACCCCGATCGGGTCAGCATCGCGAGGTCTGGCGGCCACCTCCCCCAGATTCATCTCAACGCTTCTCCCGACATCGCGCACCTCAGCGTCGCTTGCAACAGGTGTGGTGAGATTGCTATAGAGAAACGTACGTCCCTCTCCCATGTCATGATCGCGCCCCGAGAAGGCGATGTGAGCGCTCAGGCGTTGCGCGCACGGCGCTCGTCGCGTGGTTCTGCATCTGTGCACACGGTTCTCGCGCCTTCTTCGTCCTTGCTTCTCTGTACGTTCAGGCTGACGTTGTTGCTTCTCTCGCTTCTCTGGACACATTACCGCTGACTGCAACGAACTTCAACGACCGGCATGCGCCGCCCACACTGTCTTGCGCTCGCTTCGACTGCCAATGATGATGGCAATACTTCGATGGCAATACGCATCTGTCCTGCCACGATTTCTGCCACGATCCGTGACGATTCTGTCAACACTACTGGCACGGCACGTTCGCTGCTTCTTGTCGCAATCAATCCGCCACATCCGTTTGCACACAACTCGCCTCCTTGCACCGGCGTCGACTCTGTTTATTCACATTGCGACAAGCCTCTACCTGCTTGTCCCACCACCGATCGTTGCGATGATGCTCATACAAACATTCGACGTGGATCACTCGATTCTGTGGCCGCTTGGGATGGCTTTATGATTCGCTTATGCAATGATATCGACATGCGCGATGATCTCCTGACGCGCTACTCGATCTCATCTACGATTCCGGCCGCTTCGATACGTCCTCGCATCGGCTCTCACATGCGCTCACAATCGACTCCAATTTCGCCACCTCTTTCTGTGACTGCTTCGACACTCAGGCCTATCGCAGGTCGAGCTCGCTTGCAAGCCGTCGAAGGCGCCTTCACACGGCTCTGTGGCATCAATCGTGCGACACGAACGATCAAGCTACAAGAGCTTCTCGCCGACGCGGCAAAACTCCCCGGTGATAGCGTTGGCCTGATCGCTAGAAATTTGCTTGCGCGTGTCGATCCACAGCTGCTCAAGCAGGTCGCCTCCACTTTGCCTGTCACTTGCGCAGATATGTCGACACGACCTGTAGCTGCGACAAGGACAGCATCTGCCCGGGGTATTGCTTCGCGTCAGCCCCAAGACGCGTACCCACAGTCAGGCTATGGTCGATCGCCCTTTGACGATAACGCGGCATCCCGACGTGTCGTATCGGAGCAACAGAATGGTCTCACGGAAGCGGAAGCTCGCGATGCTGTCCGTGTGCGTCCGATGCCGCGATCGACGTCTGCGTCTAAAGGTAGATCGTATTCCGATAGACCGGATCTTCCGCCAAAGGACAGTACCTATTCTACTCGTGATCTCGACAGCGCGCTTGACAGTATACCCGTCCTACCTGCCGCATCCAGGAGCTCAAAGTCAGTTGATAGAAATATGCGCACAACGCTGACAGCTGACGTTTGCAGCAGATCCAAAAGTGACAAAAAGAAAAGCGGCAAAGGAAGTCAAGGGGGACCTATTGATATAATCGATCAGCTTGATCTCACAGACGTTCTCGGTGGTGCGAGCTTTCACCACGACGGCCCATTCGATGCCGCATCTTCACATCGCAACAGAAATGACACGAAGCGACTGGCACCTATGGAAGCTTTCGACCCATCTGCTTTTGACCCCGCGGCCCAGCTACGCGCGCCGAAAAATCCCTACGCGTACCGGCCACAGACCTCAACGCAAGCCAACCATGCATATCCTCCTCAGACCCGCGGTAACGACCCTAACTCGCTATCGGCACCTCGCTTGGATGACGACGGTGGCTCGTCTGTTTCCTCGCGCAGACACAGTCAGTCTAGTATCACGCTGGGTTACCCGATCATGGCCAAGCACGATCCAAAGGCAGTCGCGCTTGCCCAAGCGTTCGGCGTCCAAGAATCAGAGCCATGGGAAGACTTCGGCAGCAACCGGTGGGCTGCCTCGAGCTCAGGTCGACACCGTCGAGGCGATGCAGAGCCTGAGCTCGACGGCGAACGTACTCGCGACCTACGGGCCCAGCGCACAGCCAGTGTATGGGATATGGAAGCAACGTTGCGAGAGGGCAAACCGGTCGAAGCAGGTCCGTTTGTTGTGGCCGCAAATTCTACTGAAGCTGATCCATGCTCACAGTGCCCGCTTTACCGCCAATCCCTGCCCAGTATGACCAGGGTCATTCGCGAACACGATCCCGCACGGTCGGCTCGTCACCAGAGAATGGGACGGCCGGCCGCTCGAAATCCTTCATGACTAAGCTGAAGGGAGGAACGAAGACGCCGAATAGCGACGGTGGTGATGAGTCTGGCGACTACTTCTCCAAACCACCACGCGAAGGGGATAGTGGTGGTAAGCGTAGCAAGGGCCATCGGCCCATGATCTCTGCCCCGATCAGCCCCCTTGGCGATCGGCAAAATCTTCCTCGCAACTTCTCCCAGCCAACCGTCAAGTCAAGTCAGAGTCAGAGCTTTGCTGGCCAGAGCAGTGTCACCGACGATGTCTTGGACGGACTGTACGATGAGCCCGAGAGCATGACACCCATCAAGAGCGGCTCTGGACAGACTTCCCCGCTCGCCCAGAGAGCTTATACATACGACGATTCTCCTCAGAGAGCATACGACAGCACCAAACTGCATGCGGGACGCGACGAAGGCTCACTTGGCCGCAAAGGCAGCATCATGCAGAAGCTCGGTTTCGGGCGCAAAACAAAGTAAAAACACGAGCAAGCATGTATTATTGACGAGATGACTTGGAGCAGCGGTATCGATAGTAGAGACTATAGCTTCCAGTGCCCTTTGCCTGGACCCTCGTCATGCTGCTTGATCGCACTTGGCGGATCAGCTCCCAGGAAGCTGGCTTTGAGAGGCGTCACAGCGATGCAACCGTGGTGGAGTGCATGGTTATCATGGCCGCTTTGCAGCGCCGAGGCTGGCGGATTTATGAGCTGCCCGATGTGGGGAGCAAACTTGAAAGCGAGCTTTTTGGAGCGATCTGCGGTTACTTTGCTCGGGTTGCTTGGTTCCTCGAGCGCTCCGGGGCCGGCATTTGCAGTGTCGCTATATTCGGCCTCGTAGGCTGCCTTTGACTCGCTCGGGTGTGCGGTCTGGTGTCACGATCAGCTTTAGCGGAGAGCCTTGCGGTACACTGACAGGTGCGAAAAGACGCTTGTAGCGTGTGAGTGCCATTGTTGTAAACCTAATCTTCGTTGCCTCCTTGTCAGTTATAGAAGGCACGAGCTGCAACTTGATCAGCACTTGGTCACGTTACACGCAGTAACGCGTACCGGTATGTTGACGGAGTACAGGTCATGATCGCCGTCGTGTTGCCAGGTGTCCCACAGTCGCTTGATGACTACGCATGCCCAGTCGTGCGCGGCTGCTACTTGATCGTCCTGTATCGGACGCTCAAAAATGGCATAGCTGATCGCGATAGAAGGCACGCCAGACAGCGAGGATGCCAAAGCAGCGCCGATAGTGCCGCTACACGCTTGTGAGCTCTGTGTGTCGTGCAAATGAATGTATGTGTCACCTCGACAGGGCAAATGCTGTGGAAGTATTGCGCCCAAAGTTAGGTCCAGAGACGACGAGATCGATCGTTTCGTGGATGTTATGCAACGCAATGTTGGCGCACGTCGCAGGCGTACCGGAGAGCAAGATCCAATCTTGCTCGTTTGCATTCGTCTTGCTTGATTCAATCGGCGTCGTCGAGCGTCGACTGCCTTCGCCGCGACTGCGATCGACTGATGAGCCTGCTGGCGCAGGCTGATAATAACTGCCTTCGATGATGTCCGAGATGCTGTGAGCGGCGCCGACCCAGGACCTCTGCGAGCCTGGCAGGACCACGCTGACCTCCCAGCCTAACGTTTGCCTCAGGCATTCGACAAAGCCTAGCACAAAGGGCGAGTCTTTACCAGGCGGGCCGTCATCGTTCTACGATACTGTGAGCCGTCGATCATACTTAGCATGCCGACTCACAGTGACGAGAACCCGCATTGCAGCCGAAAGGCAATGTCGTGACAGCTCAGCGTCAACGACCGCAATGTCGAACGTTGAACGCGCCTCAAGTGCCCGATGACGATGTCAACGACAGCTCATAATCAGATCAGGCTCGCGCCGCGTTCTCAGCCCGCCGCCCAGCGTGGCACTCTCAAGAGCGACAAAGCCCATCGTGCATGTTCGTCACCGATACACGGTATGGAACATTGTGTAGACTTTGTTGAAGACGGTGCCAGCACCGTAGAGCGTCGATAAGAACGCCAGCGTCAGGTCGATGACGAGCAAAGTCATTCCAGAGAGCATGAAGCGCGGTGCAAAGACTTTCCAGACCATCAGATGTCGCCTGAAATAGGCTGCAAAGGCTGCTGCTGATAACGCCACGATGGCGTGATAGAGCGAGAAGAGCAGCAACGTTATGAGCAGTTTTCGCTGGAGCGGCAAGGGCCTGCCTCCCATCGCAGGCGCCGTCTTCCATAATACGAGGAGCGGCAGCCCGAGACTCATCAGGATATGACCCGAGAATGTGTTGAGCACGACCAAGAGTGGACTCAGTGGATAGATCAGCCGGCGCGTGCCGACGAAAGCGCTGTTCCATTGGATTGATGATAGAGTCGCCTGATGACCTGTGGCAAAGAAAGTGGCTTGTGCGAGCAGCGCAAACAGTCCGATATGCCAATCGAGCTCGAGCGGACGATCGACAGATTTGGCTTCAAGAGACAAGCGCATTGAATCAGAATCCCGCGCTGTGTCGAGAGTTTCTAGCATACACAGACTGGCTATCATGGCGCCAGACAGAGCGAGCTGACCCATGGCAGGTGATACGAGAACAAGCCACGACGTTAGTATAGTGACCAGCAAGACGTATGACGAGCCATAGGCGTTTGCGAAACCCAAAACAGTGATCTTTGCGGGCGTGTTGTCAGTCGCTGGCTCTTCCTGAATCGTCAATGGCAGCCTACTGAAGAACCACAATGGGCCGCCACCGCCAATGATCAGGCAGATCACTGCGATGGCTGCATAATTCTTGACCGTCGTCATGACTGCAGGCGACTTGCTGTGCGCCGCTCGCCAATCCACGACATTGTGTGCGGACGCGAGCAGCCAGGCTGCACGGCAGGGTCCATCGAGAAAGATACCGGCGAACTCTCGCTGCGAGCCCGTAATGCTCAGAAAGCGGCCGACGAATACGGGTATGGCCATAGCGATGGGGACCATTGCTATCACGGCTTCCACTGCCGAGGTGCTTGATGCGTTACTGACGTAAAACGTTGTCGAGCACACGCCAGCTTGCTCTTCCCGGCACAGTCTGGAGCATGCCAGAAGGCGCACGAGTATTGCTGCAACCAGCGCGAATGCTAGACCTCGTCGACGAAAGGGAGCAGTGACGTGACCGATTGACCGTATCGCAAGCATAATCAGTGCTGACTGCAGCAGCATCGTCGTGGCGCCATCCTCCCATAAGATGAACGAGTTCGACGCAAACATAGCAGCATGCGCAAGGGGTAACACGAAGACCGGCGACCATGACGTCAAGCTTGCGGGCGTGATTAGTTTGCTGGGGGCCGGTAGGCGGTATCGCAGCTCGTAGACGATGATTGCCAAAACAGGCGAGACCACAATGGCTGGTAACACAAGGGGGGCGTACCAGTCTGGATGCGTGTTCGTGCCGACGACGACTATAGCTGGCAGGGTGATGATCGCAAACGTAGCAATGAAGGCGATGAACGCACTTCCAATGAGCTGCCGGCAATGTCCGTCCCGGAAGAGAGCGCCTTCGTAGCGAGCAGTCTGCACGAGGCGTGTGATCATGACGATACTGCACACGAGTGCCAAGAGCCCTGCAGTCATGGTCGCAGCGTTAAAGCGCGCCCAGACTGACTTACAATGCGTCAGTGTTGATCTAGTAAAACGAAAGTAAGAGTCCAGGCTGATGCTATCTGTGCCGTCCAGTGATTCCATCGCAGCGGAATACAATGTTCGCAGTGCGGGCAGAGCAGGCGCGATGTCCGATGATCGCGAATGTGTGCGTGCGTAGGTCTCTAGATAGGTCATGATCTGGCGCAAGTTGATACGGACTGCTTTTCGTAGCATGCTGAGCGAGTCATCAGCCTTTGCCCATCTGTGTTGCTGCGTCGGCCAGAGGAATAGCTCGGGCACGATCGAGCCAAGACTGCCGAAAGGTATAGGCAAGCCCAGGAGCAGTGATAAGGATGGCACCAGATCTGTTTGGGGTATTGATCGATAAGTATGCTCGTCAAGACCGAAGGTGCGCTCTTCTGACCGAGTGGTGTCATGAAGCAATTCGGTCATAGGGCGAGCCTTACCCGGATGTGGCGGTACGGTCGTCAGTCCTTTTGGCGAGTACATCCACAGAGCAGCGTTTACTTCGTCCGGACTATCACCGCCGTGGTCGCCTTTGGGATCCATACCGTGATCGCCAAGGACAACGAGCAGATCGTCGGCACGTAAGAGCGGCACAACGCGAGCCAGTGTGGCCTCGGCTTCGCGAAGCTTACGTGTCAGCTCTGGATGCTGTGAGCCAAATCGATGGCCGGCATGGTCGAGACCGAGCGAATGACCGACGAAGATATCCCATGATGAGCCATTGCTGTCTGGCGCGAGCAGATCAAAGAGATGCTTCTCGACACCACGGTCAACGGTGTCGAGATCGGCCACGTCGAATGAGTCGTATGGCCAGGTCATGCCCTTTGCAAAGTAGGCAGGAGGGAAGACCTGCATCCATGTGTCGTCGCCGGCAAATGCGATTTTCTTGCGAGCCGCGTGGGCTTGTTCGATCCAAGAATCTTCCTGGACGGCACCGGCTGCGAAATTGCTGCCTGCATCGACAAAGGTGGGCAAGCTGCCTGTAGTGAGACCCTTGAGTCGCTGCAAGGTCGTCGTGGGTGGATCGGCCACGAAGCGAAAGATCAGCGAGTTGGCAGGTTGCTGCTGGGACAGCCTGGCTGGCGTCGTGAGTACGTTGTGATGATCAGCAGAGTATGGAGGAGAGCTGCCATCGGTCTCTGTTCTCGGGAAGACGTAGTCCCAGCGGAGGGCGTCGACGATGAGCACGATAGCCCGTGAATAGCGAGGTGTCAGCGTGCATTCTTGGTCGGGTGAGCAGTGGCTCCTCTCGTCGAGCGTAGCTCGCGTGAGCAGGAAGCCTCTGGTGAAGAGCCAGAGCGCTGCGAGGTGGTACAGGGAGATGAAGAGGAGAGCGACAAAGATGACCTGCATGACGGATAGATCCGCGAGCGAGATGATGCCTCTGAGCCTCAAGGATGAGCGCTCTGCCCGTTTCCGGCGTCTTGCGAGCGCGGCAGACTCTGGCAGTGCCTCTGGAGCCAGGAGATCATCGTTCACGGCATCCCAGTCATCGTCGCTTTCCTCGGCCGGCCGAGGCTTGCTATCTCCATTGCTCGTGGGTATCACGTCCATCTTGCTTTGTGGGCCTTTGCCCGGCCTATGACAAGACTGTATGAGCTCGAAGTCCGGTGCGGGGAATCAGGTCTCACTGCGACTAGTCGTACAGCAGATGCATCCTCTTCACAGTCTTTCGGTCAGGGGCAGGACGACGCGGTGACGCGCGTGAGTGGCGCAATCTGAGCGTGCTGACAACATGATCATGATCGATGGCACAACAGAGCTGATGCGCAGGCTTGCCCTAGTTCATCTCGAGCGAGCTGCCGTCGCCGATCTCATAGTCTGACAAGGTGATGTGATCCTGCAGGCAGGGCGACATGAGCTGAGGAGGACAGAGGTCAGAGGAGCGAGAGCGGACCTTGAAGATGCTGTACCACTTCTTGAGCACAATCTTGTTCGCTTTCGTGCCCTTTTGAGCGGCGATGAGCTTCTTGAGATCCCCGATGGTGTCATTCGGGCTGCACAAGCTCAGCCGACATGCAAGAGCCGCAGGAGAGCGGCCGGCTAACCTGCATTTGACCCTCACTTTGCCGCCCAGCCGATCATTGGCAATCACTTCTATCAGTCCGCCCCCGCCACCACTACCTCCTACTGGCGCTCGTGGAGCAGCGGGAGCTTGCGAGCGGGCTTCGGCTGGCTTGCGAGCCTGGGCCTGCTTCTGCTCAAAGTATTCTCTCGAGGAACCGGTGACGGTCGGTCCGGGCGAGCGTGACCTGCTTCTCCTCGGAGGATCTCTCCTTCGAGCAGCGGGCGAGGGTGATCGACTACTTCTGCGCCGGTGTGACGGGACCTCCTGCCTGGCCGGCGCTCTGTTGTCTCGGTAGTCGGGGCGAGATCTCTCTGAGGAATACGGCGCAGGCTCCTGTCGCCGGTGCTGACTCGCAGAACCGCCTGCTCTACCGGCCCGACTGGGACCACTGAGCGGACGTGATGCGCTCGCGGCAGCCTGCCGGTCCGCCCTGGCTGCAGCACTCATCTCAATCCCGGCTCGGCTGTTGCTGTTTGCTTAGACGACGACCGACGTCGACCGACCGAAGAGGACGCGCTGCTGGCGGCAGCTGGCTGGCAGACGAGCAAGGGGAGCATGAACACATGTCAGATGCACCAAACGCCCAGCAAAGCGAGAGCGGCGTCATCTCGCTCGACAGCTACCCTTCAAGCGCTCGAATGAAGCTCAGAGCAGCCGCAGCGACGGTCTCCTCGACGAGGTACCTGTCCGACCAAGCCAACTCTCGCTCGGGCTTCTCCCTGCGAGCTCGGGCCAAAGACTGGCTCGACAGGGTCGCGACCGCTCCAGAGGAGCCCACTGTAGTACCCTCCGATGGCCTCATGCGACCCGTCACGGGCTCTCGCCGCTCGTCCGCTCTCGGCTTCAGCAGACGGCGAGTCGACGTGCTCCATCAAGAACAATGTGTCTGCTTTCCAGGCTGGGCCGTACATAGACAGCACAAATCGGGTCGGCGGTACATCGAGCTCTCCCTGTCTGGCTTTGTCTCTCGCCATCGTCCGATCGAGGAAGCCTCCAAGTCTCAGCGACTGTTTGCAGCCATGGCGAAACAATTCATCAGCTTGCCAAGGCTGCCCAGACCTTCGTCTGCAGCGGCTTCGACATCGTCGCTCCTCTCTGTGCCTGCTACCGACACCGGTTCTCAAGACAGTGCCCCTGCTTCGCTCTCAAGTCGAGATGCGAGCTCTGAAGACCTCTTGGCCGAAGCGGAGCACGCAGTCGAAGCGCCCGCCGTGACACCAGAGACGAGCTGGCTGCCCACTACCGATCAGGCTGCCGATGCTGCAGCGCAAACATCATCGCCATCACGCCAGAGGCCTTCTCGGCCGTTTGCCACGCCTACAAGGGCGTCCACGCTGCCTTTACCAACGAGTCAGCCCAAGCAGGCTCCGCCAGCATCTCGAGATGATGACGCACTGGCTCTCCTGCGGCAAGCGCACGCGAATTTGGACGAGCGTCTCGCACCCTTCTTTGGCGAAAAGCTCGCTGCTCGCCAAGTCAGAGTTCGAGTGTTTGCAGACAATCCAGAGCGAAGCTGTCTCGCGCAAGGCATCTTGCAGACCGAGCTCGGAGGAGGCTATGCCCAAACGCTCGAGATTGATCACGTCGACGTCCGGTATCTCGAAGTCGTTGTCACGCTGCTGCCCCTTGACGGCGAGTCGTCTGCCGACGGTGCCAGCGATACCGCCACGATCGCTGTCTCAAGCGAGGACGCGCCCCGGATAGTCTCTGACATCGACGACACTTGCCTGGAAGCCAACATCATGGGTGGACTGCGCTCAGTCTTCCGCAACATCTTCGTCAAGGATCTCCGCGAGCGCACCATCGCAGGCATGTCAGCGTGGTACCAGGCCATGCACAAAGCCGATGCACATTTTCACTATGTCAGTAACGGGCCTTGGGAGGTTTTCCGTACGCCATCTGCCGCTCCTCAGGCTTTTCACTGACTTCTTGCCAGGCATCGTGCAATCGGCGCTAGCAGCCACATCCTTACCGCCAGGACAGGTCAAGCTAAGAGAATACCGCAAAGGCTCCATCTTGTCGGGATTCATGGAGCCTGCTAGCACCAGGAAACGCGGACCGGTCGAGCAAATCCTGCAATCTTTTCCGGCAAGCCGGTTCATCCTCATTGGCGACGGGGGAGAGGGCGATCTTGAGACGTACGTCGCGCTTGCGGGCGTTTATCCAGAGCAAGTAGTTGCCATATTCATCCGCGACGTTCTCTCCGCGCAATCGCCACTCGCGAATGCTACTGCGATGCATTCGGATAGCGACCTCTTGCGTTTGCCCGACACGACTCTCTCCGGTCGCTCTTCGCGCTCATCATTTGTATCGGAAACGCTACGGGATCTCACAGAGCTAGAGTATGACTCCAAACTGCACGATGACGCAAACTCGGATCCACTGAGCCCGAACAATCCTTTGCGCGACCTCTCACTTTCCGATAGGCCTTCAGCATTCGACACAGCCGGCAAGGCACCCCAGGCACAGGCTGAGCTTACGCAGGCCCAGAGACGTCAGCTTGACGCCTTTTACGTCCGCGTTGCGGATGCAGAAGCAGCGCTCCCCGACGGGGTAATCTTGCGCATCTTCCGCAGCGGCGAAGAATGCCTGGAGGAAGGCGTTGGTCTGGTACACGTCGCTAGATCGCGTGCAGCTCGAGCGAATGCGGACAGCAAGGCATAGCAACCCGGCTGCTTTCTTGCGGGACACTTTTGCGTGCAGACTGTTGTTGACAACATACACATCATTCGTTTTCGCAATCTACGGCGCTGTTTCGTGCTGTGCCATGATCTGCTTATCCAGCGTGTCTAGGGCGTTGCACAATTCCTGCTCGTCACGCGTCAATTGCCGCAGGCACAGCTCGAGGGCGACCACCTACCGCATTGTCGGGTTCAAACTCGAGGCCGAGCAAGAGTGCATCGCGGGCATCGAAGAGGCGACCGAAAGCCACGAGGGCTTTCGCTTTGCGAAAGTGGCCCTTGTCCCAGTTGCGCTTGAGCTTGATGACCGTTTCTGCGTCGGCGAGTGCCTCGACGTTCTGGCCGGCGTTGAGATAGGCAGCAGAGCGATTGCTGAGAGCGACGCTGAGCTCTTCGCGGATGTACTGACTGCTCTCGAACAGCGGCCGCGAGCTCGCCAGATCGGCGGCGAGTGTGTACATCTTGATGGCATCAGCATTGTTGCCTGCCTTGAACTTCTTGTTGCCTTCCTCCTTGAACTTGTTGAACTGGAAGGAGCGAGCGTTCTGCGATGGCTGTGGCGGTCCAGGGATGGCAATGTTGTTGGTCAGCATAGCTTGGATGAGTGAGTTGAGCGGCGCCAGGTCGTCGTTGCTGAGCAATCCCGGCCTTCCAGCCATCTTGATGCCGGGAAAGGAACCACCGAACGATTGCTGTGTCCCATGACTTGGCTTAGACAGGGAGCTGCTGTCTTCTGTAGGTCGCTAGGCGTCAGCTAAGCAGCAATATGAGCCGTTGCTGATGACCTGCCTATCGCTTTGGGCGCATCGACGAGTGTCACTGACGCCGTGCTAGGCGCATACTGTAGCTTGTAGACCTTGACAAGATCATCGATGGCTGGTGGAGCCGCCATGTCGGAGCGAGCTGCACGTCTGGCTCGACTGTGCGCCTTGGGTGCGTAACGGCCACGACACGCGTCGAACGATGATGGACTTGTAGCCCGCTAAGCGCGCGCGCATCATGATCACCAGATCAAGCGTACGTGAGCGACGCCTGGGTCCATGCATTCTCACTCTCGGTACAATAGCTTGGACACAGCGTCAGAACTTCTCGTGCGCGGGACGAAGATCGAGCTCATGCGTCCAGCAAGAGACGTCTTGCTCGTGAAGATATAGATACGCCTTGGCAATCGAGTCGGGCTCGAGATGCTTGTGCTTGTCGGCCAGCATCGCTTTGGCTTCCTGTGAGGTGAAGACTTGATGGGTGCCTATGGAGATGCGATGAGCGGGATCCTAAGATTGCGCGCGTGAAGAGCATCACTTACGATCGGTCGCGATGACACCGTCGACAATGACGAAAGCCACCTGTAGCCCTCTTCAGAGCCAGGTCAGACCGCGAGAGAGCACACAACACGGACGTGTATGTTCTCGGGACCGAACTCGCGAGCGAGCGACTGGGAGAGAGCACGTAGACCGTGTTTGCCGGCCGAGAAGGCGGAGAAGTTCTTTGCGCCTCGCGTGGCTGAAGTGGCACCAGTGAAGAGCAGACTGCCACCGGGCGGTTCGGTGTCGGTACCGGGCTCGAGCATCAGCTTGATGGCTTCCTGTGCGAACGCAAAGGACGCGACGATGTTGATCTTGACAGATTGCTGGATGAGCTCCTCCGTGACATCCAGAAAGGGAACCATGCTCCACTGTGCAGTGTTCCAGATGGCCGCCCTGACCCTGCCGTCGGACCATCTGGCACGGATGTCCTTGAAAGTGCCCTGGATGCTCTTGAAGTCGTAGTCGGCAAGGGCAAACGTTGCTGCCTCACCGCCTGATGCATTGATATCGTCGGCCACTGTATTCGCTCCCTGGCGGCCGATGACGGCAACCCTAAAGTGCCGCGAAGCGAACTGGCGGCTGAACTTCTGTCCTCTTGAGCATGGTCAGCCAGCAGAGCGCCGGGGCGTACGCTACAGCAGCGCCGATGCCGGTGCCATTGCCCAATCCGGCGATGACTGCTATCGACTTGGAGGTCATGCTGAGCGTGCTCTGGAAGGGAATGAGGGCGGTCGAGTGATGGCAGATGCTCTCCTTTCGGGCTCGAGAGCTGTCGGCGTGCGCAGTCAGTGTGGGCTTGGCGCGAACGACTGCTCGAGCAGTCAAGGCGCTCAGTGCGCTGCGCCGTCATACTTGCCTCACTGCCGGACTACCGGACATGAGCGCAGACTCCTCGAGACAATCCCTGCAGCTAGCAACGCCGGATGCCTCGCCCGTCGCATCGCCTCGCGAGCTTGCATTGCCCGTCGATGTCAAGCTCGACAAGACACTTGATCTCGGCCCAGAGAATGCAAGCGACACTCATCGTCGGGCCAGTCCCTTCAGAGCACGCAAGGCCTCCCTTTCGAATGAGACAGACTTGATCGATATGCCCGTACTGGCTCACCGAGCCACTCAGGCCGGCGGAGGCGACATAGACGTCGAGGCTCGCGCTTCAGTCCATCCCATACGAGCAGGCATGATCAGGGGCAACAGTACTGCCACACATGATCCCTTCAAGATGCGCGCCTCTATCAAAGGTCAGGAGGTCATCGACGATTTCAAGCGCACCGCCTATGGCTCTCCTCTCGCTGCCGGCCAAGACAAGACGCGCGTCGTTGCGGGCAACCTCGTCTCATCCAGACAAGGTGCTCCGAGCGTGACGCCATCCTGGAGACTCGGACTCGGCCTCCTGCGCAGTCGCGGCCGACGATACAAGAAGATTGGCGATTTCTACGAGGGACAGAACAGACAAATCGACATTCTGCTCAAGCCTTTGCACTGGCACCGAGACGAAGAGCGGCAGCGCGAGGAGGACAACCGGTTGAAAGTCAAGATCGCCATTTACGCTTCCCTGGTGGCCAACTGTGTGCTCGCAATCATACAAGTCTACGCGGCAGTCTCATCACTCTCCTTATCATTCTTTGCGACGGCCATCGACGCCGTCTTTGACCCTGCCGCCAACTTTGTACTCAATTGGGTGCATCGGAAAGCGGTTCGTGCAGATCCTGTCAAGTACCCTATCGGTGGCGCGCGGATAGCGGTCATCGGCAACAGTGAGCATCAGTAATTGGCTTGATTGCTGCCTAGCTTACACTGGGCCTGACCAGTCATCTTTGCCGTGGTGATGGGCACAGCGAGCGTCATCCTGATTGTGGAATCCATCCAATCCCTTGCTACCAGCAATGGCGAGGATGAACGGTTTCACGTGCCCGCCGTCGTGGCAGTCTCCGTCGCGCTGATCACCAAGATCATTCTAGCTGCCTATTGTTATACGCTGCGGGACATGTCCATACAAGTGCACGTCCTCTGGGAAGACCACCGCAATGATACGATCATCAATCTCCTCGGTCTCGCGACGAGCTCGGCCGGTTCAAAGCTAGACTGGCACATCGATCCGAGTGGGGCTATTGTGATCTCGTGCCTGCTCATCTATCTCTGGGGATCTACGTGCGCCAAACACTTCATTCAGCTTGCCGGTAGAGTCGGCGCACCCGCACAGTCAGACATGGCCCGAGTTAACCTGGGACTTGCAGGCCGCGCCCGAGGACTTTTCTCAGCTCGTGACATATCACTGCGTGACGTTCTCTGATAAGATACTCAAGGTACGCGCGGACGTTGACGTCCGGATCCAGCTGCTGACAGCAGCGGCAGATTGATTCGGTCAAATGCTACTGCAACGCAGAGGTCCGCTCATTGCTTTCTCTAGTGTCAAGCTCACAGCGCAGCAGGACTATGTCGTCGAGGTAGACATCGTGCTCGATCCTCTCACGCCGCTCTGGGAAGCGCATGATCTGTCACAAGACCTGCAAGACCAGCTCGAGACACTGCCCAGCTGTTCACGAGCATACGTGCATGTCGATCATGAAGTCGTAAGCGGTTGGCTTTCTGCTTGCACTGAACTGACCCCTTGTTGGCCTAAGGACCACAAGCCAGAGCATCGCAAACAAGACTAGCGTGGTACATCTGCGATTGTATGATTCGTGTTGTCTTTGATTTGATGATTATTGTACATGTACCTTCGCGCTTCCCCGCAGTAGATATCACGCCAGCGCCGTCGACAGCGCTGCAGCGAGACGACATCAGATACGATCCATCCCACTTCAGCTGAACTGTGAGCATAAAGTGATCAAGTGATGGCACTGCAAAGCTCGCCAAAGAGGCTTGCCGGAAAGGTACTTAGTCACTCGACGCAGATCACTCCCAGCCTGGCGACCTGCGCCTCATCGCTCGCTGCTGTTGCCGGCCGGCCTCGCTGGCATGCTCAACAAGCTGAGTCGAGAGCAATACAGACGGAACAGGCAGGGAGCGTCGCTCTCGGAGCGCTCGAGCAATCCTTCGATACCTCTCGCAGCGTCGAATACATCTCGACCTGGCATCCCGGCAAACATGCCAGAGCGGATAGCTCGGGTACGCGATCGGATACTTCCGTCGAGCTGCTCTCAGCACTTCACTTGCCGAGACAGCCCGTCTGTAGGCCGGCAGCGGACCCTCGTCGAAGCTATGCTACCTCTTCGACAACGTCAGCAAACGCCATGGCGGACAGCGAGACTATTGCGCCCATTTTGGTCACCGACACGGCCCGTCCGGCGCAGCGTCCCCGATGGCCCTTTCGCTTCCCCGTGGCGGCTCATGCAAAGCCAGCAGCTCCGCTTGAGCGCCAGACATTCGAGCCTGCGGCTGCCGCCAAACCGCGTGCCAAGGACCGCACCAAAGATTCAGAGCTCAGAGCCAAAGCGCGGGCCTATCAGATCAAACGGAAAGCTGTGCTTGCGGAGCGAGACGCCACTTTGAAGCAGAAGTGGCCCGCTTTTGCACTCGACAGTATCGAATGGCGCAAGCCACTTGTCCGCCTCTGCAAAACCCCGGCTGAGCTTACTGCGGCCTTACAAGACCTGGAGTCTGGGCACGTGCAGCTCCTCGTGACCCGATTGCGTACTGACTGATGACGCGCAGACCGCTTGGCATGGACCTCGAATGGAACGTCAGCAAACGCAAGGCGCAAACAAACAAGGTATCGCTCGTGCAGATCTGCGACGCCCGTCAGATAATAATTTACCAAATTCCGCCTGGGCAAGGTGAGACTTCTATTCGTGCCTTGTCTGAGAGTCTCACCATGGCTAGCAGGTGTACCACAGGTACTGAGGGCATTGCTCGAGGACGCCGCAGTATGGAAGATTGGCGTGAACATCGGTAGTATGTGCTGTCGCTGGTCCCCGAGATTGGACTCACACACATGTCCTTAGATGATGGCAAGAAGCTAGAGAAGGACCATGACGTCGATTGTAAGGGTCTACTCGAGCTGACTAAGGCTGCACGTCTCGTAGACGCCCCGACTCTAGAGAAGAAACGGGCTATCGTGTCGCTGCAAGAGCTGAGCGGTATCTACCTGGAAAAGTATCTGCCCAAGGGCGAGGTGCGCACGTCCGACTGGGAGCGGCCCTTGACAAGCGAACAAGTCAACTATGCAGCTCACGACGTGTTCGCGGGTCTTCAGATCTTCCGTCGCTTGCTAGATCTTGGCGGTCAACCTCTGGAGTCCTTTGCGGTCTGCCTGACAGACTTTGTTGCGCCCAAGGCTACGACATTGCCGCGCAGCAAGACAGCTTCGCCACGGAAAGCAGCAGGCATTGCGATCAGTAAAGCAACGCCACGCCAGCTCGAGGCTTGGGAGCTGTGGCACGAGCAAGACGAAGAGCCAGAGGCGATCGCCATATCGATGAGCATCCAACCCACAACGGTGGTCTCGTACATCATGGAGGGCATGCGCCGCCAGCTTGACCTGCAGCCGCATCCGGATCGCCTGGAGATGCTCTTGCACAAGCAGCCTGTCATCCGTCATCAATATAGCAAGCTGATCCAACAGATCGCGTCCGGCGCAGAGCGCACGCTGATTGCGGCGGAAGAGCTCGTGCCATATGCGATAGCGCGTGCAGAGCTGGAGGATGCAAAGGACGGGCGCGGCGAGGAGCATGCACAGGTGTAGAGGGTACAATACATTGTTCACACAGGAGGTACAGCCTTGAGTGCCTTGCCCTTCATGCGCACGGCAAACATGAAATTAGTGATTGTCTCGCCCTCTTTGACGGTGGGGAATCTGTCCCAGTGCGAGTGTGCCAGTCTTGCTAGGCGTTCTTTGGCTTCGTCCGGGCCATCCCATACTGAGAGATCTCTGAGCTGTTCAGCCTGTGGCAAGCCGATCGAATCATCGTCGAGGTCGTCCATCGTAGCATCAAAGAAGCCTTCGCCCGTACCCCTGGGAAGCTCCTGGTCTTCTGTGCTCGCCGAGACATCCTGTATCTCATCATCCGCGGCCGAAAGGGGGGCTTCCCGCTTGCGCTTTCTGGACGGCTCAGAGGCTGGGCTGACAGGCAGGCCGGGCAGTGGCGCGTCGACTTGGGCAAACGGCTGACAGGCTTGCCGATTGCTTAGCGGTTGCGGGGCCAGAAGGTGGTAGTGCAAGAGATAGCGGTGCAGCGCGGCTGGCGGCAGAGTGCCGAGATTGATGGTGGGCATCCTGACCTCTTCGGGCAAAGGCAGGGCAGCTTGGCTTGCGGATGGTCTCGCGGCGCTAACCCCAGCACGCCGGGACGAGATCGTGTAAGCGTCATCTTGCTGGGCGGCGAGGGCAGCAGCGGCGGCAGCATTCCGTCGCGCGGCGGCATCCTTGGAGGAGTGCGACTTGCGGTACGTTCCGCTGGCCTGACCTCGTCCTGATGTAGGCAGAGGCGTGTTGTCTCTCGTGTCCTGGGAACGTGCTGGGCGTGGAGAGATCAGCAAGCGAGACGGATGACGGCATGCGAAAGCGGCATACCCTCTGCGCGCTCTCTGTCGCGTTCCTGCCGTTCACGCTCTGTGAGTCGACGAGATCCTGAGGCGCCGCCCGAGCGCCTCGAGCCGCTGGCGGCAGGTGGCTCGGGTGCATCGGGCTGCACTGCTCCAGGGGATGATGAGCGATGGGAGCCGGCTTCAGCTTCGAGTCGGTCCTGCTGGCGCTTTGATGCGGTCATTCTACGCTGAGCTGCAGATCCAGATGGAATGAGCGCATTGGCGGCAGCATCCTCGACTTCTTCCTGGGTGAAGTCTTGCTGGTGATCATCTGCAACGATCGCTGGCGGACTGGGCGCTGCATCTGGCCCTGCCTCGAGCTCTACTTGTGGCGTTGTCGTCTCAGAGGGACGAGCCGAGGCTGATCTCGAATTGCGTCGTGAGATGAGGGGGTCAGCCGAGCTCTCGTTGGGTGGCAGCAGGACCTGCGACGAGCCTCCTGTCGGCGCTCCGACGTCTTCGTCCATGATCGCGTGGGCAGGAGGGCCGGTATCGTCCATGGCGTCCTACGGCGGCCCTCGTCGCGCTCGTGGCAAGTCGAAAAGTGTGTGAAGGCCGCAGACAGCAGCAGCAGATCAGCAGAGCCGACCCAGGACTGCCGCCTACTGTGTCAGCGGGCGATGACGAGTACACAAGCAGCTAGCTTCAGCCGCTATGTCGCCTATGGCGCAGTGGCAGCACTCGTCGCAACGACGGGCTACTGTGTCTACTTTGATCACAAGCGTCGCAACGATCCTGTCTTTCGAAAACGTCTTGGCATGCCCACTCCTCGTCCAGACCGTCACGCCCGGCTGACATGAGTCCTCGCTCGTACAGACATAGCCGAGCGAAGGGTCGAAAAGGCAAAGCGGCTCGATGCTCAACGAGCCAAGGACACCAACAGAGCCGCCCTGAGGAGAGCCGTCTCGCTCATCGACATGGACGAGCTCAAAGCGAACATGCTCAGCGAGGAGTCCATGGAACGCTTCTTCCTCGACCAGCTTACCCTAGCAGAGACGCTGATTAGCCGAGGTGCGTGCCAGTCTTGCTCCCGTCGGGTGAGAGCTTGTGCTCATCTGCGTCCCTTGTCCGATCTGCAGGCGAGGAGTACTACGTCCCTGCCGTGCTAGCGTTCTACAAAGCCTTTATCAGCTTCCCTCGGCCGCAGGTAAGGTCTGCTGTCCTCTGACCCCGATTGCTTGCTAAAGAGCCTCCCGGCCTACAGGAATTGCTGACAGTCTACCGTCAGATTCAGCCCACAGAAGTCTATGAGATGTTCATGGAGGTCATCGCGACACAGCTAGGCGGTGCTGGCGCTGCTTCTCGCTCAGCCCAGCCAAGAGGCAACGCCATCCTAGAAGAGATCGACCAATCAGACCCACCTCCTCCAAGCGCACCCCAGGTCAACGGCCAGACCAGCTCACAGACATCCAGTCCGAAGAGTGGAGGCTCCGGCACTTCTTACGTCCAGGTCGAACGACCGCAAGGCAGTAGCCCGGCTGCAGATACTGCTCGCCCGCAACCGAGCGCAGAGTCCTCCGATCCCCCCGAGTCTGCAATCTGATGTCATACGGAGCATTATAGCGCTTGTACTCCGTTGCATGAATAGCCCCACTGTCAAGCCGTGCCGCCTGTGCCAGTAGTCCTGTTGAGGTTGAACTTCCCGCGAAGCCTCTCACTTTGCTCTTCCTGCACGAGGTCAGGGCCCAAACCGCATTCTACCATAGCCACGACCTCGACCATCTCACCCGTCTCTGTTCCGATCAGACCGCCAACGCGCTTGCAGACCAGTTCCAGGTCCGCATGCACAGGTTCCTCTCGCCGGTGGTTATGGGTCCGGATGCTGCCACGCGGAAGCGCGGCGCCCGTCGGTGGCGCTGTCTCGCCGGCATATAGGTCGCTTGCGATGTCGCCGAGTCTCTTTTCACTCGCTTCGAGATGTCGCTGCACAGTGTGAGCGCTACCGGATGCATGATCCTCTTCGAATAGCCTTGTAGCTCCATTCCGAACTGCCCGACGGTTAGAACGATGACGCCTCTAGATGATCGTTGACCTTACTGCGACTGCCACTCTGTCGATTCCCAAGATGAATGTCACAAAAAGCCACATAAGCGTCGATCTCGCCATCCGAGAGCTCCGTGATATCTTTCTGCCAAAGCGCATCAATAGCGTGGCGGCTAGGCAGGCGATCAAGCTTCCGTAAGGCGGATATCCATCTCGAATGGCTTGGCAATGCGAGCAGGTCCCTCCCGCCCTCGAGGTCGTGCAGGCGTACCTGACCGTCCAGTCCGTAGATGACCTTTGCCGCAGAAACGACGAGAGCAGCCAGAAGGACGTCCGGACACCGCACGAGAGACTGTGCCGCCGACAGCCCGAATACGAGATGCCAGCGTAAGCCAGGACGCCCAGCGCCTGATTCTGACTGAAGCTCGGATGGGTTGGTGTGACGACGCTGCAGCTCGCTAGTATCCCAGACGAGTGGGAGATCGAGTCTCGCGATGAGCTGTTTGACAATCTGATAGGCGATGGCTTCCGTCTAGCCTCAGCACAGCACTGGGACAAGACGATCGTGGCTTACGAGGTAGGGCGAGATGCTCGACAAGCCGTCGTAGCAGAGGAGGCATGTTGATGGGTGGAAGATCGATGCTTTTGGCGGCCATTTGCTGTGCGATCAAGGTCGTGTCCGATATGAGATCTCGGGTAGGTCGAGCGTAGCAAGCCTTGTTGGGGTGCAGCAGATGCAGCTCGATCGAGCGAGTCTGTCTTGTTGGATCAGCAGCGATCCTTGTGAAGCGCCGAGGACGGACATCTGCGAGGTATCGGGCCTGGTAGATCGTTGGGAGATCACGCAAGATAGCTTCTGGCAGTAAGCCGAGGGCGCTGTTCCATGGGATCTGTTCAGTCTTTGCGAGGCTGCGGACAGTCAGGCAGATCACAAGACGAGATGACCAACTGACCGCAAGAGGTCAGCGAAGAAGCAGGGGACGCGCAAAAATTGGCAAGCAAGGTAGAGTATGATAAGTAATTGGCTCGGCTTGAGCGGGACAAGAGAGGCTTTATCGGCGCTTTGGTTGTTGGAAGGCGCTTGCCCCGCTTCTCTCGAGCTCGAGTGGTCAGAGAGCTCGTCTGTAGAAGAGCTCTCGAGCTCCGAATCACTCGCGAGGTCAGAGAGATGCTCGTTGAGCGAGAGATGAGGCAGGGTTGGCTGGCCGATGACGAGTTCTGCGGCCTGGCGATCGGACCAAAACTCGTCTGGCATGACCAGATGACTGTCCACTACGATAGCCCAGATGTCTCGTACGATATCCTGCAGAGGCGCGTCAGACGCCGGGACACGTGACGAGTGCAGGATGACCTCGAAAACGGCTGGCAAGTTCCAGCCGGCGATCAGAGCGGCAGTCTGATGCCTGAGAATGGTCTGCATAGCCTGCAGCAGGACGTAGCGTCTCTCTGCCTTGTTGAGACCTGCAGGTCGGAATGATGAGCACCCGAACAGCAAAGACAGGCGGAAGCTGGCTGACGTCGTCGCTCATCGACATGTTTGACCCTTTTTGTGCGCCTCTGAGAATGCGAGACTGCACCGGCGTACGCCTTTCCTTCGTCCACGTCGGCTATCTCATCCCGGATGCCCTGCTTGAGCTTGGATGAGATGGTGTGGGGACATGCAAGCTGGCGGTGGCCTTGCCTGGCGTAGATGACCCTCTTCGCAGACGTATCCGCCCGCGGGCAGTCTGGACCAGGAGCGTGAACCGCACTCGGTGCATCGGGGTCGTCGGCGGCTCATGTCGGATCATGGAGAGGGACTGTGGTCTGGGGACAGAGGCGGGGACTACGGCTGTTCTCGAGCTGTCGTGGTCGATCCTGTCGCGACACACGTGACAGTCATCAGCGCTTCAGCAGCGACGAGCCCGAGCAGGCGGCAAGATATGACGACGTACGATCCCGGCTCTCTCTCCGTGCCAATGTCGACCAGCTCTTCTTCTTCGTCCACCTACTCGACGCCTGGCCTCACTCCGCCCCTCGCCAATGACCCAGCGACAGCCGAGACGCTAACGACGCCGATCAAGTCACTCAGGCCGGCAGCCAATAACAACAACGGCGTTGCAGGCCTCGCAAAACCTACGCTGGCTCGAGCAGGTAGCTCTGATGGCGACACGGCACTAGCAAATGGGGCCGTTGATCCAACGACGCCTTTCGAATTGACCGAACATGTCCGTCTCCTCACAGATGCATGTGGCCGCACTGAAGCCACTCCTGCTCAGGTAGAGAGACTGCTGGATGAGCTCGAGCGCAGGCTTGAGAGCATCACGACCGATGTTCTCGATCGATGCAAGTCCCCATCACTGGCCCGGCTTGGGAATCTCGCAGCTGATACGGAGCCTGCCTGCAGTGTCGCAAGTTGTGGGCAAGCTCGACGGCCTCGAGCAGCTCTACAACGATATGGCGGATGGACTTGAGGATGCGCCTCGACTGCCGCCGCGCTCACCCGCTATACAGTCTCCTGACCGCCCTCAGCCGACCTGAGGACGCCTGACGCACGAATCGCAGGAAGCCTCGTCTATGTGGTACAGGCGTCTTGTCGCTTCAGGCCTCGGAGAACTGCGAAGCGATCCTCGAAGGACCTGCCGGGGTCGTCAGGGTCGATCACACTGCTCTGATGGTCAGCGTCGTGCTAGCCAGTAAGCCAAGCAGACACGCACGACCAGTCGGGAAAGACGCGCTCCAAATTGTCCGGATGCAGCCTGGGGAGCTCTCTGGCGATGACGGCGCTCATGAGCGCATACACAGCCTGCGCAGGCTTGTTAGCCGACCGGAGGAGAAGCGCGTGGCTGGGTCTGACGCGGTAGCCGTCTGGTGTAAGATGCAAGCCATCGCTGAGATATTTTGGATAGCCGGCCAGCGAATCACCGTTGCCTGCCTCGTGCGCCAGACGTTCGATCTCGCCGTAGACGTCGACATAGACTACGCTGCCGGATCCACCGGATCTTTTCTGGCTCTGAGCTTCGAGTGCGACCTCTCGTACTGCCTGTGCATACTGCGCAGTCACACGCGGATCTCTGTCGTCCTCGCGCTCGCCCGGCCCAAATCGGCGAATGATGTCCTCGCGCCGGTGAACGACCGAGATAGGCGGACAGCTCACGAGGAGGATGTCGGTGGCAGGCGAGTAAGCAGCCGACTGCGGGTCGTGCAGATGGTCGATAAAGGTATGCAGGTTCTCCTTGAATCTGGGAAGCTCTACATGCTGGGAGCGAAAGGATTTGACGGCGTCATTGGCACCAAACCATATCGTCTGTCAAGGTACTGCTGAGCACGCGCACGATGGACGCGTCAGATTTAGCGTACCAGGGCTCGCACACGAGGCAGTGTCTCGCCTGCTAGCCGGGCTGGAGGGAAGATCTGCAGGAGCCTGAGTGAGCCGCTCGCGTGACCAGGACAGCAATCGGCTGACATGGGGCATGACATGCAGCGCCCATTCCGCTGCACCTCTGTCAGCAGCTGATCTGTAGACGAGCATGCTGCGCACTGTTGTAGCCAGAATAGCCCCTGTTGATGACATCTCTGCGCCATACTGGTCACAAAGAAGCAAAGACGCGCGCTCAAGGTGCGTACAATTTGCGCTGGTATACATCTGCAAGCGCGGCGCCCGAGCCGCCGTCTGGCCTGAACGATTGCTGTGTGATCGAATCGCCGAACAAGATGAGCTGGTCCACCAGGATCGGTCTGCTTGATCTGGTTTGATGTGCCTTTTTGTGATCTGAGCTCAGCCGGCTGTGACAAACATGACTGTTGCCTGACTGACGGCCATTTTGGAGTGGTGCAAATGCACGATGAGATGCTTGATCTGATGCCTATCGAGGCTGACAGCGATGACGATGACAGAGACAGCAGCAACGAGGGTCAACAAGCGCATGCGGACGGTCGCGCGACGGTAGCAGCGATAGGATCGATAGGCACGCGGCACGAGCGCACGAGCAGTCAGTCAGTCAGTCAGTCGATCGACACGACAGCGAGCGGTATGGCAGACGAGGACCTCTTGACGCTTGTGATACGCTATCTGACCCAGTATGTGCCTGCCTCCCTCGTCTACGCCATCCTCGGCGCTGGCCAGAAGCTGTACACGTCCACGCAACGAGCGCTCATCGAGAGAGACTCGACTGCGGTGGTTCAGCTCGTGATCACCTTCTTGACGGTCTACTTGAGCTTGCGGACTGCCGTGAATACCGTCAGAAGCGTCTTTGGACTCACCTGGTTCCTCGCCAAATGGGGTCTCATCGGCTCCTCCGTCCTCGCTGCCGTTGGCGGCCTCGACAAGCTCAGAGGCGGAAAGGGCTCCCTTCTGAGCGATCAAGGAAGGGGCTCCACCGCATCTCGCTGGGCATCCGGCATTGGACGCAAGGGAACGGGCTACTGGGCAAACTACCTCCAGAACACCATGTCGGCCGGCTCATCGCCTTTGACGCAGCAGTCCCTCTTCAACTCTCCCAACGCGTCGCCCGACGCAGAGGAAGATGTCGTGCGATCCACGCTCGAGAGCCTGCTCGGCTTCTGGACCGGGGACGACGGTGCTCCGAGCAAGAGCACAAGATCCACAGGCGCCCGCCGTGCCAAGAAGTCAGGCGGCTCGAGAGCGCACAGAAGCGCAAAGGCAGACGTTGTGACTGCCGAAGACCTGCTATCAGCTCTGACTCAGTCCAGTCGGAAGCCTTGGACAAAGCTCAAGTCACTCTTTGCAGGAACGGCCAGCTCATCAGCACGCAAGCGTACCTCTCGCAATCGATGAGACCGGGACCGAATGGCCAGACGCGACAGATGAGAGAGTCGTCTGGGTCCGAGCCACGTGATCTGTAGAACGACAGAGGATCGAGCAGTCAAAGCAAAGTTGTAGAACGATTGGAAGGAATGTTGTTGGCGCTGGCCCGCCGCGCGTCCCTCTCGCTGCCCTTCTCGTCAGCTGACTCATCTGCGAACATTTCCCCAGCTCCTGCAATGAGCTCCCTATCAAGCTCGCAAGTCCTCCCCGGGAGCAGAACAGTGATCACCTCGACTCGCCACTTTGACCTGGCAAAGTATTCGAGGGCTGTCTTCGCACATGGGGGCCCTTTGACCAATGTAAACTCTCAGCCCGACCGACAGAGCATCACATGGCAGCACTTCACACAACCCCGGCTCGTTCTTCTTCTCGAGACGACGACGACAACGACCACTTCTTCCTCGTCTAGATCGTCCGGCAGCTCGCAGAATGGCAGATCCAACCGACGAACGAGGCAGGACGAGCAGACGTCTGACAGTCAGACCTTGCAGATCGCTCTTCGGGTAGTCTGGCATACCCGTCTTGAGCTGCCGTCGGTAAGTCAGATGAGGGCTACTGCATCCCAGAAGCCCTCGGCCGATGAAGCGATCATGGTAAGCTCTGCACGATCATTCTGCCGTCGATGAGATAACAGTGCGCGCGCAGGAACAGCTTCAGCTCAACTCGTCGACACAGTCCGGCACCGACAGTGACATTGTCAAGGTCGTCTGGAAGGCAGCAACGGTCGCTTTTCGATACAGCCCATCTTCGCAACTCACCACGTCCGAACCGCCTTTGCAGGTAGGTCCCGAACTGACGGACAGTGCAAGGCTGAGATGCGCACAGGGAGGCCGTTTTCAAGTGCGCCTCGCTGATGCCGGTGCTGCGCAGGAATTGATCAGCCTGCTCGCCAGCGTATGCCAAGTCAAACAACAGGCCGCAATCGCATCGACTCTACCTGCACGGAACGCCGGCTCTGCTGCTGCTGGTCCTGCTGCACTGTCACCCTCAAAGCCGATGCAGCATGATCTTATCGAATCTCGTCACTTTGTGAGAGTGGACGAAGACAAATCTTCACAGCCGCATCAGTTGCGGCCACTTCGACACTTAGATCCCCTACAGCTGCATTCGCCAGATGACCATGGCGATATGGCACAGTCTGCCCATCCTCTGCCTGCTCGATCTACACGCAAGCGCGTCCTCACCACCAACATTGTTCCATCGACTGCAGTGCGACATCGCCAAAGCCCCGTCCAAGCTTTTGCGCAAGATCCAATCGCTCGCCCTCGGGTCAAGCGAAATAGAAGACGGTTGTCGTCCGACAGTCCAACCGAAGAGCGCGCAGCGCTGTCATGCACTGCGCTGAAGCTCCCATTGGCTTCGCCAAACACAGTATCGGTCGTGAGAACAGCGGAACGCAGCACACAGACAGAAACGCCCATTGATCAGCAGCTGGGACAAGTGCTCGTGTCGAAGCTCAAGTCGGACAAGTCTTTCCTAGCAATCCTGCGCCGGCTGTGCTGCGATAAACTTGCGGATGCCTCATGAGCAGCCCAGCATCAATTACAATGCAATACATGGCAATCTACACCCTCGAGCTCACGCAAATCGGCTATGCGCCAATGCGATGTACAGTCTTCTTCTGCCCAGAGAAGCGGATGACCTCGCGCTTTTCGAGGATGTAAAGTGTCCTTTCGAGCGCGTGCTGCGTATAGCTTTGCTGCTGCACGAATTCGCGTACCAAGCTAGCGTATGAGGTGCTCCAGCCGATTGGCAGTCGTCTTCTGATGTCGCCTTCGATCTTTGTGATCTCTTCCATCAGCTCGCCGCGCGTCATGCCTTCGATGCTGCCTGCCTGAACGGCATCCATCGTCGAGTACTTAAACAAGCGCATTGCTTCGTCGACATGATGTTCGCCGACCTGAGGCGAGAGCGCTAGCTTTGCGAGCGATTCGGAAATGCGGATGATCGCTTCGAGCTGTCGGACGGTGATTGGGATCGACGAGCGCTCGTTGTTGTCGCGTTCGACTTGCTGGACCTGTTTGCGTAGCCCGACGAAGTGGCTACTCAGCTTCTCGGCTGCTTCTGCTGACAATCGCGGTGCACAACGACTGCAAGACTGTCAGTATCGTGCCAAGAGTCGAGGCAGAAGACGACGCTCACGATTTGCAATACGAAACGTATCGCTTCATCTTGTCAATGTCAATCTCGCCGATGGCCTGGTCGGGGACGTTGCCGGTGATGTGCAGTGCCATGACATGCTTGGCGATAGTCTGTTTGATGCGACTGAGTCAATGCTATGCATGAAGACCGTCAGACGTACGCGGTCGCGAGCCTCGCTGTGCTCGTCCTTGACAATGAAGATCATGTCGAAGCGCGAAAGAATTGTAGTTTGGAAGTCGATGTTCTGCGCAAGGATCAGCCGACGGTGGTACCACAGCAGCTCAACGCGCCTCTCCAGGCGACTTCATGTCATCATAGCGGCCGAAGACGGGATTGGCGGCTGCAAGGACACTTGTGCGCGAATTGAGGATCGTTGTGATGCCTGCCTTTGCGATAGAGATCGTCTGCTGCTCCATTGCTTCGTGAATCGCAACCCGATCTTCGTCGCGCATCTTGTCAAATTCGTCAATGCAGACGACTCCGCCGTCTGCCAGGACCATCGCGCCGCCTTCCAGGAAGAACTCACGCTGGTGTGCACAAGTCAGTAAGGGGCAAACATAGACTGAGCGACCTACTGTCAGGGGATCTCGCTGAACAGATGCGGTGAGACCAGCTGCACTGCTTCCTTTGCCAGATGTATAGACCGAAATGGGCGATGCTTTTTCGACAAATTTGAGCAATTGCGATTTGGCTGTACCGGGGTCACCGAGCAGCAGAACGTTGATATCACCACGCAAGCGCATGCCATCTGGCAATATTTTCTTGCTGCCGCCCATGAGGAGACACAGTACGGCCTTTTTGATGTCTGCGCCGCGCATTAGCAGGGCCGTGACTGCACAGCGGAGACGCACCGAGATGGCCATAGATGGATGGCGCAATTGAACTCGCAAAGCGCTCGTAAAACCCATCTTGTCGCGACATAGAACCGAATTCTTCCTCCTCCTCAGGCGTGAAGGTCTTGCGAGAGCCAGCGTTTTCACCGTCAGCGTCGATCTCAAGGCCCACTATGCGTAGATATGGCGTGCGAAGAGCGATTGCGCCTGCAGCTTTTGACGATTTCGCTGACTGAAAGGTCGAATAAACACCCGTAGCAATGATGCGAGAGCCAGGAATGACTTTGCCGGTGAGATATCTGCAGTGAACACGATGAGCCAAGGCGCCTCTGCGCGAGTCTTGACTGACCGATCAGCGGTCATCTGAAGATGGCGCGGCAGCTCTCCGACAGGTACCATGTCGGGCGCCTCCTGTAATTTGATGGTTTGCTGGTCGACAAAGGCGCACTTTTCGTGCACAATCACGTAAGGGTCGAGCGGACAGTCTTTCGTTTCGCCTTCCATGGGTATGCTGTGGCATGATTAGCGGATGAACTATGTTGAGGCACTGGACATACGCAGCACATCTGCGTGGCAGCGTGAAGCCAGCGAAGCCACCTTGCACGGCCACTGAGTGTGTGTGACGGCAGCCTTTGCACATGAGCGACAATCGCTCGGCACGTGAAGCCAAAGTCGAAGCAGAGACGACGATGCCTGGGATTCTGACCAACCGAGAGATGGACGTCGCCTGCCACCGAGTTAGTCATCGCAGCAGCTGCCAGATTGTGCTCACATGTAGATCTCTGAAGCGCGTCAGATTGGCCTGCGACCTCAGAGTGACTTGGATGGCAGGCGTTTCGGCGTCTTTACTTATGCCGCCTAAAATGTTGTTGCCTACCGGCGGGGCAGCTTGCTCGTCGCCGGTAAAGCCGCCCTGCACGTCGAGCGTCTGATCGAGTGCAGCATCGTCCAGGAGAGCACCAGCGGTGCCGCGCGTCAAGGGAGCCCAAAGTTGCCGTGCGGTACGTCGAAGAGCCTCCTCGAACTGTCGACGGTGTCAGCTCGCGCGTACGTCGAGGCAGCGAATGCTCACAAGCGGCAGGATCTCGCCTGGCGTCTCTCTCAGACGGTTGGCAAGCTCCTCGTTGTACGAGATGAGATCTTCGACGTTGATCTCAAGCATATACTGCTTCGTCAGGAGATTCGCTCGCAGTCGATCTCTGCAGCCTTTGTCAGCGTGATAAGCTGGCTAGCATCATCTGCTTGCCTGTAAAGCCAGCCTTCGCCGACACGGAAGCCGAGCACAAAGTCCATGAACTGCTTGATGGTCTCGCTAGGCCGTAAGACATTTTGACCGTCGATGCCGACGCCGTCCGTAGTCTGGGCCGCAGGTGGTAGAACCGGCACCACATGGATTCTGCCTCGATCGAATCCGGACATGTCACAGGTCTGCTAGCTGCACAGTAATGTGGACGCTCGTTGGACCAGGAACGACTTCGCAATCGACGCGACGCGTTTTTCGCGTAAAGTGCTGCCACCTGCGGTTGTCCGCGGGGAAGCTACCGGCTCCTGCCAGTATCAAGTCGCCGTTGCTTGCTGTAAATGCAGCCCTTGCGTCATGAGCGGGCTTCGGCGAAAGGGCTCATCCAGTTGTCTCGAGGAACAAGCAATGCCATTGCAACTCGCGCCGGCTGCAGAGCTGTGCTCAGCAGACTCGAGTTCAGCTACCCACTCAAGCTTATTGCGCCACGACTACCAGCTGACCATGCACCTGCGGATGCTGCCGCTCAGGAAGGCGCGTCGATCGCTGACCTGATGATCGTCTATATCCTCAGCTACGGCGGTGGTCTCATATCGGGTGACCAGATAGAGCTCTCAATCCACGTCGAAGCCGGTTGCCGTCTCGTCGCACTGACGCAGGGCAGCACCAAAGTATTTCGCAGTCGGTCGCTACAGATGGATGCCTCGCTTTGCGATCGTGCTATGCATCCGTCTGCGGATATGACACGTCAGGCCATGACAGTGATGGTCGAGCCAGGTGGCTTGTTCGTGCTTATGCCCTCGACGCTGACGCTCTTTGAGCGATCCAGCTACGCTCAGGTCCAGCAAATCAAGCTGTCTCAAATTGGCGGTGAGCCAAGCAGTAGTGCAAGTCTTGTCCTGCTTGATTGGTATACCTCGGGCCGGTCAGCACGAGGAGAAAATTGGGCTTTCGATCAATTGTGCATGGAGAACATCATCACATTGGTAGGACAAGACAAGCATGAGCGACTTGTTGCGCAAGACAGACTCCATCTATCGATCGAGACACCCGACATGAAGAGCTATCTGGGTTGCTATCAGTGCTTCGCGACACTCTTCCTTGCCGGACCGCTCGTCGAAGCAGTACTGAACTCGTTCGAGAAGGAGTGGGACGAAGAGAGACAATGGCGCTGCGCGAGGCCACAAAGACTCGTATGGAGTTTCAGCTGGCTTGAATCCGACAAGTTATCAGCTTCGCAGACTCGTCTGGCTGCTTCAAGAATCGCTACAGAGCCTCGCGACCCAGTCGAATGCCTGCGAATCAAGCTTGCAGTCGTGCGCTGTGCTGCAGTATCGAGCGAAGAAGTCAAGGTCTGGCTGGAGACGCGTCTCGCTTTGCTCGCGCACGTAATCGGTGTCGACGCCTACAGAGCGGCTTTCGTCTGATGCTTGGCAAGGTTACCGTTGATCCAATTTGCTGCGCACGCGCCCTCGCAACGTTCGACGCTCGTCGGCGAACGTGCGGTCGTGTAGCTAGGGGCGCTTCGTCGTCGAGCACCCTCGCGCTAATTCAAGGCGGCGGCTGTCGAACTACGTGCTGACAATGCGACAGTGGCTATCTCTACTGGCATTTGTCTGCTCGGCCTGTCCACTGCGAGCTGTGCCAACCTTGCCCGCAGCTTCGTCGATGCTGCAGAGCTACGACGTGGCCTGTGTGTCTCTCAGCCTGCCGTTACTTAGGTCTGAATATGGACGACAGACAACATACATGCGCAGTGTGCGCCCATCACCCGCTATTGGCATGGCACGGTTTTCCAGGTCAACCATGCCGCGGCTTTCTTGACACTCAGTTTGCCATCTCCTTCGGCGGAACTTCAATTGATGCTCGTGCGCTCATCGAACGAGGCACAGCCAATTTGACGCTGACCGGTGTCATAGTCTGGAGGCAATGGTCAGATCAACCGAGCGCGGGCCGTCGAGCGCATTCGCGATAAAGGTGGCAACCGCGTGCTCATCGAATTCATGTGCGCTGTCTGTTTGCTTACCTGGCCCTGACACTAAGCTCATTGCAGAACGATTGGCAATATCCGAGGCGAGCCGCCGACTGAGCCAGGATGGACACCAGAGGGTACGCAAACTGTGAGCCCGTCGGACGTGCTCTAAAGAGCTAGCAGATGGCGCATGTTGTCATGTTCGAGCCACGTACACTGCTTGGGTATGGCTCAACATCGGTACATGTCCTCCATGGTCAACGGGAGCACGCTCACTAAGACCCCAACGCAGAGAAGATCGAGCCCGGTAAAGTGACGGTGCAGCAAGTCTGTGACGCCGACCAGTTGCACTGTCCGATTATCAAACGCCTAGAAGGCTCCCAGAACTGCTGGATCTTAAGTCACTCGTTTCCAGAGCCCTGATATCTCGCACGCTGTACAACCTGCTTATGCAGCATCTACTCATACAGCCCTGCAGCTAGTTCATTCTGAGCGGCTACCGTGCCTTCTTTTTCCCCTTTGGGGCCTTTGTTTTGCCTTTTGCCGCTTGATCTTCGAAAGCGTCAACTTTGCGCTTCTTGCCAGACGACGCTGCACGTTGCTCACCCGAGTCGGCAAGACAGTCATCGCAGAACCATTCCGAGTCTGGGACTTTTTCCAAGCGAGGGTCTGTGCAGCTGAGATGATAAGGATACTCGCAACGGTCGCATTCGAGTGGCGGATCGGTCTCGCCGCGATCCTCTTTGCAGACGATGCAGATGTCCGGCGTGTCCGGGGTCTCTGGCCATCTCGGCAACTGGCTCCAGACGTCAGAACTGGTCGTGCTCGCTGGAGTGCCATCAGACTCTCTCGCAACAGCTTTTCGCAGCTTCTCGAGTACTTCTAGGGCGTGCGGAGGTCGCACAAGGAAGTAGGTTGTGTTCTGGCCGGCAGCGAGATCAAGGATTTGGAGGCCATCTAGCGTCTCGACGCGGATGGGCAAAGTTGCGCTTTTGCGCTGGTCGACACCCAGACCAAGCTCGCCGTTAGTGCAATTCTGACCCCAGCCGATAGTGACATTATTGGTCCCCTCGTCATCGGCGACTGCAAAGAGTGTCGCGCCTCCCAGGGAGATTAGGCGTTGCTTGTAGGCTTGTATCTCGTGTACAGGCCGGGGATGCATCCAAGGCTGGCCAGATGACCCGTCACCGCTGGTCTTCCACCGGCCAAAGAGATACAGCATGCGCTGACCGTCGATGACGAAAGAATTCTGCGGCCCGCAACAGATGTATGAGGCGCGCATGAGGACATTCGTTTGAGCAAACTGTGAGACGGGCTTAGCCACCAGGAGATCAACTTGGTTGCCCATGCCAGTGCGGCCAAGCGCAGAATAGCCCCAAGCGTAAAGATAGCCATCGCTATCGAGTGCCAAGCTGTATGAAGATCAGACCCAGATCTCAGGCTTTGACGAGTTGTGACCCACTTGTGTTGCTGTCCGGAGCTGATCTGGATGATATCCTTGCCTTCGAGGCCGCGTACTGGCATGGGCGTCGGTTGCTCTTGGAAAGCGAGACCTTTGCCGGTGATGTATTCGCCTGTTTTGCCGCTGCCGAGCACACCTTTCTCGTGACTTCCGAATGCATAGACGCGCCCCGTGGTGGTCAGGATGAGAGAGTAATTGATGCCCGCCGCGACTTGTATCGCTTTTTCTTTGCCGATGCCGCCCGCAACGACGCGCTTGAAGGCGTGGAGGTCTTTGAGATCATCCTGGCCGCACTGTCCCATCGCGTTTGCACCGGCTGCATAAACCTCGCCGGCTTCGGTGACGAGCAAGAGGTGGTGCCTCCCGATGGCAGCATGCACGATGGGACTCTGCGATAGGCCAGAGGGTAGCGTGTTGGCTGGGTAAAAGCTCGAGTTGAGTAGCGAGACTGGACCCGAGACTGGATCTGGCGCGTTCGTACCCAATGCACCATGCTCGTTACGTCCCCAGAGCCAAGCAGTCTACGTCTCCGATCAGCTGGAACAATGTGAAAGCGCGTGTGTGCAGGCTGACCCCGTTGATGTCAATGGCGACATGTGTGGCCCCAGAATGGCTCGTGAACTGCACTCCCGAGCATCAGCACAGCAACAAGGGAGGCATGCGCATGCGCAGAGCTGACGATGCGTCGAAATGCCACGTGTGCCACCGAGCGCACGATAGACGGCGTCGTGACGTCGGCACTGTTTTGGACGGCTTTCCTGCCCGCCGTCGCCCAATCCGTACAGCCAGTGACGACGAGGCGACCCCATGCGCCGTCAAGATCTTGCGGGCGCTTGCCGAAGCGAGACTTGATCTCTGCAAAGTGCTCTTCACTCGTCATCCTTGCCGGCGAAGAGCGTCGCGTCGACTTGGCTTGGAGAGAGCCAGAGGCGGCCACGAAGAGCAGCGCCCAGTCCGTCCCTTGAGCAGCATGGTGACCGTCAAACTCGAGGTGAGATCGAAGGGCGCCAGTAAGACAGGTCGACCGGCCCAGGAGATTGCCTTCAGCGAGGAGAAGACGAGCGACATCACCCTGTTCCACCTCAAAGAGGCAGTCAATACGAAACTTCACGTACAGCGTCTGCAAAGCTGTCAGATGCTCTCAGCTGAGTCAGTCAACAGATCCCCTCAGAGCGACAACGCCTCCTCACGGCGGAAAAGAGAGTGCTGAGCGACGAGGACGAGTCAAAGACCTTGGATGCGCTTGGACTCAATGATGGCGACACCGTCACCGTCAAAGACCTCGGCCCTCAGATTTGTAGGTAGCTCAGACTCCTTCCATGACGATCGCTGAAGTCTGCTTCCAGCTTGGCGCCTAGTCGTGCGTCACTCTCCCTGTCCTTTGATGGGCGCCTGTCACGCTGCTCATGCCTTACCCCGCACTCGCAGTATATCATCGAATACGTACGTCGACGTGCTTCCGCTGGAACCCTACCTGACTGAACGACCGACTCACAGGCCGGTCCCATTGCTATCCACCCCTTGTTCTACTTTTACGGCTCAAAGTTCATCTACGGCCGCTCACTCGTACACAGCAAGATGCAGACGTGCGCTTTCCTCCCCAGATTTGTGTTCGTTCGCTCATGCGGATTCTATAGCATGGTGTTCGCCATGATCATGGCACACTACATCAAGCGCGAGCTCGAGACCGTCTTTGTCCACCGCTTTTCCAAAGCGACGATGCCTCTCTCCAATGTCTATCGCAATAGTGCCTACTACTGTTCGTTCGCCCTGCCGAGCGAACCTGTCGGCTGATTCGGTCGAGCAGGGATCTTCTCTGGATTTTTGCTCGCTTGGCCACTCTACTCGCCCGCCAATTCCTACTCGCAGCTGTACGGCACCTTGCGAGCCAAGAACGAATACCTCTACACTTTGCTGTCTGTCTGGCTTGTAAGTCTCCGAGCGATTCTATTGGCCCGCTGTTCGTCATGACTTAGCCTATATGGATAGTTTGCGCAAATCTCAAACTTTGTGTCGCACATGCAGCTGCGCGCGTTGCGACCGGCAGGCACGCGCGAGCGACACATTCCCTACGGCTACGGCTTCGAGATCGTGTCATGTCCCAACTATTCTTTCGAGATACTCGGCTGGCTCACCGTCGTCGTCATGACGCAAAGCCCCGCAGGTCCGTCTCACGTAAGCATTCTGCGTGATCCCTCGCTGAGCGGTGGCCATGCAGTACTGCTGTTTGCAACCATTGGCGTCTATTTCATGTCGACGTGGGCTGTCAGCCGGCACAAGGCGTATCGGCGACAGTTCGGCGACAAATACCCCCGCAACCGCAAGATTCTGATCCCATATCTGTTCTGAAGAGGCACAAGAAACAAGAATTGCATAGTGTTACATTACAGCCCTGTCCTCATCTAGGTCGAAGGAAAGTAGTGATTGTGAGATGGCCGCTCTGGCGCAGACTCGTCGTTGGGTTGAGGTAGAGCAAAAACTGCATTCGAAGTCCGAGGTGGACTCTGAGGCGAGTCGACGGTGATCGTCGGCGTCGGATCAGTACGTTGGTCCAGTGCAGCTAGCGGCAGTATCTCTGCTTGCTGCGTCAACGTAGTGGTCCGCGCATGGCTCGTCAAGACATGAGTTGCCGTGATGGAAGGGGAAGAGGCATCGAGATCTACGTATTTCATGGGAGTCTCGACCCCCTCGTCCGGGTACTCTGATCTTGGGGTCTCGTCTTCGTAGATCGTTGCAAACGTCGGCCTCGCGTGTCCGTTCTCGATCGTGTTCGCCCTACGCACTTCCTCCTCTTCTGCAATCTCTCGCAACACAGACGGCCGAATTTTCGCCATCTCGCGATATAAGTACCACGCGACGGCGCAGGTGATGATAAAAGTGAAAATGACCACGAGATATTGAATGACTTTGGAGGCCGTGCTCCTTTTTGAACCTTCCGTGAGGAAGAACGTGCCCAGATAGACAATCGCGAGCTGTTTCGGCAGAGAGATGACGGCGGCTGCCATGAAGACCCAAATAGACATGCCTGTTGACGCAAATACTGCAGTCGTGAAATGGCCAGGTATAGCAGAGAAGCGGGCCAGGCATGCAGTCTTGAAGCCGCCCATCCTGACGAGCCGTGTCATGCAGCGATAATTGGGGCTGGTCTGTTCAAGTTTGCGCGACCGGCCGGTACAGATACCCTTGAAGGCGTAAAAGTTGCCAACCTCACCGATGAATGTGCCAGCGCACACGATACCGAAGCCAATCCATAGGCCCCAAATGATACCCACCTGCATCGGACAGAGTCAGTGAGGAGCTCTGGGTAGTTGTGACAAGACCCACGAGGATGATGACGAGCTCTGCTCCAAAGAGTGGCGGGAATGAGAGGACAAAGATGATCATGATTGGTATCAGCCAACCGGCCGGCAGATCGCGCAATTTGCGTGAGACTGGCAGCAGGGCGACGACAATTGTGTGATGGAAGATCGTCACCACGACTGTGAGGATGACGATGATGCCGATCAAGAGATACCACGGCCACCATTTCTTCTTGAGGAACATGCCCAGATGGACCGTGCCAAAAGCGGCAGTCTCGACAGGGTAGTCTCGCACATAGTAGAAGGTATCGACGCTGACAATGGAGGCAATCGTGGAGCTGCGAGAGCGTCCGACCCGTGGTCTGGTAGGTCGGAGAGGTGTGGTCGTGTTAGTCGTCTCTACCGAACCTGCAGCGCTCATGAGCGTGCCTGACCGGGAGCGAGTCGCCGCGGCGTCAAAAGTAGGTGGCATGCCACTAACGGGCGTATTGAGGGCCGACATATCGTAGTCGGCCTGTAAGCCAGCCGGGCGAGAGTTTGGAGACGACAGGAGTCCCATTTCGCCATTGATGAGAGCAGATTCTGGCACAGGCCCTAGCATTGGGGACTCGTAGTTAGATCCAGATAGCGGGGCCTGAGCTCGAAGAGAGGGTATAAGCGGTGAGCCCGAGCGCGAGGGCGGGTAGGTCGCGAGGTCAGAGACCAGCGGGTAGCTTCCCGTGGCGGGCGCGCTGTCTGTCGCGACTGGCTCGAGGACACCGAGCGTCCCGGCCGGGTCTCTCAACGAGTTGCGAAGATTAGTGAGACTTGTCCGCGGAGACCGCAGCCTCTTTGGGGATGTCGTTTCGGCCGGCAGCCCCAGGCCATTGGCTGGCTTGCCGGTCGATCCCGCCGCCTGTACATCCTGGCCAGGCGTCGTGGCAGGCGGCGGCAGACTCCACGTGACGCTCCGTCTGCTGAGATCAGAGCCACTCCGGGCTCGACCCGGCAAGCCCGAGAGGCTCGCGGCTGCTGGCCTGGGAACGGCAAGGTCCGAGGGCGATGTCGACAGGATGGAAGGCGAGCTGGGCGCTGGCAGCGTACGAGGATTGAGCAAAGAGCCTGATCTCGAGCGTGAACCCGATCTTGAGGAGGGTCTGCTGGAGCTCGGAGTTGCAGAAGAGAAGGGCGCACGTTTGCCGACGCCAGAGGGTCCGTTAGGCCTGCTGAGGTCCGGGCTGTCCATGTAAGGATTGGTTGGGCTGTCTCGTCGAAGCTATGTCGGCTGGTCAGAAGGTGACCTTGAAATCACTCCTGGCTGGCTTCTCGGCCAAGCTTGTCGTGGTAGGAACGACCTCTAGATCTCCAAGGGCTGCGTTGCGTGGCTCGATGTCGCTAGGGGCTGACAGAGACAGTCGAAAGAGCCATCGTGTATCGTCATGCTCTATGTCGCTCAGCTTGGCGATGGTCTGTTCTCGTCTGTCTAGCGTACTACTTCGCGCCTGGTGCTATATTTGCTCTACACTGCAGGTCGAACTCCTCCTAGGCCGTCCTGCGTTTCCGACGACGTGATCGCATGATCGGCTAATTTGCAAAAAGCGCGCCTCATCAGGCGGACACGTACACAGATCGGTCAGCGCTCAGTGCTTCGGCTCGCGGTGGTGGGGCGCTCGAGCAGACAGCGACTGTGGACTGCTCGCTCCACGATGAGCGTTTTCCTCAATCCGGGCGTACACACCAACGCTGTACTCGTCAAAGCCCATCAGCATCGTATGCTCGCAAGCACTCTGCTTGCTCGGCAGCCTTTCAAAGCGATTGTCTTGATCTACTATATCACCTCGAGCTTGTTTGTCTGTGCACCAGCATGGGCTCTCTGGTACTTACCGCGTTCGAACCGACCGCGTCGCTCGTGGTCGCTCGCACATCTGCTCATGACAAAGCTCATCTTTCGCATTTCCGCGGGTGTAGTCAGAACTCGGGTCGCCATGCAAGCGCGCGACCCATTTGAGGACCACACGAGGCCAGCAGGCAGAGCTGCGGAAGCTCTGAAGGAATGCGACTTTGAATTCGTCGAGCCTGTTGCAGACGACAAGGTGAAAGGCTTCGCGGCGGATCCTGACATCAAGCCAGGCAAGCCGCTTGAAAGCTCACCATGTAACGTGTAGCCTGATCGTGCATTGCAGAGCGTGTTGGCGCGTATATCTGGCCGAGCAGTTCAAGGCTAGATGATCCTGAAGACCGCCGTCTCGTCATGCTCTTCTGTCATGGAGGAGCCTACACGTACCACTCTGCTCATCCTACCAGCGACACGTCACGCATCCCACGCCAATTTGTGAAATCCTACACCGACACTGTCAAGGCTATCTATTCGGTTGACTTCCGGACGAGCTTGCATACGCCTGCACCTGCACAGCTGCTCGATGCCATATCTGCCTATGCCACCCTGATCGATAAGCATCATGTACCGCCGCAGTCCATCATCATCACCGGGAACTCTGCAGGAGGAAACCTGTGCCTCGCGCTGGCTAGATATCTGCGCGATGAGCAGGTCTATCCGCTGCCAGGTGGAATCTACCTGCAATCGTAGGTCTCGCTCGAGCATCGTCTCACCGGCCAAGCTGATCTGGACCCAGACCGTGGTCGAACCCTTCCTACAACACCAAGATAGATGGCTACAACTCATCCATTCTGCGTAATTGCAATGTCGATTTTCTCAACTTTCCCGCGCTCGGTGATTTCGTCCAGGCAGCATTAAGAGGGACCAAACCCAGAGAATATCTCAACTCGCTCTACATTTCTCCCGGCCGGCCAGCCTTGCAAGTCACCGAAGCGGCGTTCAAAGGCTTCCCGAGGACCTTCATCAACTATGGAGAAGCCGAAATACTGTACGAAGAGATTCGAGTGCTCATCGAACGTATGCGTCTCGGCGGCGTCGAGCTCGAGATCGACGAGATAACAGACGCGATGCACGATCCTTTGGTGAGACTCGAACCTACTCGCGCACAGAAGCTGATGCTGAGGCAGTGCACCGAAACGGGCAATGTCGAGCGCATAGACCGGATCATCGAAGCCACTCGTCCATGGCTCACGCAATGCCTCAAGGATGCCCATGCGAGCCACGCGGGCCAACAATAGACGACATGCGAGCTTGCTGAACAGACATGCATCATACATTATGCCTATGTGAGACCATCGTCCTCGCTGACAAACGCGCTGCGAAGAAGTGTTAGCGGAAGTCTCAGCGGTGTGGAGAAGCTCACTTGAGCGACTTGAGCGCTTTCGCCACACCGAAACTAGCTTTTGCCATGGATTGCTTCATCTGCTTCGTAAACTCGCCCTGGTCGGATGTCTGCAGGTCGCTGAGCTGTTCGCAGTTCGTCTGCAGATCTTGCAAAATGTCTTCGCCTTCGTTGCGTAGATGTGCAGGCAGACTTTCCTTGGAGATAGCGACGATGGATGACACAATCGTTATGATTTGCGTCAGATTCTCATTGACTTCGGGACCTGATGCACCGCTTCGAATGGCCGCCAACAATGACTGAATCGACTGGACAATTGCTTCGGTTTGCGTACCTAGATAATGCTGCGATGCAGCGTTAGTCTTTATGCACATTCAGCAAATGATGACACGGACTTTGAGCTCCTCCCAGTTCTCTTCGACGCGTGCTTGGTCAAGATATGGATCTTCTGCTGGCTGTTGCTCATCATCGTCAAATGGGGCTCGTCCGTAAAGGTCATTCGTCTCGTTCTCATGATAGCCGCGCTGAGCGTCGATGCCGAGACCTTGGGCGCCATATGTAGATGCACGGACTTGCGGCAACGGCAGATCAGTGGCTTGCTGTTCGGGGGCCAACCTATCGCTTTGTCGCGACCCGTTGCGCGTCAGCAGAGGCTTGATCGGATCACTGAATGATGAATTTTCGAGCGGCGTAGTGGGCGAACGTGAGTCCGAAGGCGACAGCGGGTTGGGTCCGTAGCTCTGAGGTTGCGTATAGCTCTGCGCGTCGTGTTGCTGGACTCGGAGGGGCGGCAGGTCGCGCTCTTGTGATCGCGCTGCAATGTCTGGCCCCTGTCGGACGCATTTGATGATCTCGATGACTGAATCCGCCAGATGACTAGCTGCAGCGTCGAGTAGACTGACGGGCGAGAGACCCTGCGCAGTCGCATGGTTTCTCGCTGCCGTCAGCAGATTCGTCAGGGTCGCGTGGCATTTCTGCTTGAGCGATTGCAGCCTCGCAAAATCGGGATTCTGTGGGTCCTGGGTTGATAAAGTACGCTCGTAGATCTGTACGTCCTTGTCGATTGAGCTGACAGCAGCCACGATTTGTCTGGCAGCCGAGACGAGGTCGGAGGACAAAGTGCTGCTCCTGCTCGTACGCAACAAATGGTCGACAGACTGCCTGAATTCGCTGACATTGGCTTCGCTTATATTTCCACCCTTGGCGCTTTTGGTGGCGCTGTCCGGCATTGCATAGTCGATGATGCTAGATCTCGCAGCGAGCTGCTGTTTCACTACCTGCAGTTCGCTCTGCAGTCGGTCGATGCGTTGTGCATCGGTCTCACGATCGGCCGCCGCTTCTCTCTGAGCATCTTCAGCGTCTTGCAGATCTCGCATGAGCTTAGCGATCTCCCTCCGGAGCTGTTCCGTCGTCGCAGACGCATTTTGGTGCGCGGCTCGAGCATCGGCAAGATCTCGAGACAGCTGCGCGCTTGCGCCCGTGTCGTTGGTGTCGCGTGTCGTACGCTGGAGTTGCAACTGTTCAAGCTCGCGTTGCAAGCGTTCGTTGCGAGTCAGCTGCTCCTGATGCCTGTCGCGGTGATCTTCGATCTGGTCGTTGAGAGTGCGCAGCTCATTCGCGTGCGTGTCTGTCAACGACTTGCTGTCGCCTCTCGCGCTGTCGAGATCTCGTTGGAGAGCTGATATACGGGTCTGCATCGTCGCAATCTTGTACTCATACTCTGACTTTAGCTTCTCGATCTCTTCGCTCGTATCGCGAGCCCGTGTCTGCTCGCCGGTGCCGAAGCCGCCATTGGAGGCAAAGCGTGCGCTGGAAGGACCTCCTAAGCTACTCGTCTCGCTCGCGCGTGTCCCCAAGCTGATCTTGTCGTAATATTCGCTGCCCTTACCGCCCAGGCTTTGCTGGTTACCCAGTCGGGACGGCGTGCCGGTGATCGATCCATTAGGCTGACCGAAGCCGGTACGAGAAGGCGACGTGAGCGCAGACATGCCCGAGGGCTGTGCACCCTCGTCGCGGGGTATACTCGGATTGCGTCCACCGGCAGACCTGCCACTCGAGAAGTCACGCTGATCGTACGGCGAGTTGCGCCCGCCAGGATCGGAAGCAGGACCGACGTCTTCCTCGACGAAAGTAGATTTATTGGGGACGAGCATCTCGTTAGCTGCACCGTAGCCATTGGACGCGATGCCTGGCGGTAGATTTGATTGGTTACGTCGAGGGGGTTGCTGAAGTGTGGAATTGGAGGTGGAAGTCACAAGCGTCTCGCTGTCGTCGCTCGTCATGCCCTTGGATGTAAGTCCAGAGCCAGCGTTGCCCGAAAAGCCAGGGAAGCCTGAGCTACCGACTCTGGGGAAGTGAGGAAAGCGGCGACCGAGCTCGTGAAAGACATCGCCGCCGAGATCCCTGAAGCGAGAATTTGGCAGAGTCGCGAGCTTCTGGCGGGCTTGATTGCGCTTGGGGTGGAAGTCTGGCTTGACGGGCAGGAAGGGGACTGCATTGTTGCGTCAGTCTCGAGCGGTGTAGCATGGGACAAGCGATGGCCTACTCTCGTTCCCCTTCTCTGCTCTCAGCCGGCGGACGAGCTCATCGTAGACATCGGTGGAGAGCTCCTGAAACTGTTGTATGTTCAGTCTGGTGAGCTTCTCCCTTGCGTTGATGCGAGCTGATTGTGATTCTTTGAGGATTCCCTCGCGATCGAGGTAGGCGCCTAGCTCGAGGTAGTGTACCCGTGCGGTACGCTCCACCGAGTCTGACTTGCCGACGTCACTCATCCTCGTAGCTTCGAGTTGTGGTCCTGCCGGCAGGACTGCCTCGGTGTGACCTTTCGGTGACTACCGCGCCAGGTGCCTAGTCGGGGGAAAGCAGTCCTGTCAGGCCAAGCAATCGTAGAGCCTGCCTGCTGCCAGGCTCCAGGAGCAGCGTGTGTGCAGTGCCTGACAGCGAGCCGCGGTTGCTCTCGTCGTCTGAGCAACGCTGGCCAGCGTGCACGTCGCTGAGCCTGGCCTACCAAGCCAGGGCGCGAGCAAGCGCGTCGAGAGGAGCGGTCAGTCGACTGCGACCGTCACAGGCAGCCTACGCGCTACGGAGCCTGTGGCTAGGCTCGACGGACTGCAGTCAGGTCAGTCTGTGTATCGACTCCTTTTCAGCGTCGTTGCCTTTCCTTCGTCGTCACGCGTCTCGATAATTTTCTTCCTTGCAAGCCTGCCGCATTATCACGACACAAGATGGGTCTGGCCGGCCGAAAGACGAAACAGGTCATCGCCCCCGATCCACGCAACACGACATGGGCCCGGGACACAGAGGCGCCAGGTTTCAAGCTGCTCCAGCAGATGGGCTGGTCACCCGCTTCATCAGACAGGCTCAATCCAGAGAGCACTGCGCCCCCACCGCCAAAGCGCTTGCACAAGATGCCCATCAGCAAGGAAGATCATCTCGGCATCGGTGCGACTGCCTTGACCGGTTTGGCAGAATCGAATGCCGCGCGGCAGCCCAGTACAGGCACAGGACTCGGCAAAGCGGGCTCCTGGTTCTCTGCGTTTGGCAGCAAAGGCCTCCGCTTTGTCACTGCAGGCGCTACTGCACAGTCGGAACTCGAGAAGCGTCACATCACAGACGGCGGCGATTTTGCCGGCTTGCTCGCACGCCTCAACGCTGCTACTCCCTCTGCCTCCGCCTCGCCCTCGCCTGCGCCTGCCGCTACAGACGGAGAGATCGGGCCAGCCATGTCCAAGCAAGAGCGCAAAGAGGCTCGCAGACAGAGGAGAGAGGCAAAGGCCAAGCGGAAAGAGATCGCTGATGGCGATGGGACAGCAGCAAAGAAGCGCAAGGTGGAGCGAGACTCGCCAGACGTATCCGTGCTTGTGGCCACAGTCGTCAGCCGGGCCACGATGCAGCCTACTGTCGTAGTAGCTACGCCGCATCGAAATGCGTAAGCACACCAGCACAAACACTCAGCCACTTCTGACTAGTCCTCCTAGGTCTCGCGCTCGCAATCTCGCTGCCAAGCGCATGGCGAACTCACCTGCTGCGATGAGAGAGATCCTTGGTCTCTCGGAGCCGGTCACGCCTGCGGAAGCGGTCTCACCTCCCTTGATGCTACAGGCTGCCATCCGGGTTCCAAGCCTCGACGAAGCGATACGATCGATTGCTAAAGCAGAAGCCGACCAAGCCGAGCCCGACGGCTACGCTTTGGCCAGTGTTGAGGATGTGAGCAAGAAGAGACAGAAGACCAGATAGCTCAAGCTCTGCAAACAATCTGATTTGACTACAAAACTGATTCACGACCAAGCAATCAGCCTATCCTGGCAGGCATTCTGGCTTCCTCGAGGTCCGACAGACACTCGCGCCAGGCTGTGCTCGCTTGGCTTCGCGAGCGCTCGTAGCTCTTCATGTCACCGCGCGTGAGGGCTTTGCCGGCCTTGCGTTCATGACGCAGGGCTACGCGTTGACTGATCTTGGCTTGCCTGTACCGGGCGTTCGAGTAAGCCTCGGGCTCACCGGGTGCAGTCCAACCTTGCAGCTCCATGCGGTAGCTATCTGGGCCGATCGTCGTCATCGCCAGGCTTTTCTGGCCACTTCGCGATGAAAGGGATGATCGTGAGCTCGAGGGTGGTGACTGAGTCTCGGACAGGAAGTACGGCATAACAATCTCCTCATTTGGCGAGAGGAAGCATTGTGACGTTCGGAAGCTGCTATGCCGCGAGCCGATGGGTCTGCTGAGCCTTGCTGAGCTCATGAGAGAGGAAGAGCTCGACGCAAGAGGACTGCTGCCAGGACTGTTCTCCTGCGACAGGTAGCCGCCAGACACAGCCAGCTCAGGCTGGGACGGATTCGACGATTGGCGCATCGACGTCTGAAGCGGTCTGTCAGCTGAATTCGCAGTCGAATCGACCCTCATACCTTAGCCGAGTCAAGCTGCTCGGTCGGCATGGGCATCGTGACAGGATCAGCTGCGAGTTCTCCGCGGCCGGATGTATCAATGACCTCGTCTTGACCATCCCGATACGCTAGCGTGGCGTCGTAGAACTTCGAAGCACGCGGTGGCAGCAGCCTGTTCCACAGGACTCGCAGGAGCGCATCTCGGCACTCGCTCGAGTCGCTGCACAAGCGGGCTGACGATAGACCATCGGCTCGTCCTTGCACTGGTGCGATCCGATCCACTGAATCGGTCCTGCACACTGATGCGTGTACATGCAAGCCTTGATTCTTGAGAGCTAGCATATCGCCGAGCAGCTTGACTGCGTACGTGACAGACCTGCTGCAATGGCAGCGATGGGGAGCGTGTCTTGCCATCGTCTGATGAGAGGAGACTCGGGAACTTGCCGTTCGAGCTCTCAATTGAGCTTCGCCTAGTCGCTGGACGGACGGTCTGTGCTGACAGGGTCCGAGCGGATGGCACTATACCGTTTGCAAAAACGATGCGAGCGTATTATCCGCGACCTGAGAGGCTTGCTTGTCCTTGGCGGCTTTAGCGAGCATCGTCTGCAACGCATTCTGGTGCTGCTTTCGCTTCTTCTTTGCCGGCCCGTCCTGATCTGTCTGGCTCGCCGGTCGGACGTGAGCTTTTGCGCGGGCTATGACCGGTCCAGCTGATGTTCGCTGAGTTGGCGGCATCACATCTGTGGCTGCTCTTGCGTGTGCAGCTGCTGCTACGTCGTCGATGGTAGGGCCCATGTGTGCATTCGTTGCCGCACTCCTGGCGTGTCTGTCCGTGTGAGTGTCGCTCGGAGCGCCATCATCGTGCAGGCTCATCTTGCGCTGGCAGTCGATGCAGGAGACCTTGGGCGGACGAGAGGATTGTCTGCGACGTCGGGGACGGTGGCTGATCGCATGCGGCTCATGAGAAGCCCTGAAGGGAATCACAGCCCCACCGCAGTGTCGACATAGACCTCGTTCACTTCCAAGTTGGTCGAGTGCAGCTTGACCTGCAAGCAGACGTGCTCGGCTCCTCTGTGCGACCGCCAGGTCAGGTGCGAGCTGTCGTATGAGTGCCGCACTGCGGACAAGGTAGTGTAGCGTCGTCTGGTCTTCGTCTGCCATGAAGAGGGGTGGGCAAGCTTGGGTTCTGCCCGCTGCGAGCGAGCGTGTCACCCACGGACGTGTGTGCGTCATTGGATCGACACAGAGAGAGCTTGGACGAGCCCGTCAGACGCTGCCAAGCCGATCCAAGCCTTGCAGAGAACGGACACTGCCCCTCGCCTCCTCACACGCCGCCCGCTCCACGCCTTTGGGAAAGCCATCGCAAGTCCATTCTCTGGCGGCTCTCTTGCTGACACGATAGCCGCCTAGCTCGGATCACACAGACCTGTAAGCTCGCACGGAGGAGCGATAGTGTCTACAGCGTCTCACACGCACGGGAAGCAGAGCTCCAGCGAGCGAGGAGTGATCGCATCCCGAGGCCGACATGGCATCCCAAGAGATTCCCTCCTCGGGCAACTCGACCGCCGTTGAGCTCAAGGAGAACACCTCCATCGTCGTACTCGGTGCATCCGGCGATCTCGCCAAGAAGAAGGCAGGCTCATCCGCTCAGACTGAGCAAGTCACGCTCACCCGACCCGCCCGCAGACCTTTCCTGCTCTCTTTGGCCTCTTCTTCAACGGATTCCTGCCGCCCAACCTTCAGATCGTCGGCTATGCCCGCACCAAGATGGACGAGGAGGTCCGTTCGAGAGTGTCAGAGTCTCACGTGCGAGCTTACTTGACAAGCATGCTCTGCAGGAGTTCCACAAGCGCGTGGTGCAGTACATCAAGACGCCGATACCTCAGATGAAGTCAAAGCTCAAGGAGTTCCTAGAGCTATGTACCTATGTCTCCGGACAGTACGACACCGACGAGGGCTTCCAGGACCTCGAGAAACACCTCGCCGAACGCGAGAAGGCAGCCTATCCAGATGCAAAGACGAAGAATCGCGTCTTTTACATGGCGTTACCCCCATCGGTCTTCACCGTCGTCGCAGAGGGCCTCAAGAAGAACAACTATCTCAAGGACGGCATTAACCGGATCGTCGTCGAGAAGCCCTTTGGAAAGGATCTCGAGAGCTCGCGCGAGATGATGGGCAAGCTCAAGAAGCTCTGGCAGGAAGATGAGGTCATTGCAAGTCTGCTTGATCGGCAGACCAGTGCTGACACGGCTCCAGACGTTCCGAATCGATCACTATCTGGGCAAAGAGATGGTCAAGAACTTGCTCATCCTGCGCTTCGGCAATCCTGTGCTGGACAACTCGTTCAACAAGAATCTCATTTCAAACGTTCAGATCACGTTCAAGGAGCCCTTTGGCACCGAGGGACGAGGCGGATACTTTGACGAGTTTGGCATCATCCGTGATGTCATGCAGAATCGTGAGTGGGATCCACGTTGTGTACGCGTTTGCGCTGACCAGGCTGGGTACAACAGATCTATTGCAGGTCCTCAGCATTCTCACCATGGAGCGACCGGTCTCTTTCTCTGCCGAGGACATCCGCGACGAGAAGGTCAAAGTGTTGCGTTTCATCCCGCCGATCAAGATGGAAGAAGCCTTGCTCGGCCAGTATTCCGCCAAGGGCGACAAACCAGGCTACAAGGACGACGACACGGTTCCGAAAGACTCTGTCAGTCCAACCTTTGCCGCGCTTGTGCTTCATATCAACTCGCCTAAATGGGAAGGCGTACCCTTTGTGCTCAAGGCCGGCAAAGGTACAGCGCTTCCGATCTAGCCGTGCAGAGCTGACAGCCGTTGCAGCTCTGAACGAGCAAAAGACGGAGATCAGGATCCAGTACAAGGACGTCACGCAGGGCATCTTCAAAGATATTGCACGGAACGAGCTCGTCATCCGGGTCCAGCCCGGCGAATCGGTCTACATGAAGATGAACGCCAAGGCGCCCGGCTTGCAAATGCGAACAGTCGCCACCGAGATGGATCTGACCTACAAGCGAAGATTCAGCGATCTCAAGATCCCTGAAGCCTATGAAGCTCTCATCCTCGAGTACGTCGTTCGCGGCACTGAAGGCCCTGATGCTGACGCAAGTACTCTCAGCGCGTTCAAGGGCGATCACAGCAACTTTGTGCGCGACGACGAACTCGACATTGCCTGGAAGATCTTCACGCCCATCTTGCATCAAATTGAGAGTGCGCTCTGTCTGATGGTCATACTTGATCTGCCACTGACGCATGACATCACTCAACAGATGACAAGCCTACGCCGAAGAGCTACGAGTATGGTAGCCGAGGACCGGCAGAGCTCGACGACTTTATCACCAAGCACGTTGGCTATACGCGAGCAAACTACCAATGGCCAACAGTCGATGCAAGTCGTCATTCCTCTTTCGAGTCCTTCCTTGCGCTTACACGTCCTGCAGGCTGGCAAACTCTAGACTCTGTGTAAGCATGCATTCGAATTTGATCGACTGCTGCGTCGCGAGTAGATCTGCTATGCGTTGACTGCTGAATTGCGACCGCTGCGAACTGACTGATGACGACATTGTCCTTCGCCGCGACTCGTCCAGTCAACTCCACCCACAATCACGCCTTCACGCAAGCATGACTGCCATCAGCCTCACAGTCTACAGGTACGCACTCGCGATCTGCCTTACAATGTAGCTCACCGCTTGGCTCAGCGACACCATCTGCCCGTTCTGCCTGCTTGGCTACCGAAAGACGCAACTCGCTATCGAAGCCGCCAAACGTCAGCATCCGGATTTGTCCTTCTCGATCCGATACAAGCCCTTTGAGCTCGATGCGACGCTGCCTGTCGATACTCCTTTGTCAAAGCAAGAGCGGTATGCATCCAAATTCGGCAAGGAACGCTTCCAAAGCATGGAGAAGATGATGATTCAGCGTGGTCGAGAGGTCGGCGTCAACTTCTCGTACGGTGGCACAGTGCGCAATACGATCAGGTCTCATCGCTTGCTCGAAAGAGCATGGCAAAGTGGCGGTGAACCTCTCCAGCGCAAAGCTCTCGAACTTTGCTTCACTTCATATTTCGAGAATGAGGGCGATATAGGCTCACCTGAGAACCTCGCCCGCATCGGTACCGAAGCAGGACTCTTTTCTTCGGATGAAGAGGCTCTCAACTTCATACACGGCTCTGCATGCCTGCCTGACGTTGAGCAGTCACTGACCGAGTCGCGTCGTCTCGGAATCTCCGGCGTGCCTTTTACGATCATCTCCGCCCAAGGAATGAAGCAGCCCGTCGGTGTGAGCGGTGCGCAAGAGCCTGACACTTTCACAGAGATATTCACAGCTATAGCGACGGGCAAAACGCTGTCATAGGATGCAAATGCGTCAATGCAATACATACTACACGGCCGAGTCGGTCTCCCATCTGGCCTTTTCGTTCAGTTGTCGCTCGTAACGTCGTCGGACCTCGTGAATCACTGCACTTGTTGCGCCAAGACCGAGCAAGACGGACAGGTCTCGTAGACTGAGCGCCTGTGTCTTAAAGATCGAGTGAAAGAGCGGAAAGTAGATCAGCAAGATCTGAACAAAAAAACTCGTCGAGATTGTCAGGACGAGCATCTGGTTTTGTAGCAGTCCGCAGGTCAAGCCTCGGTTTTGCACTGCCGATACGAGATCGAGGAACACAAAGGTCGTAAATGTCTGCGTGTCACGTCAGCGAGCTCTTACCATAGCAGCAGATGGCTTGCCATAGTCTGGTCGCGATCGTCGACCTGACCATCGCTCAGTTCGTGCACGTAGATGAACAACGTGCCCAGGACGATGATAGACGCTGAGAAGAGTATTCTGATCAGCAGTCGCTTCGTCAAGACGGGTGCGTTCTTCTTGCGGGGCGGTCTCTGCATCACCTCGCGATTTACCGGATCAACGCCTAAGCTCTGTGATGGCGGTCCGTCCATGAGGATATTGATGAAGAGAATTTGCATCGGGTTGAGCGGGTTCGGCAACCCGAAAGCAGTACTGAGCGTGATGAGCGTCAATGCGGCCACTGCGGTCGAGAGCTGGAAGCAGAGGAAGTTCTGGATATTGTAGAAGATACATTTGCCTTCCTCCACGGCAGGCAAGATGGTTGCAAAGTTGTCATCGACCAAAATCAAGTCTGCTGCTTCCTTGGCTACATCTGTGCCTCCTTTGCCCATCGAGATCCCAATATCTGCCATCTTCAAAGCAGGACTGTCATTGACGCCGTCGCCGGTCATAGCAACAACGAAACCGCGACTTTGGAAAGCTTCTATAATGGCCATCTTGTGTCTGGGTGTCGTACGTGCAAAGACGCAGACTTCATGAATCCGATCTGTCAATTGGCGCTGAGACATTGCGTCGATGTCACGACCGGTCAAGCATTGTGCTGAGCCGGGATTGAGACGCAAGCCGAGTTGCCTCGCGATAGACAGTGCGGTCAATTCGGCGTCGCCTGTGATCATGACAATCTGGATGCCAGCTGCCATGAGCGATGCGATGGCAGTATCGACGCCTGCTCTCGGCGGGTCCATCATCGCTTGGAAACCGGCAAAGACGAGCGAGTCGGGGTGAACGCCATAGGCCATACCGACGACACGCAATCCAAGGCTCTGCAATGATCTCGCCTGCTCGGCAATGGTATCGCGGACTACGACGTCAAGTGCTGCAGTCGTGCCGTCGCTTTTGAGGTAAAAGCGACACATTGGCTGTAAGAACTCGAGTGCGCCAGACGCATACGTCGTATCTTTGTCGCCCGACGATGGCGATTGAGCTGCAAAGCGGCCAGTCACAGATTGCCACTTTTGCTCAGAGCTGAATGGAACCTCCGATGACCGCCTGAAGCCCTCGCGTTGATCATTGATGCCCATGATCGAGAGAACATTGTATAGGGCGACTTCGGTCGGCGAGCCGACAATGTTACCCTCACTGTTGCGAAAGGACTGATTGCACAGATTGCCAATAAGAAAAGTCTTGCTGAGCGAGTCACTCGATAGCGATATAGGACGCGTGACATCTAGTACGCCATCATCGACAGTGAAGGCACGCGTAACGGTCATCTGGTTCGTCGTGAGGGTGCCCGTCTTGTCGGAACAGATGACAGAGACAGATCCCAGCGTCTCGACAGACGGCAGCTTTTTGACAATCGCTTTGCGCTTTGACATTCTCAGCACGCCGAGCGCGAGCGTGACGGTCACGACGATCGGCAGGCCTGCCTACGTGTTAGCTTGGATCGGTGCGCGCAGGAGGCTGACGTACCTTCGGGTATAGCGGCAACGGCGAGTGAAACGCCAATGGTGAACATCTCTAGCCAGGAACGGCTCTGAAACACGCCCAGCAGACAGATGAGACCGATGACGCCGAATGAGATCGCGGACAGTCGTTTCGCGAGATCGTCCATGGAGATCTGCAGCGGCGTCTTCCTCTCTTCTATGTTTTGCATCATCGAGAAAATGACGCCGAATTCGCTCTGATCACCCGTTGCGACGACTGCGCCTACGCCATTGCCGCCTCGGACTAGAGTGCCCATGAAGCCGATGTTGAAGCGCTCGCTGATGGCCAGATCATGCAGGCCGTGTTGGGTATCATCGGCAGACGCTGTCCGCTTCTCGGCAGGATGGGTCTCGCCTGTCAAGCTGCTCTCGTCAATCTCAAGCTGGTTGGCGCGTATCAGGCGAACATCGGCAGGTATGCGATCCCCCACAGAGAAGCTGACGATATCACCTGGCACGAGCACATTGGCCAGTTTGGTGTGCAGAGTGCCGTCACGCAAGAGATGACAGTAGTGTGGCACCAGCTTGTTGAGCGCTTCGAGTGATTTCTCTGATCGCTGCTCTTGCACGAAGCCGACTGTGACGACGATGATGATGGCGACAGTGATGCTGACCGAGTCGTCGAAGTTGCCGACGACGGCGCTGATGACAGCGCTGCCGAGCAGGAGCAGGATGAGGGGGCTCTCGTAGAATTGCTTGGCAAACTTGACGTAGGCCTTCTCCTTCTGCGCGACGGCGAACTCATTGGGGCCATGGAGCTCCCTCAGCTGAGGCACGACATGACTGGAGAGGCCAGCTTCGATGGAGCTGTTCAGCTGTGAGATCGTGTCCTCCACTGTCATGCGAGCGTAACGGGCAGATGGAGTGATCTGTCTTGCAGTGTGCGCGAATGGGCCGCCGTGACTGTGTGTACCGTAGGGGTCCGACAGGTTCGAGCTATGTCCTTTGTTGGCGGGTCCGGTGTGGTGACTGAGGCCTCCGTCTATGCTCTGTCGCTTGAGAGAGGTCGAGAAACTGTAGGCTTCTGGTATTGGCGGTGTCACCCCCCGACTTGGCGGTCCCTTGCCATTGCTCAGCGGCGGCTCTAGACGGGCATAGCCTGTCCCTCTGCCGACCGATTTGAGCGGCAGCATCGCCTCGTGCGTGCCGGCTGAGCCTCGTCAGTTCGCCGGTCGGCGCTCGAGCGAGGCAACGACACGCGACTGCCAACGCGCGACGCCTTCGAAGTAGCAGCAGATTTATCATCGACTCACACTTGGCAGGTAATGATCTGAACCGAGTACAACAGCAACTTTGCAATCTATCGGCCAGGGACAACATCAATAATCATGAGCTCGTCCGCGATTTCGGCTCTGAGAGCGTCGAAAGGTGCTTGTCCGTGAGTGTCTCTTCGTCAGACGGTGTGGCAGGTTCGATGAAGCGCCAGAGAGGGAAGGCTGCCCATATGGCGACAGACAGCACGATGGGTGTATATTCGAGGATGCCGAACAAATACTCGTGACTGGAGGCATAGGAGAAGAGCCCTTCGCCGGTCTCCGCCGTTCTGAAGACTGTTCGCGTCAAAATGAGGAGCGATGTCGAGACGAGCACGACGATGAGGCTCTTTGGCAGATTGGGCAAGTCGGCGTCCTGTCGCTGCCTCAGCATCGACCGCCGTACGATGACGGTCAGGATGCCGAGATAGACCAGGAATGCAGCACACTGCGCAGCCAGGCCGGCCAGCAAAATATGATTGGCTTGGTCGGCAGTCAAGGGCGCCGATCCTTGCTGACTCTGAGACGAGGACTCGGCAACACCGATGAGGGATGCCCCGGCGGATTGGAGTGCTGTCGTGGCAATGTCGAGCCCAACAAAGATGGTCACAATCGAGCGAGGCTTGAGGGGCGACAGCTCAGCTGCGCCAGGAACGTATTGCAGCACGCGCGAGAGTGCTATCAGTGCCCAATCAGCTGCTTGCTTTCGGGTTGCACATCACGAGCTTACCCAGATACACAGATGCGCTGAGGAACACCGGACTGACGGTGATGAGGCAGTAAGAAACAATAAAGGGCACAATCTCGAACGTGCTGAAATGGCTATAGGTTCGCATCGCGTAGCCGATGACCTCGCAGACGCAGCTAAAGACGATGAGAGCCTGAAAGACACGCGTGTGTCGCTTTGCCAGCATGTAGAAAATGTGCACGATCAACAAGACACCGAATGTGATGCAGCCGATGAGGCCCAACGCCAATGCTGGACGATAGCCATAGAGCGAGATGTGCGCCTGGTTGCCATCAGGGTTCGGAATCGACGGCCCATTGTAGGACGACGGCACGCCTGGGTAGGTGGTAGCGATGTTGGGCATGCTGGCGATGTTTTGATGCTAGATCAAGAAGCATTGTCTTTATAGCCGTCAAGCTCGAACGATACCGAGGTGCCCTTGGCAGGTCGATGACGAATTGGGAGGAACGACGATCTCGGCCGAACTTGGTCGAGACGCGTGGTTTGAATTCCACGACAATATTGGCGCAGACGGACATCGATCACAATCGAGCTCGGTGCATTCGGGAAGAAGCATCTGATAAGTCCGCTATGGGCTGGATCGGTTCTCGAGAAGAATCGTACGGAAAGAGTTGTCGAAGAAATTCGAGCTGCGCTCTAACGGTGCGGTCCCGCGCCTCGCCCGGTCGGAAGACTGCTTGCTATCCGTCAGCTCGAGCCATAGAGGCGATCAAAGCCGCACTATCAAAGTGGTCACCTGATATGTGCACCATCCTCACATGTTGCACGCGCTTGACAGATTCTACTGCAAGCGTAGGATTTGCGCTCAAGTCTTGATCGGCAACGACGAGAAGGACTGGGATCTTCGTGCCTGACGCAGCACGTATGGCAGAGTGCAAGAGCGCATCAAGACATTGGCTGGCTCTCAGATAGATCATGTCGCCTGCGCAGCGGGCCGCTCGCTGATGTTCAGCAGCTAAGGCGTTGTGCTCCTCTTCGTCGCGCGCATGATCGACAAGCATCGCAAAGCCGCGTGATGCGTCGGGCGTGCTGAGAATACCCCTGCCTCTAGGATTCGAGCAGACGGGCAGGTAGACAGGTGATACCCTCGATGGCGCGATTCTCGATATGAGATCGGCAAGCATGGCAGGTGTATTGCGCAAGATGGAAAGGGTCGAGAAGCTCCAGAGAGCCAAGTAGAGTCCACTCACTGCCTTTTGCATGAGATGACTTTCGTTAAGTGCGAGGAGGACTCGCTAGCTGGGCAAGTGGGCATGATAGCCGCGATGGGCGTTTTGCAAGTACCGTCGACCTATAGCGCGGCTGGCTGAATGACAAGCTCATGCCTATTCGGAGATGCCTTACATGGAAGCAGTGAGCACCACTGAAGCTGAAGCCCCAGACGACAATCTGATCAGCCTTTGCCCACGGCTGCCGAGCGGCCCAATCGATGACATCGCTCAATGCGCGTCGCTGTACGACGTGACTCCATTGACCTCTCGGCTGGCCCTGCGATGCTCCGAGCGTGGGATAGTCGAATGCGACGGCGATGTGACCTGCACTGGCAAAGGCTTCGCAGAAGAACTGAAGGCCGTGTGCTTTCGAGAGTCCCAGACCATGTCCCAGAACGATGACGGCTCTCTTTGTCGTCAGATCACCGTAGACCCATGCTGAGAGCTTCTCGGAGATGCCGGGAGGAGTGATCCACACGGTCTCACGCTGCATGTGACAGAGATGAGGGTGGCCCTGAAGCGTCGGATCCACCGCGAGAGCCAAACTTGGCGCGTGCGTGGCCTCAGAGAGTGTGCGAATCGGCCCTGCACCTTTGCCTCGTCGCTGTCATGAACGCAGCGCAGGCGAAGACGTTTGGCAGGATCCTAGCCCAGCGAGCGAGGGCAGCATACGCACCATCGGGTGGGGGAGGACCATCGTCGGGCGGCTCGGGCAAACCGAACGGACCCGGCCTGGGAGCAATCTTGGGCGGCGGAGGTGGCCTCATCCTGCTCGCAGTCGGCGGCGTGGTCATCAACTCTGCGCTCTTCAACGTCGATGGCGGCCACCGAGCGATCAAGTACACTCGATTGTACGGCGTCAAAAAGGACATCTATACTGAAGGAACTCATTTCCTCGTTCGCTCCTGCTCTTGGGTCCTGTCTACGGCCTCGATGCTGACGCTGTCGTGCGCAGATACCCTGGCTCGAGTCAGCCATCACATACGATGTCAGGGCAAAGCCGAGAAGTATTGCCTCGCTGACAGGCACAAAGGGCAAGCTGCCTGCTGGCCTCTCTTTTCGGCGTTGCGCACCGCTGATGACACAGCCCTGCAGATCTACAAATGGTGAACATCACCTGCCGTGTCCTGTCGAGACCCCGCGTAGAGGCCCTGCCGACGATCTACCGTGAGCTCGGCACGGACTACGACGAGCGTGTCCTGCCCTCGATCGTCAATGAAGTCCTCAAATCGGTCGTGGCCCAGTTCAACGCTTCACAGCTCATCACCCAGCGAGAGATGGTCTCGAGGCTCGTCCGGGAGAACCTCACTCGCCGAGCCCAGCGCTTCAACCTCGTCCTCGACGACGTTTCCATCACCCACGTTGCCTTTTCGCCCGCGTTCAGCGATGCTGTCGAGGCGAAGCAGATCGCGCAACAGACAGCTCAGCGTGCTGCCTACCTCGTCGATCAGGCGATCCAGGAGAAGCAGTCCATCATCGTCAGAGCTCAGGGTGAAGCCAAGAGTGCAGAACTGATCGGCGAAGCCATCAAGCAAAGCAAAGGTTTCCTCGAGCTCCGTCGACTCGAGGCAGCTCGTGACATCGCCGCACTCGTCGCGGCGAGCGGCAACAAGGTCATGCTCGATGCAGATTCGCTCCTCCTCAATCTCAACAAGGTATGTCTGCCACAGGTCCCCTCTGTAGACAAACCTGACTGATCGACGTCGCTACAGGACGCACCAGGCATCGATCATCAGAAGAAAAGATAAACCCCTCTCGTGTACATGCATGCATAACGCTCGCCCTGCCCGCAGCTGTCTGTGGAGAAATCAAAGTCACGCTCGTAGATCCTCCGCGTCGCGCGCTTCCTGTTCGAGTCACTGACTGACACCGAGATAACCCGTGACTCGACACTTGCATGCATATATATAGGCCCCGCCCACACTCGCGATAGCAACGATCCGCTGATCTACACATGAACGCCAGATACCGCATAGCAAGGGTCGACAAGACGCCAGAAGAGGCTCGAGAATTTGCCATCATACATGGCTCTTCCTTCCGAGGCACAAGGCTGGGCGATCTCGTCTGTCCGCTCGGCTATGACGAAGAGATGATACAGTGGCAGACACGCAACTGGCTGCGCTTCTTCACCGAAGATGACACGCACATACTCAAGGCTGTCGACACAAAGACGGGCGAGATTGTCGGCTTCTGCAAATGGAGGGAGGTCTGGCATCCTGCCCGGCCATCGACCACAGAAGCCATCGCTTCCCAAGCACAACAACACTATCCTGAACCTGTCCGACTCGATTCGACAGTCTTTGAGCGCTTTCAGGTCGGCAAGAAGCAGGTCTTTGCAGAAGCACTCGCTCATCTGCCCCACTATTGCTACCTTGTCCTGCTCAGCACCGCCCCGGCCTCCCAAAAGTCAGGCATAGGAAGGACTATGATCCGAGAATGTCTTCACTGGGCTGCCGAGCGAGATTTGCCGACCTACCTGGAATCGTCGATCAATGCACAGACTTGGTATCGCTCTCTGGGCTTCGAAGACATCGCCACACTCTACTACGGCGACGACAGAGAGCTCGACTGCTTACCGTGCATGCTCCTGCCATCTCCACAGGCAAGTCGTGATGCCATCATCATTCTCGCTCAAGCAGAACGCACCACTGCAGAAGCACATCGACTGGCGGATCTGCACTCCGAGGCTTTCGCTTACACTCCCTTTGGTCTGAGGTGCTATCCGAACGGCTTGACCTCCAAAGTCCGCGACTACTGGCGAAAGCGATATGAAGCGGTCGTACTTGACAGCGCGATACATATCGTCGTCGCTAGAGATAGTCACTCAGGCGAGCTCCTTGGCTTTGTTGATTGGGAAAGACGTGCGGCAGATTGGCTCGGTAGCGAATACACCCCTCAAGAGGTAGAGATCATGCCCGCGCACGATATGGACACAGATCTCGTTCGCCTGCGACGGACGGGCGAGAACGCAACGGCCAAACGGTGCTTGCTAGGGACAGAGACATGCTATCTGTCGACTGCAGTGGTCAAAGCATCGCACGGAGGTCGCGCGATCGGGACGAGGCTTTTGCAAGCATGTCTCGATTGGGCAGATGCTGAGCGACTGCCGACCTACTTGTTTTCCTCGCCACAGGCTTACGCCCTCTACGCACGGCTGGGCTTTCGCGAGATAGACCATTTCTTGTATGCAGACGACCCCACGTGTCGACTACCCCTCATGCTCAGACGACTGTAATCATGCGATGCAAATGTTGTCAACAACTTTTATAGATGATCTACGCTCTCCTTGACCGCCTGAGCGAATTCATCTGCTGCGCCTGGCTTGATTCGTCCTCGAAAGCTCGTTAGATCACCTTGATCATTGAAGCCAATGAAGCTGATCTCTTTCGGCGCAACTTTGATCTCTAGATTCTTATGCAGAGAAAAGTTCTGCACAGGACTGTCAGCTTCATGGCCCTTGATGACGCGCGATTGCCCACCAGCACGACCCGTCCGTTGGTATCACTGCGCCCGAGTATCCTGCACTTGTCAGTGGTAGTGTTCTTCTTGAGCTTGAGAACAGTGACGCCGCCAAAGGGGCTCGCTTCGCCATTCTGGGTCACAAAGAGCTTTGCACGTATCTCCGAGAGCGTCTCTTCGTTCTCTTCACCAGCTCCGCCAGACGTCAACGAGTTCTTTGTCGCTTCGGGATCTGGCGTTCCGTCATCTTCCGAAGCCTTCTCTGACTCGCTCGCAGCAGCTTTCGACGGGTCGTAGATCTCGATCTTTGCCGGCAGACCCTTGGTGTTAGAAAACGGTCCAGACGTCCCAAACGCAAATGGCGATGCCGCAGGTGCGGCTGCAGAGGTCGTCGAAGCTGATGTGGCGCCAAAAGGAGAAGTGGTGGGAGCGCCAAACGGGGAAGCAGTCGAGTGAGCCGCAGCGCCAAATCCAAAACCAACAGAAGGCTTTGGGGGCGTTGCAGATGTTGCGGCGCCGAAGCTGAAGCCCGAAGTGAGTGGCTTCGCAGAGGCGCTCGGAGGGGTGGCAGATCCGAAGGAGGATGCGGTGCCGAAGGAGAAACCGGCAAAAGGCTTCGGTGCAGGCGCAGATGCTGTCACGTGCGCCTCTGGAGCCTGCGCGGGCTTGCTCTCTGCTGACACGGTGGCGGGCTTTGTCACTTCTGATTTGCTGCTTGCTGATGTTACCGCAGATGTGACGGGCGTCCTTACAGGCTCTTGAGGTTTCGCAGTTCCTGGCTGGATGAAGGTGAAGGGGCCAGCCACCTTGGGCGGAGCAGATGCTGGTGCAGCTGGCTTGTCGGACTGTGCCGATTTGGGCTTGTCGTACATGTCTGCAAAAGGGTCCTTCAAGAGCGTCGATGAGGGCCATTTGAAAGCGGGCTTGTCGGACACTGGCTCTGCTGGCGCGGGCTGTTCATCTTGACTCGGTTTGTCAGCTGTGCTTGAGGTGTTGGCTGCGGAAAAGCTCGCAGGCGAGCCCGACTTGGCAGATGATGGATTGATCTCGTTAGCTTTGACTTTGTTCGTGTCGTATGTACGTGACTTTTCAGCGGCTTCGGTATACTCGGCATCTATCTGCCTCCTTCGTTTGCTGTACGATCTGGCAGTGCTGCTGAGCCAATCTGATAGGTCTGCAAAGGGCGAACTGCTCAGTTGCTTCTCGAGTTGCTGGCGGTAGGACGCGTTGAGAGAGCGCTGATGCAGACACCATTGGTACATGTTCTCGGCCTCATTGCTCGTCTGCAGACTGTGAGCCTTTGCCTTGCAAAGGTAGGGTGGGCTCACTTTGGCATTGTTCGATGCTGCTGCTGCCGCTGGCGTTATCTTGCGTGCTCGACTCGGTAGCTCTTTAAATCTGCTTATAGGTTAGCCTCTCGCGTAGACTGCGACATCATTCTGGCTGACTTGCGAGCCGATAGTACTTGTGGAGGAGCTTCCCGGGAATCCTCCTGAGGTTACGATATCAGCCTGACAGGCGCTTGCCATTCGTCTGACTTGCCTGCTCATCCTCATCGTCATCCCGGTCCCAGTTTCTGTATAGCAAGAGGATTGAGCACGTGCAAACCGTCGAGGACATCACCAGACCTGTCGGTGAGGTAATTCTCAGCGCCACGCTTCGCCATTTTATCTGGCAATGTCAGCGGCCTCGTCGCCGCCGCTGCCAGCGCAGACGTTTGCCACGTCGCGCCATGCTGTGACGTTTACCGTCTGGTTTTGCCTACTGTGAGCGACGAACGCTTGCTCGGGATACGTGCGATGGCTAGCAGGCTGGCGAGAGTGCCCAGAGGGCTTGTGAGTAGTGTCAGTGCCCAACTCATTTGGACATCCTCAGCGTTTGCCGGCTCTCGTCAGGTCCACATAAGGCCGCATGCTCCGTTCTGCGCCGGAGACCCGACTGGCCATCCTTGCATCGTCTGTAGCAGCGCACTAGAGCAACGATTGACACCTGCTTCATTGATCACAGGCACAGCGCACACCCTTGTTGCGCCCGTATGCTTCCGTGTCGGCCGTTCCTGCGCCCCAGACGCAGATCACGACTCTGCCGAACGGCTTCACAATCGCAACAGAGTCCACCTCTGCGCCCACCGCCAGCTTAGGGTGTTGGGTCAGCTCCGGTAGTCGCGCTGACATCAAGTCGGTCTCTTCTCGAGACTGATCCACGACCACGCTCATCACCGCTTTGCAGGAGCGGAACAGCGCATTTTCTCGAACATGTAGCCTTCAAGGCGGGTCTCTCGCTGATCCATCTCGCCACTCACACCATCGCTGACAGTCTTGACGATCATAGGGCACACAGCGACGATCGCAGCACGCGCTTGAGCTCGAAGTCGAGAATCTGGGCGCCCAAGTCCACGCCTTTACCTCGCGCGAGCAGACGACCTATTACGCCAAATGCTTCCGCTCAGACGCGCCCCAGATGGTCGATCTGATTGCCGACATGCTGCTCTCGTCCAAGCTCGAGGAGTCTGCCATCGAACGAGAGCGAGATGTCATCCTGCGCGAATCTCAAGAGGTCGATAACGATCTCATGGAAGTCGTGTTTGACAACCTGCACAGCATTGCCTTCCAAGGTGAGATACTGCGCGCTTCAGTGAAGCTGTACAACCGGCTTAGCATCTCCATTCAGGGCAACCTCTCGGACAGACCATTCTTGGGCCAAAGGAGAGCATTTTGTCGATCCAAAAATCAGACTTGGAGGCCTACATCAAGGAGAATTATGTGGCAGATCGCATGGTGCTCGTCGGCGCTGGCGGTGTGGACCACAATGAGCTCGTCAAGCTCGCAGAGAAGCACTTTGGCTCCCTTCCCACCTCGGCCAACCCTTTGCCGCTCGGTCAGCTTGCGCCTGCCAAGAAGAGCGACTTTATCGGCTCGGATGTACGAATCCGCGACGATACCATGCCGACGATCAACCTCGCCATCGCAGTCGAAGGCGTCGGCTGGTCTTCGCCAGACTACTTCAACATGCTCGTCATGCAGTCCATCTTTGGTAACTGGGATCGCTCCCTCGGCTCAGCCTCGCTGCTCTCCTCTAAGCTCTCGCACGTCATCGGCCAGAACAACCTGGCCAACTCGTTCATGTCATTCTCAACAAGCTATTCGGACACCGGTCTCTGGGGGATCTACATGGTCTCTGAAAACTTCAAGAATCTCGATGATCTCTGCCACTTTACGCTCAAGGAATGGCAGCGCATGTCCATTGCGCCTCTCGAGTCCGAAGTCGAGCGAGCAAAGGCACAGCTCAAGGCCTCGCTCCTCCTTGGCCTCGATGGCACGACGGCGACGGCCGAGGATATCGGCCGACAGATGGTGACCAGTGCGTGCACACGGCTGCCTTCGAAACACTCATAGCTGACATGCGTGCAGGCGGACGACGGATGACACCCTCAGAGATAGAAGCAGGTGTGGATGCAGTGTCGACGGCATCGATCCAGTCTGCGGCTCGCAAGTACATCTGGGATCGTGATATCGCCATTGCGGCCATTGGTCAGACAGAAGGTCTTTTTGACTACATGAGGTAAGCTCAGGTTGCTTGTTGCTTCGTCTGACCCGGCTAAATGGTCATCCTTTGACAGGATCCGTGCCGACATGTCGTCGCTGCGATTCTAGACAGGCGAATGCCAACAGATGTCGTGCCTTTGTGGTCAGACGAATGCATGACTTCCCTCAGAATTTACTTGGACCCCGCGATTGGACGATCAGTCCGCGTAATTATCATCGCAAATCTCCGAAATAGCAGAGGCACACGAGACATATTCATCGGATTCCGACTGTCCGATTCCGCAAGACAACACGGTACACATCCACCATTCGAGCCAGATGCACAACACGAGTAGATAGATCGTCACGTACACATAGCATCTCTCGCGCAGGCTCAGGTAGCCGCTCTAGTCCTGATGGTCAGGCTCGGCAGTAAGCAGAGCACTACGCCTCCTGCTGCGGATCGCCCGCAGGCTGTCAGCACACCACTGGGCGGTAGCCTATCTCAACAGCAGCAAGAGTCAGCAGAGGTCGACCGTCCACAGGTGGCCTATTCTCCTCTGAACATGCAGGAGGATCAGACATTAGACTGGTCTGCCGCGCCGCCAAGGCTTGGCGAGCATCATCGGGACTCTGTCAATTCAATCAGCAAGCCGGCTGAGACGCCAGGCTTGCACGAGCGCCAATCTGCGCACGATCTCATTGGCGCCGTTCCACGACTTGATGCGAATGGCGCGCACTCGGAGCATTTCGCAGACAAGGACGCCTCTGCTGGATCAAGCGACACGCTCACGCCCATCGAGGCGATGAGCGAAGATCTGGAAGGCCAGGGCAAGGTGGCAGATCAGTATACGCTACCGTCCAGTCACATTCCTCTCCTACCATCCTCGCTGTCTGCCCTGGTCAATGGTACCATAGACCGCCAACGGAGACGGCCCAGATTTGCAAAAATAGAACGCTACTTGCGCGGGCCCTTGCCGCCTGTACAGCATACTATCTCGCCTTACCTACCAAAAGTGGAGGCTTTCTTTGCGCGGACATTCAGGCCGCTCTCGCATCCGTTCATTCTCTTTGTGCTCTACGCTGCCTGGTTCGTCGGCTTTGTGTTGCTCGTCAACAAGTCGTGGTTCAGCGCAAACACTTCTTACGGTCAGCCTACGCCATTGGACGACACCTCGACCTTCTGGACACGGAACGATCTCTGCGGACCACAGGGCATCCTGTGCCGCCCGTTCAACGATTCCACACTCGCATTCCGTTGTCCCGCCAACACGAAAGGTGTCCAGCTCCTCAACGATCGTATGTCTCTTTTTCTTGCGTATTCAGATCCATCTGATCGCCAGTACAGGTGCTGTTGGTAATGAGATCCTGATCTACCAGGGGCTCGTTGTCGGCGGTGGCGATCCAGCCGGGACATATCGCGCAGACAGCTTTATCTGTCAAGCGGCACTACATCGCGGCCTCTTCGGCGACAACAAAGGCGGTTGTGGCGTTCTCAATCAGATTGGCACATACGGCAATTATCTAGCATCTGAGCAAAATGGCATACAATCGACTGCCTTTCCAGGCAGTTTCCCTTCGTCGTTCGTATTCGCGGCTGATGCTACAACCACTAATTGTGAAGATCTGAGAGACTATATCCTCATCTACGACCTCCTCATGACCTTCATCGTCACTTTTGTCTTTCGTCCGCCCGCTCCAGTCCTTTTTTGGACTTTTGGCATCGTGGGCTTCTGGCACATCACTATGGCATCCGATCCGCAAGGCGCGCCACCACAGGTTTCAACAGCCATCGGTCTCTTCTTGCCAGCCTGCTTCTTTCTCTACGCCTTTTGGCGGTGTGCATGGCGCTGGGTTTTGCCCTTGTTCAGCGTTGCCGTGCTTGAGCAGACGCTCTGGTATGTTGGTCCTTTCTGGATCGGTGTCCTTCTCAATGTATGTTTTTCAACCCTCACTTATCTAACGCCACTGACTCAGCCCTAGGACACGACTGGCTGGATTCCCATCGATCGACTGACAGCACATGATATCTCCCAAAGACCTGGCGGCCTAGCAGCTGTCATTGTGCTCGTAATTCTCATACTGATCTTGGCTGTCAATCAATTACGTGTCATCCGCAAGACCGGCCTTCTCGTCGATTATGCCAAATAGTGCGTATCTCACACAGTCGATCGTGCTGCGCTTACGATCTGGCTCAGCTATCTGCTCGGTGTCATCTTCATTTTGCTCATGATGGCCATTCCCGGTCTATCGTTCGTGCGTACTCAAGATCGATGGACTGCTATTGCAGCACTGACTTGTATAAGCAGCGCTTTCATCATTATATCGCCGCCACGGTCTTCATGCCAGTGCGTACTGCCTTACTTTGGCAGCTTGCCAGAGCTGACAGCTTGAGCAGGTCACGGGATTTCCGACACGGATGAGTGCTCTTTTGCAAGCTTTCTTACTAGGCACTTTCCTCAACGGCGTCGCTCGCTGGTCATTCGATGGACTCTTCCAGAGTATCGCCGAGCTGCAGGGCGACGGCGCTTTCGGCACAGGAAGTCCTTCGTTCAATACGACAGCAGCATCATTCGCTGCCGACCCCACAGTCATCGCTTGGAATCCGATACCATCCGATCAGATAGGCCAGTGGGAGATGTTCTCGCTGCTCATCAATGACGTATCTGTCTATGTCGGTCCAGCGCTCAACTACACGCTCGCGGGTCTCGATCGCACGCTTCCTCTCTTCTTCCGTCTCGCATTTTCAGAGAGGTACGCTCGGTCTTACGTGCTGCGCAAGTGCAAAGCTTATGGGTGACACGCAGGTACACGTCCGGCGACTTCACACGGGCAGCGACGCTGTTCCCTAATAACACATTTGTGCCCGCCCCTTCAGGCATTTCTTGAGTTTGCACCACTACACAGCATTTGCGTACCTTGCAACTTTGTACAATCATTGCAACAACATGTTGTCATCACTCTCCCTTGAATGTCTTGCTGTCACTCGTCCTCAGGGGCACTGCTACTGTAGCGACTTCCTCCTCTAGCTTGATTACTGGCTTGCTGTCTAGCACTGACTGGCTGTCTCGCGTAAGCTTGCTATCAACCGTTGGTAACCTTGCTATCTTCGGTCCATTGTCAGCTACGTGCTGATTACCCAGTGATGGCTTGGTTTGCTCGGCATGCTTGATGATGACGTCTTGCCACGCTTGAGCACCTTCGGGCGTCGTCCGTAGCCTCTGTTCGCACAGCATATCGATCATCCTCTTACTGAGCATTTCGAATTGGTCTGAACTGAGTATCACGTCCTTCTTCGCAATGCCGTCTGTCGTGCCCTGGCTTAGCAAGTCCGAGCGTTGCTCGAGCAAGTCGGCCTGCGCAAGTACCGAAAGTTGGCCAGCGAGGGCGTTCAACGAGCGCTGGCGGCCGTACGACGTCAGCTCGTCGAGGTGCTTCAAAGCTGGCTCGACAGCTCGCACTTCCGCCTTGATGAAATCGTTCATCTCTGCGACCGTCTTAGGAAGCGGGACTGGTGCAGCGAGCTCTGCCGACAAGAGTGGACCCAGCTGAGTCACAGCACAGGAGAAGCTGATGAAGAACTGCCGAAAGACAGAGACGGCTTCGAATGTAAGCAAGCGCAGGGCAGAGGGTGCTGCTGTAAACATGCGATTGACCAGGCTTTGCTTGCTGACCGATAGCGATACGTTGATCGGTGCAAGTATCAACGAATACTCGAACGACATCAAGCTCAGCAATCCCACGATCCGCCACTGTCGAGCAGGTAAGATTGAGAGCACCTTTGAAAAGGGAGGCCCACATACGTAGAAGCTGCCCTGACTGCCTTTGGGACCTCCAAAGGTGAAGACGAGCATCAATACAAGGAACATGATATAATAAACCAGAGACTGATTGACGTAGGCGAGTATGTAGTCCCTGTCGGTCGAGCAGCGATTGCCACAGCTTGCTATCAGGTCGCTGCCAAATCTGTCCCCTACTTGTCAGCTGCCGCGATTTGCATCGTCCGCGTAGCCTACCGAGTGTAGGCCCTGCGTTGCTTTTCGGATGCGAGGACTTCATACGCCCCTCGCATGCGCAAAAATAGTGCATCCCGAGCGGCTTGGTCTTCGGGCCCGGCAGATGCCTGGCTCTTGTCGGGATGATAGACTCGAGCGAGTCGCCGCCATTTGACTCTGAGCTCGTTCTCATCAAATTCGGCCTTTTCCCACGGACGGGCAACGCCAAGATCGCTATAAAAATTGCCTGTGAGGAGCGTCTTGCGATAGGCTTGAACGACCGTATAGAGCAGATAGCCGCCGATGACGACGCCTGCCGCAATCTTGTAATGCAGCTCTGCACGCTTCTGCTTGATTGCAACGGACTCGACCGAGTCTGTGCGCTGTATGATCGGTCGCGCCGACGGTTGGACTCTGTAGAAGACAGCGAGCAGGATGCGGGTCGCTAACGAGGGCAGGAATTGCCATGAGAGGATGATCACGAGTGGCATGAGCCATGTCGACGCGGCAGAAGAGCCGAAGCCAGACATTCTGTATCGCTAGAGCGTCAGCAGGTTCTCTGTGTACTCCGAGGGAGGGCAAAGGATGTTCAGTGATGAGAGCTGTTGTCATTCGAGCTCGCCCGTCGCGTGATGCTTCCTCCCGCGCGTCTACGAGCAGCAGCGCGATCATGGACCTCTCACGATGCGTGTGAGGCTTGCCCGGGCGATCGACGACTGGATCCGGCACGTAAAGGTAGATGTGTCGCCTCAAGCCGTTGCCAATGACTTCTCGAGGGTCTTCAGAGAGCCAGGCCTATGATATGAGGCTGTCCCCGCACGTAGCGACTCCTGAGCATGCTCGCGGAGTTGCTACGGAGAGCGAGAGCATGGGTATGGTGTGCAAAGTAGACGTGGCATTCCGGCTACGTGTAGGTGGACAAACGAGCTGAATTGGCTTTGTCACTTGCCGCGCTGATCCAGTCGTCGCTTGTCCGACTCGGTAGCGACGACAAAGCACATCTCGCTGCCGAAGAAGCGTGCGAGAGAGCCGGCATGATCCGCTGACAGACGTAGGGCATGGTATCGGGCTGAAGCAACACGCCTGCTCGTGACGATCCTCTGCAGGCAGCAGAGCTCGTCGAACCTTTTACTTGTACGATGCTCATCCGGTAGAGGAGTGCGTGCTCGAGCGGGACATGGAAACCTACCTGACCTGGCTCCCCACAGAGACTCGCGCGCAAGCCTCGAGTTTCGAGGAGCTGCTGCTGATCGGATTTTGCCCGCTGCCGATCCGAATAAATTCGCGTCGAGTTTAAGGAGAGGAGGCGCTCAGCTGGCCTGGAACCGGTCAGATTGGCTTTGTCCAGGCACGGACACGCATGAGGAGGTGACAGGCTCGCTTGTGCCGCGCTCAAGTCAGAACAAGAGCAGAGAGCGAACTGCTACGTCTGCGTGCACGGACAAGGGGGACAGGCAGCAAGACCACGTCTATCGGTAGCTGTCCAGCATAGATTGTACATCGCCTGGCTGCTCATCCGTCTACGCGGACACTCGCTAGACTCGTGCTGACACCCGTCAGCTGCCTTCGCTCATACACGCTGCCCGAGCAGTCCCACGCTTGATGCCGTTCTATAGTCGCAATAAGCGAGCCGCCGACGCTCCTGCCCAGCCCAGCAGCATCATCTCTAGTCCAGGATATGCTGGCGCCCCTTCACCTGTTCAGCCAGGCAGCAGGAGCGGGCCTAGCAACATCTCGCTTCCGACATCCTACTCTGCACCGGGCGGACTGGCTCAGATGCAGCAGCCGGGCTCGGCGGGCTATGAGGCTAACGTGAAGCGCAAGACCATGTTGCCCTCGCCTCCTCGCTCGCCGGACAGATACGCCCAGATACATCGTCCCAATCCCTCCACACCATCACACGGGCACCATCTCGCGCCGTCACATCACACGCCCTCGCCCGCTCGCGAATACGAGCGCGACGAGCGAGATCGACAGTTCTCTAACCTGTCCTCCGGCAGCGCCTCGTTCGCCAAGAGCTCGCGCTACGACTCGGGCTATGGCGGAGACCATATGAATGCCTATCGTGACTCGCCGGCTGACGGCGCTGGGCGGTATCGTGCAAGCGAATCGAGCGGTCATTCGACAGATCCCGGCACAGACCAGTACGGTCACCATCGTCATGAGGTCGATCATGGTCATCTCGACAGCAGCCAAACTCTTGTCGGCCAGCACAGACACGCTCCCAGGGGCGCCGGCAGGCTCAGTAGTGGCGCCACCGGCATGGACAGCGACTATGAGGGTGACCTGACCCAAACGAGGGCAAGCAGAGGCTCTTCGGGCGGACTTAGGAGCCTCGGCATGCGCCTGCAATCACAGCAGCTGCATGGCGCTTCTTCTCCTTCCAGCTCGCTGTCTCAGTCAAATCCTCAATTACCCGCCAACACGCTCAACCCTGCTCGAGCGACCTTGACGTCAAACACATATCACTCTGGCTCAGACTCTGACGCGAGATCCCTGCAAACGTCCTCATTGCACTCTACCGCAAGACATCATGGCATGGATCACGAAGCTGATCGTAGCTCGTCTGCCGCCACCACTATCAGTTCAGGTAGCTCCCTGGGCCAGCATTCGCTACCTTTACCAATACCCTCTGGCAACGTCTCGATCAAGGACAATGGCAGGCAGATCTATTCGAGCTCAGCAGGATCGGTATCGATGCACGATGCGGGCCAAGATGACGATGCTGCTCGTCGGGCGAGCGCAATGCAAGGTGTCGAGCAGGCCGCCCCAGCATCACAACCTATCGCGAATCAGATCACGCCTGCCAAGCCTGCTCCCTCATCCGTGCCCGTCTCTGTCACTCGATCGGTTGCGAGTGCTGCCACCGTCACCCTTTCGCCATCTCTATCCACAACTTCTTCACGGCGATCTACCTCTTCACGCTATGCACTCACCGATTTCAACTTTGTCAAGACGCTCGGCACGGGCTCATTCGGCCGCGTGCATCTCGTTCGATCGTGCCACAACAAGCGACACTACGCTGTCAAAGTGCTCAGCAAAGAACGCGTCGTCAGAATGAAGCAAGTCGAACACACCAATTCTGAGCGAGAGATGCTCGAGCGAGTCCGCCATCCGTTCCTCGTCAATCTTTGGGGCACCTTCAAGGATTCTCGCAATCTCTACATGGTCATGGACTTTGTGTCTGGTGGCGAGCTTTTCTCGCTTTTGCGAAAATCACAAGTACGCCTAGTATTCTTAGCAAAGCTTAGCTGCTGACCACTTGCTACAGCGCTTTCCGGATCCCGTAGCCAAGTTCTTTGCGGCAGAGGTCGCGCTAGCACTCGACTACTTGCACAGTCTAGACATTATTTATCGCGACCTCAAGCCGGAGAATATCTTACTTGGCGCCGACGGTCACATCAAGATCACCGACTTTGGCTTCGCCAAATACGTGCCGGACAACACCTGGACACTTTGCGGCACGCCAGACTACCTTGCCCCAGAAATCGTGCAATCCAAGGGTTACAATAAGTCGGTCGATTGGTATGCGTTGGGCGTTTTGATGTTCGAAATGCTTGTGCGTACTCGGATCGCTAGACCCTTCGAGCCCGGCACTAACATGGAGATGTAGGCGGGATGGCCGCCCTTCTTCACAGAGGATACGAACCCGATGCGGCTCTACGAACGCATCATTGCAGGTAAAATTCGATACCCGTCTCATTTCTTGCCGGATGCGAAGGACTTGCTCCGCAACTTACTCACCTCTGATCTCACCAAGCGATTCGGCAATCTTGCCAATGGTTCATCAGACATTTTCGGCCACGCGTGCGTTCGCTGGCTGAGCATGGTACGAAGCTAACCAACGAGGTGCAGCTTTTTCAAAGAAGTCGACTTTCAGCGGCTGTATCGCAAGGAGATCCCAGCGCCCTATGTACCTCGCGTAGAGGGTGACTGGGATTCGAGCAATTTTGACAACTACGCAGAGATCGACATCTCAGACTACGGACAGGCGGGCGAGGACATTCACGGTCATCTGTTCCCGCTCTTCTGATGAATCGCCTCGGGCGAACACATGCAAAGAAAGACTGCAGCCTTTTGTATCATTATCATGGGAGCGCGCGAATGCAGACTGTCTGTATGGTCCCTAACGTGCAATTCGTGGATTCCAACTTATCTATAGATGAGCAAGGACGGCTTCTTTCGAAGACACGTTGACATCACTGGGCGAATCTTCGACGCCAATGTAGGCGACTTTGAGGTCATCGATGATCATTGCAAACCGCGCCGAGCGGACACCGAAACCGACGGCAGACACTGCAAGCGACGTCAGCACTGTACAAGATACTACGCGGGGGATCGTACGGTCTACGGTGAGACCGGCTTCTTTGAGCCAAGTCAGACCGGAATCGCTCAGCATGAGCACATTGTCGCCGACTTGGTGAACCTGGTGCGCCGTCAGTATGCCTATCGTCATCACTCATATTACACACACGTACCGATCCCCAAGCTGATTGAACGAACATGTCATTGGTGGCTAAGCAGGCAATAGTGTCTACACCTTTGCCTTTAAGCTCGGATGCACCGGATACAAAGGCTGGCAGATGGCGCTCGGAGCAGCCTTTGGTGAAAGCACCGGGCACGCCAAACAAGACGACCTTCTTACCCTTCCACGAGCTCGTGGAGAGCTTGGAGGGGTTGCCGCAGACCTTGGGGTCGTCCGTGCCGGTATAGGGCACATAAGCGAATTCGCCGGATGGTCTGTAGCTGGCATGAGCGTGGACAGACTAGCGTGAGCGAGCACGGCTCACATCGTGTCTCCCTTGCTGATGGCCATGATATGAATGTGCGTGCGTGGATGTGGAAGTAACGGCAAGTTGGGCGCTACCGAACAGCACGAGCCGCGGCAAGGAAATTCTTGACTCATCAGGATTACGTGTGCCTCTGATTGATTTGATCCATGAAGACAATTGACAGGATCAACCATCTAGCTATGCCTTGACATCGCTCAAAGGATTGCATTGAGCGCTACTAGACGAATGGGTTGACATTAAGCGAGTCTTGTCTCGCGGGTGCTGTGACATGCTCAATCGCCGATGGTATCGGTGCATGCTTTCGAACATTAGGTGCCGGCGGGGCTGGTCTACGCTTGTGGAAGACAGGCTTCGTATTAACAGCAGAGCTGTGCGAGGACGGATCAGGCGAATGGGGCGCAGAACGACTGCGCTCTATCGAGCTACCGAGTATCTTTCGATGGTGATCTAATGAGCTCGCCGGCCGATGGTGAGGTGCTCCCACTGGTTTGAGAAAGTGTGCTTCAGGAGACATCTCCTGGGGTGAATTGAGCCAGGGCGAGCCGCTCACGCTGCTGGACTCGCTTGTCGCCGCGCCGATCGCTGTCAGACTGGTCGTGCTCGTACGTGAGCTGGTCGTGTTGAGCTCGAGCGACTGGAGTCCATTGACGAGCGAAGGCTGATCGTAAGGCTGTGCCTCGATCTCACGGGCAGACTCAGCAGGATAATCGCGCTTCATCGTGCCCCCGTTGACCGTCCTGCCTTCGAGATCGAGACACCATTCGGCCTTGAGGTTGCGGTCGACGAGACGCTTCGTCGTTGCATTGACGTCACGTATGTTTGCATGGCAGACCAAAGAGAGCAAAGCCACTCGTATCTCAGCTCGCTTGTATGGATAGCTGCGCAGTTGCGTGTTCGTCACGAGAGGGTATAAAACACGCAGATATGTATGTCGTAGCTGCGAACCTCTGAGCCACAGCGCAGACAGCGAGAACGAAACTGACACTCTCTTGATCGTCTGGCAGGTCGTAGAGCTCTCGTATAAACACGTCGACGAGGACGCAGAGATCGTTGGTATAGAAGTAGTCGTGTGTCCCTCGAGTGGTGAACAGAAGGTATAGGATCTTCAAAATCAGTAGCGCGACACACAAGCTCTCGCTCGAGTGGTCTAAGCTTCATAAGCTCTCTGGTGGTATATGATGTGTCAGACTCACCTAGTCTGTTCAGAATGAAAATGAGATTTTCTCCAAAAGTCTTGCTGCTGCCAAGCTGTCGCCGCATGATGCGAAGCACGAGATTTGCATCTGCATCGAGGCTGGTCTCCTTCTTGCTGCGCTTGGCATCGCCGTTCGGCTTGCTGGCAGCGAGTGCGACCATGTATTGTTCATTGAGCGCAATCTGACGGACTTGAGCGCAGACCTGTGATAATGGGCTTGCAACCTACGATGAGCCGAATGAGGGTATAGCTTAGGGTTTCGCCGTAGTTGCGTGTCGACTCGATGAGCTGGAAAACACCCTTGATGAATGACTCGTCGAATATACCTGTGCATTCATGAGCACGCGACTTCGAATGGCAGCGCTCGACATACCGAGCTCGATGATGGAAAGCTTGTGGACGCGACAGGCCTCGTAAAGCAGCCCGGCAGCTTCGATGCAGATCTTGTCATTTGCAGAGCGATCACGTTCGTCAGGCGATGTCGCGCCTTTTGCATCCGGATAAGCATCGTCGACGTAGGCGTGTCCGTAGCGCAAGAGTATATCGCAGAGATTGGTGGTCAGTGGCGTGTTGGGTCCAATCTGCTGAGTTGGGCGCGAGGGATTCGAGGGTGGATACCTCGCCTGGTGAACCATGCGGTAGATGTGAGGAGCTTGAGCTGCTAGGAGATGCAGAGATACGAGCGCTATGTGTAGCCCCGTCGCTGACCGGGTCTGGAATCTCGCTCCGATCAGCTTCGGGTGGACTTGACTTGAGGAGACTGCCTACTTTGATGACAAAGTCGATGAGACCATCTACCACACGATCTCGATGACCCTGTACCAGCGAGGAATCCGCCAGTACGTCTGCAGCCCGCTCGAGGGACTCGTCAGACTGAAGATAGTCATCTGTCGGTCTGCCCGTCAGCGCAATGCGGCGCGTCGCAGCGGCCAGACTGACGGTAGTAATGACTGCAGAACGAGAGGTAATGCCGCAGCGCATAGTCTAGCTCGCCCAGGTGAGTGTCGCGGGGCACGGTGAGCATATCCTCGAGCTCTGTCGGCGGCATCATTTGTGTCAGAACCTTTGAACGGGCTGCTCGGCAGTCGAGGCGCACCCGAATAGAATTGCTCGGCCGTGTCGAGGAAGTACGTCGCTCCAAACTCCATGGCTGGCTTGTTGTCTGGCTTGTCGCGGGCACAGAACGGCTCTCAGACTGCCAACATGGCCGTCATGTCTTCCTGTCCCAGGCGGGCTCAAAGGCGGCCCTGGATGATGCTGAATGTACCGAGCAGCTTGTGCCTGATCAAGGATGATGCCGGCTCGTCTGTCTGAGGGGGCTATGCAGCGACAAAGCTTGGCTTAGCTGACGGTCTTGTCACCGCGCCGAAGAACGATCACACCGCTCACACTTGACGACGATATGGCGTACGTTTGGCTCGAAGCATCAAGAGCTCGTTGGCTGACGATCGATCGCTCAGTAGCGCTCGACCGGTAGGCTTCCTGGGGGCGGCAGACTGGCTGCGCAGCTCGGTCAAGCTCGTCAAATCGAAAGCCGTCGTCGACTTTACGGTGTTCCTGTTCAGCCAGGCGAGTCCTCGATCTCTGCTCAGCTCGCACTCGTCATGGGCTGACACGGCTTCCTTGCAGGTGCTACTCTTCTACGGCGCAAAGTATGTCTTCACGAGGATGCTCGACCCTCAGGCGGCAAGGAAACGGGCGGCGAGTTCAAAGTCGAGCAAGACGCTCAAGCTCATGGGCAAACGGGACCTCGACCTGAGCGAGCATGAGATGATGATAGCTGCCGAGGTCATCTACCCTGAAGATATCAAGACCGGTTTCTCAGACGTCGGCGGCCTAGAACTCATCGTCGACGAGCTGAGAGAGGCGGTCATCTATCCGCTCATGAACCCCATGGCATTCCAGTCCACCTCCGATCTCTTCTCTGCTCCCAAGGGCGTTCTACTGCATGGGCCACCCGGTTGTGGCAAGACTATGCTCGCCAAGGCGCTCGCCAAGGAGTCGGGCGCGACTTTCATCAACATCAAAGTCTCGACCCTGCTCGACAAGTGGCTCGGAGAGAGCAACAAGCTCGTCGCCGCACTCTTTTCGCTCGCCCACAAAGTACAGCCCAGCATCATTTTCATCGACGAAATCGACAGCTTCTTGCGCGAGAGGAGCAGGAACGATCACGAGCAATCTGGCATGATGAAGGCAGAATTTATGAGGTTAGCAGTCCTGTCTGGAGCGCATAGACTGCGCTCAATACAGGAGCACGATACAGCTCGTGGGACGGCCTGACCACTGGCAAAGAGCGTATCATTGTCCTCGGCGCAACCAACAGACCCAATGACATTGACGCTGCCATTCTCCGGCGAATGCCAAAGCGCTTTGCGGTGCGGCTACCGGACGCCAAATCTCGCAGGAGTATACTCAATCTGGTGGGATTGCTCATGCTGCTTACTCAGCAGTCGCTGAGTAGACGGACTGCTCGCCACAGATTCTCAAGGACATCCCACTCGAGCGAAATTTCAATTGGGACAGCTTGATACGACTCACAGTAAGCGCGCCCATCCATGTCACGCGAATCTACTGACATTTCAGCAGGATGGCATGTCAGGCAGTGGTCTGAAAGAAATGTGCCGAAATGCCGTCATGGTGCCCGTGCGTGAGGAGCTCCGACGGAATGGCCGGACAGCTCCTCCCAAATCATCAGACGCTGTTGATCCTCCAGAGCTCAAGGTGAGTCTTGCTTGCTCATGGTATATGCGCATGCGCTCATCATTCAGCTTCATACAGAAGTTTGATATCCGCCCCGTGCGGACGAGTGATTTCTTCATCAATGGGAGGATTGCTTCGATTGGTAACGATGTACCCACTCAGGACGGACTAGATTGACAGCATCATTTGCATTCTCGTAGACGCTTTCTCTTTCCTATGACGTTCCGTGTTCACTGTCATGCGAGTCAGCGAACGGCACGAAAGATGCAGCCAGGGGCTCACTGTGATGACAGTGGGCTTGTCGCGACCGGTGATCTCGGCCAGCTGACTGAGCGAGAGCGCGACTTCGATGAGTGGCTTGAGTCCTTCCTGCGTATCGCCCGCATATTCGCTACTGTCCTTGGAGTACTTCTCCACGTAGAGTCTGATCGTCGCGCCGGAGCTGCCCGTGCCGCTCAATCGGAAGACAACGCGAGAGCCGTCCGAGAAGCGAACGTAGAGACCTTGGTTCTTCGAGACTGAGCCATCGATTGGGTCAGTGTAGGCAAAATTGTCGGCTTCCTTCACTTTGAAGGTCGTGGAGGAGCTTGTCGCTTTGAGATCAGAACCGATGAACTCGCCAGCGGCAAACTTCTTTTCAAGTTCCGACATAACTTTGTTAGCCGCGTCAGAGTCGACTTCTTCGTAATCGTAGCGTGAGAAAAAGGTGCGGCCGTACTTTGTGTAATGATCTTGCAAAATGCCTTGAATGCCGTTTCGAATGCCCTGCTTCGATGCAGCGGCAAGGATACTCAGCCAGGCGACGACGGCCCACAGGCCATCCTTCTCTCGGATGTGGTCCGAGCCTGTGCCAAAGGATTCCTCACCGCAGATCGACAGCCTGCCGGCATCCATCAGATTGCCAAAGAACTTCCAGCCTGGGAGCGTTGACGGTCATCAGCCCGGTGAGCAGACCGGACACAAATGAGACGAACCTGTAGGGACCTCAAAGACTTCGAACTTTTTCGCTCTGGCCACGAGATCGATCGCGCCAGAGGTCGGCATGCTTCTCGCGAGACCTTTGACGCCGCCCTTGGCAAAGTAGGGAATCGATTCTGCCCAGTCCGCAATGATAGCGACCGAGTCAGAGGGTGTAACGAAAGCACTCTTGCCGTAGATCATGTTCCTGTCACCATCGCCATCGCTCGCCGCGCCAAATTGGATATTCTCGGCGTCTACTTTGTGGACGAGGTCGTGCGCATAGGTCAAATTGGGATCGGGATGGCCGCCACCAAAGTCTGGTAGGGGCACGCAGTTCTGGATTGTCTTTTCGCTCAATCCCAGCTCGTCGATGAAGATTGCGCGGCCGTATGGGCCTGTGACGCCGTGCATGCCATCGAAGAGGACAGAGACGCCCTGGTCAGATTGAAGGAAAGACTTGATGGTCGAGAAGTCAAAGATGGATTTGAGCAAGAGGACATAGTCTTTGACTGAATCCACAATCTCGACGGTGAGTGAGCCTGCCTTTTGCTCTCCGATGGTGGAAAGGTCAATCTAGTTTGCACGTGGAGTTTAAGCGCGCGCGCCTCCGCTAAAACCTAGGGCTTACCTTGGGCACTTCTGCGAGCTTATAAGACTTGATGGTCTTTGTGATGTCGTAGATCTTGTTGGTCACTGCTTCCGGTGCAGGCCCGCCGTTGTCCATGTTGTACTTGATGCCAAAATCTCCCTTTGGACCTCCAGCATTGTGTGAGGCAGTGAGCAGGATACCGCCAGTCGCTTTCCGTTTCCTGATGAGATGTGAGGCTGCGGGAGTGGAGAGGATACCGTTTTGACCGATGATGAGCTTCGAGACGCCATTGCCGGCACTCAAGCTGACAATTTTTTGAATTGCCTCTGGACCAAAGTAGCGCCCATCGCCTCCCACGACGAGCGTGCTGCCTTTGACGCCCGGTTCGGGGATGGCAGACAAGATGGCCTGCACAAAGTTCTCTGTGTAGTGCTACACGCTGACCCATGAGCTCAGTAGACGTATCTTAGAAGAGTTGCGCACTTCTTGTTGAAACACTGTCACTCTATCAACGTGGGCAGGCATCAGCTCCTTCGCCCGGGCAACGGGCCGACGTACTTCTTGCGCAGACCGCTCGTGCCTGGTTTCTGGCCATCGTACACCTTTGTCTGAACTTCTGACATCCTGACGAGAGCTGACTGAACGGCGGTGGCGAGCTCAAGATGAAGGCCAAAGAGCCGCTCGAAGGCGACACGCGCGCGACTGTCGACTGTCGCGGTAAGCATTGCCACCGGGCCCCGGCTACTTCGATAGCGTCTGCCGGGACTCACAGAGGCTTCGCCGTGCGACCTCAGCTTACTCCATCGGTGACCATTGGTCGCTAACGCAGCGACGATGGCAAAAGTCCAGTTCCTCTACGACTGCGTCTCGCCATGGTCCTACATTGGCTTGGTGCTCTTGCGTCGATACGAGCGCTTATGGCAGCTCCAGGTCGACTACCGGCCAGTCTATCTAGGCGGCGTCATGGTGGCCGCAGGCAACAAGCCGCCCATCACCGTCATCAATAAGGGTATCCACATGGCTCACGAGCTCTCTATCATTCCTGGCTATGTCGGCCTGCAGCTCCAGATGCCAAACGAGTTCCCCATCAACACGATCCACGTCGCGCGTTTGTTGCGGGTCATCAAAGACCGCAAACCTCAAGCACTCTTGCCCGCAACCGACCGCTTCTTCGTCTGTCAAGGCCGCTCAAGACGAGTCTCGCGCTGACAGACATGTTCAGGAATGCATCTTCGATGGCAAAGGCAGAGAGATGGAGGTCACCAAAGCGCAAAATCTGCCACGACTGCTCAGTGGCATCGACGGACTAGATGAGGAAGCTCTCAAGCCGCTCATGGAAGAGGCCGCCAGTGCAGAGAACAAGCTACGACTCAAGGTGTGCTCGAGATCTTTGTCCTGTCGTCATGCGCTCACACTGCTTCGTGGCAGGATGAAGCCACAGAAGCCGTCGAGGAGAATGGGTAGGCTCGTGCGCGGCTGCGCGACTCTAGGCTGACAGGTGATCACAGCGCATTCGGATGTCCTTGGTTTACGATCGAGCGCGATGACGGAGAGAAGCGCAATTTTTTCGGCAGCGACAGGTTCGAGATCATCGCTCACTGGCTCGGCAAAGAATACAGAGGACCTTTTCCTGAAGGACGACCAGATGCAAGATTATGATCTGTCCGCTGATCACGCTGTTATCGCGGTCCGACGGCATCGCGCACGAATGCATCACTGTACATTCTTATCACCTCTTGCCCGTCGTAGCCTGTCCGAGACCAGATGCATGCTCTGTCGCAGTCTGGATACACCGTGCGATCGTTGACCGTACGCGACCGTCTTCGAGCGTGAGTAAGCCGGCGATCGTACACCCACCGGGCGCTGCTCCAGTGTATCAATATGACTCAGACACCATGCCAGATGACGTACTGGTGACAGAATCTTTGATGGCTGCAGGATGTGCGCCGCTTTTGAGGACCATTCTAGCTGCACCTTGCATAGCTACCATACGAGTCAGCCTATTCCCCCAGATCAAGTATGCAACTCACTCTGAGCAGCAAGCTCGAGCGCTTCTGATCTCGGCAAGCCCATCATGACGCCCCCATCGGCCATGGCTTCGAGCATGAGGCACGCAAAAGCGGGTCCTGAGCCAGACAGAGCAGTGCAAGCATCAAAGTACTTCTCGTCCAAGAAACGCACTCTGCCTATCGGCGTGAAGAGCGAGCTAAGTATGGCGCGATCCAAGCGTGCGTTCGGCCCTGTGGGGACGTTGGATATGACCGTCATGCCCTCTCTGATCTTGCAGGGCGTGTTAGGCATAGCACGAATAACGCGCGTGTCGCTCGGTAACCAAGAATGCAGCTGCTCCAATCGTGTGCCGGCCAAGATGGAGATGACGAGCTTGCCTGCCAGTGCTTCGCTCATGCCGGGCACTTGCAAAATGGACTGAGCCATCTGTGGCTTGCAACTACCACTTGCGCCAGTGAGCTCGCGTACATTCTGGCCAAGCGCACTGCAACTGACCAGAGTAGTATCACGTCACTTCGAGAGACGGGTCCCACATTGTCGCCAGCGACAACATCGACATGCAACTCTGAGTTCTTGACAGTCTCTCTCCACACCTTGTTGAGTCTCTTGATCGATTCCTCCCTGTTCACTGTGGTCACAAAGTTGGCAGGCGACGAGTCTGCTTGGGGATCAAGGATTGCGCTCGAGTCGGGCGTCTCTGCAGCCCCGTTTCTCGAGGATGACTCGACTGAAGGATGCGCGAGCGAGTCTAGCACGCCTGACAAGATGGCGACGCCCATGGTGCCGCATCCTACCGCGAGGAGTCAGCAAGCGCTGGCAGAAGATTTGCAGACTTGCCTACGACGCAGAGATTATAGCCGTTGGCCATCTCAGCTCGTGGCGGACGGTGGTGCTCCAGCGTCTCTTCGACTGGCCAGCTGAGTTCAGTGTGGCACTGGCGCTGAGCTGACAATCGCGCTACCTTCGCATCTCCTGAAATCCGAAATCCGAGCCTCACCAGGCCACACTTTCTCCGACAGCAAGGCTCGGCAGCCGTCGACATGTCAGCCTGCCCATTGTTGACGCTACACTGGCTGCAGCGGTTTGATCAGAGCGCGTACGCTCGTAGCCAGCCGAGCCCATGCACTGCCTCAAGTCGTCCCGATAGCACCATCTCGGGCTCGTCGGCGATCCGTCTGCCCGTAGAGATAGCAGAGGAGATCATCGAGCATCTTGTCTACGGGGATGAGGCACCTTCCAAGCAATTGGCTACCCTCGCGCTTGTCTGTCGCGAGTGGCGAGTCATCGTACAGGAACGCTATCTTTTTGGCCGGCCGGTTCTCTTGTCAGATAATGCCCTGGTCAGGTACAACGCCGCCTTGGATACGTTCTCGCACAAGGTCGCCGATATGCTCATTGATTTGACCTATACGAATCGTTTCATCTTATCATACGCACGGCCTCAGCCAGGCTCATACTGCACCCTCGTACTCAACCAGATCCTATGTCGGGCGCACAATCTACGCAGACTGCGCCTGAGGTGTGTACCCACTGCTGTCCGCGCAAACCCTGCTGACGTCAAATGCAGAGGACGTGAGGGCGGCACATGGACCAAAGGATCCTGTGCGATCCTCGCATCCGCATGTCCACTCATCGACGAGCTCGAGCTAGACACTGTCATCGAGAGCACAGACGCATCCCTCAGTGCCACCCTCGAGCTCTTTGGCAGTGCAGCCTTGCGCTTGCTCAAGCATCTGACCATCAGGAGCGCTGCTGCCTTGCACGTCGAGCCTGTCCCACTTTGCACGCGTCTACCTGTGCCAAAGGGACTGTATAATCTGCAAAGTATCGTCTTGACCAATCTCTTCGTACTCGCCGACGATATTGGCTACCTTGTCAGCTGCTTTGCAGACAGCCCGGTCAGCAGAATCGAGATCCGAGATGTCTCCTGGGCGCCCACTACTTTGCCGCCAAGTTGGCCGCTGCGCAGTGCTTGTCTGACGACCATCTGTCCAATGTTGCGCGACGACGTTCTGCTGCCTTTCAGCGAGCTCGAGGACGTCACACTTTCGGCCATGACGATCCCGCTTATCTATCATTGTCATCCTCAAGCAAATATCAAGCGTATTACGTTCGACTTTAATCCTCTTCGTTCGCTCACTGTCTCGACTGTCGAATTGGCACTGTCGTCACTCACGACAGCTGTCAAGTGGCTCTTGTCAGATGAGCGCCCGTTTGCGGAACTACAAATCCTGGACATCCCCCTGATTGAAGATGTGCAAGGATACAGTATCATACCGACCGAACTCACGACTTTACTCGCTGACTTGCGCTCTGCGCGCGGCATCGCAACGCCCGAAGATTGGCATGATTAGCCCTCATCTTATCAAAGACACTGATGCCTGACGACCTTATGCAAATTGACGATATGTACCGTGCATGCTCTTGTATCGAGCACAACACCAAGCAAGGCTGCTCGCCCGCCGAAACTCGAATATCTACACCATGAAAAATTGTCCGTTCGTAATCCAATAAATGATTGTTGATGTCCCGCCCGTACGCTCAGCCACCGTTTTGAGGCGTCACGGAGCCGACAGCCTTTGAGTTGGAATAGCTGTAACCGCCGAATGCGAGTGCGCCGGCGGTGGCCTTGGCACTCTCTGGTGGATTCGAGCCATCGCCAATCATGATGCGATGTCCGCGTGAAGGCACGCCGTCAGCGACAACATAGACCCATCCATAGCCAGGAGGGAAGATGTAGCCATTTGGTGGTCCTGTAGCGGAGATGATTGTACCAGTGGAATCGACTGAGCAGACGAGAGTGACCATACGCGAGTCCATGGCGTTGGCATGCGTATGGAAAGCGAGGTCGATCAACGTCACTGCGTGTACATCAGCCTGGGTCGCGGTCACCTGCCGCAACACTACGTACCTGTGACGGACTTGGTGTTGGCAGGCAGCGTAACGCCAGTGAGCGTGAAGTTGGAGGCATAGAGGATGTTTGAAGGATAATTGGTGTAGGTCGGTCGTGTCTGAAACATGTATGGCGGACTGAAATATTCAATTTTGTATGTGGTGGCGTACTTGGCTGTCGTCACATCAGGATTTGGGTTGCTGCCTGCGATAATGATGCGTCCATCAGGTAGAAGCGAAGCGGTCGAGTGATACATGCGTGCAATAGTCGAAGAGGCGAAGCCGGTTGTAAATCGGCTTCCTGCTGGTGCGCTGGGCGTGTACAGCCATGGCGTGAGGACGGGGTGATCGGCGTTCGAGTGGCCAACTTGATTTGCCACATTGCCGTAACCAGCCAACCCGGTTTGAGCGCCGTTGATGAAGAGCACTGATCCATCCGGCGTCAAGATTGCGTCTCCCATCGTGCGATGGCCAGGCATTGTCTCTGTTTGCCAGCCTTTGGCGATACCAGCCTTGTTGAGTACCATACGTGCGCAAATGTTGGCCGCGGGCGTCTGCGAAGACATCTTGGTGGCAGCAATGCGATCATTGATATTCGAGCCACCACAGAAGAGGATCTCGGGCGTGTAGTTGTTCTCTGGCGTCAGAGGAAGCATGACTCCGCCAGCCGACCAGGGATAGGTGACGCGCATTGGCAAGGTGGGCAAACGGGTCTCAGTGTTGGTTTTCCAGTTGTAGATCATGGTAAGCTTATTAGCTGCCACGAAGAGCGTGTTGTCTGGCAAAGCCCAGAGGAAAGGGAACAAGTTTGAGTTGAGTGCATCGTGCAAGAAAGGCGAGTAAATTGGTTGCCCGTTGCCCTTTGCCGGGAAGTACTCGATCTGGGAAGACATCAGCGACCAGCACGAGACCTCGCGATATCGACACGCACTGTAGGATTGTCTGTGTTTTTGACATTGTTAAATCCGCCCGCAATCATACCGCCCCAGATGATGAGAGACCCATCAGAAAGACGAGCTGAAGATGGATACCATCTGCCGGCAAATCAGAAGAGTGGCGAATGATCGGGTCAGTGCATACCTATACGACGTGAGACGGATGCGAGACGGGTTCTCATATATATCGCCCGAGCCATCAGCCCTGGGTGTGAACATGCGGAGGGCCATGAGGCCATTCTTTGTGTTCGTGACGCCTTCGCGCGGATTGCCACCGATATTGACGAGTGTACCATTGCTGAGCCAGCCGCCGCCAGCGCAAAACGAATTAGTCGTTGGATTGAGAGCGCGGACCGTGCTGGTCTGGGGATCAAGAAGAGAAGACCATGCATGATTGCCGTTAGCGGAGCGGAGTGCGTTTTGCTCCGCCTTGTCGAAGAAGATAACGTAGCGATCTGACACTACAGCCATCTGCATAGCAGAGACGCCCGAATTGCCTTGCTGCACATAAGTCGAAGTGCCTGCCCATTGCGGACCAGCATAAGCGCCAAGCTTCGTGACCGCGCTAGGTCTCGCTACAGCTGTCGATTTTGCGGCGGCTTTCTTAGTAGTCGTGGCTGCTGCTGCCGCTTTCTTGCTGGTAGTAACGACCTTCTTGGTTGCAGCAGCTTTCTTTGTTGTCGTGACAGCTTTCCTGGCAGACGTCGACTTCTTTGCAGTCGCCTTGCTCTTCTTAGCTGTCGTGACGGCTTTCGAACTGGAAGTCTTCTTAGCGACCTTTTTGGTCTTCTTGCTCGTCTTCTTGGCCGCGACTTTTTTGTGTGACGCACGACGTTCGAGACGGAAGGATCCGTTCAGCGCTGACGAGTGCGTCAGACCAGGCTCGCGTTTTCCAAGGTCAAAGGTATCTTCTTGTAGAGCCAATAGCTGGACCGGCTGAGGACTGGCAGTTGAGAGCACAGGTCTCGCAATGAGTACGAGGAAGAGCGGCAAGATCAGTACGAGCTGTCTGAGGCCGACGGAGGGCCCTGACCGGGCCATCTTGTACGGCTGCTGTCAATGTGGGTCTCAGCTTTGAGGTCAACTCGACAATACAAGCACACGACACACCTGATAGGTCTCGAGATGCGGCCTTCGTAGCAGGCAGTCTCAACGCTTCTGCGATGGTTTACTTCTTCAAGCAAGCAAGGCCGACGATACTGTCGAAGTCGTCGAGTGGACTGTTGACAAAAGAAAGTCGATCGAAGGCCCTTTGTAGTATGCGTCTTCGAAGGCAGCCAAGTCTTCGGCACGTATCGATGTCGCCACCGATGATATGAACAAACAGTGTCGGTAAAGAGTGTGAGGTGCCTGCTAGGCGTGTGGGTCGGTCTGATGGGTATGCGATGTCGAGGCGATTGTGCGGTCGCGCGGGTTCAAAACAAAAGGTATGTATCCTTTGAATCGGCGAACGCGATGACCAGTTAGCAGAGAAGCGGCGAAGCTTTGCGAGTACGTACCGGCTGGTACAAAGGCGGTCGCCAAGCCGAGCTGGGCTCTTCTGTCAGGAAGAAGGTTCTATGGAAAAGATCAGCGACGCGCGTCAGTATCCACGTGACATCGGATCTACGGCTGCTATGTAACTGCGATCAGCGAATGGAACATTACGGAAGGGCGCTGCCATGGCACGCCGTGCTCTCCCTCTCGGCTGCGGGCTGTACACGACATGCAATACCGTCCCACTGTAAAACGCCCGAGCTGCGCAGAGAACGCTGTGCTCTCAGATCTTATGGCGCGGCAGGCACTACTGTTGGCGTGTAGCGATTCCCGTCAACAGTCAGCGTGCTCGAAAGGATATTGCAGGCAGTATGGCCTGTGATACCGACGCCTCGCAGTCAATGCCAACGTATTATCAGCAGATGCGGAGCGTACCCGGCCAACCCCGAGGGTCATCGCATTTCGGCTTCTCTGCCCTTGGATCGGGCGCGCAGTAGTTCTCAAGGCTGGCTGTGAGATTCTCGATCGTGTCCTCCGAGTAGTGAGCATCGAAGCGGACAATCAAGACAGCGCGGCAGCAGTCGTAATACTGTCGCAAGCCAAGATCAGCCTCGTCTGCGCACAAGCCCGAGACGGCGCACGAGATTCCACTCATCATCGAGTTCGGTGTCTGTCGGGATGTCGCGCCATCAGCTATTGACGCGCTTTTGATATGCGAGGATACTTGCTATAGTCTCCCTTGACAGTCAGCTGCACTGTGACGTAGTCCGGATGTCTTTCAAAGACGGTCAGATTCGTCATTGGCGTTGCATTGACCTTGCCGATCCGCTGTCATCCAATGCATCTTGTGAATATGCAAGCAGCTCACCGCTACGGCATCCGCTATCTTGCTCTGTATGAAGACGTGAAGCTCGGTCTGCGTCACATCATCAAGAGGATTGTCAGCAGTCGCATGCCAAGGCGTACCTTGATCGTCGTGACTGCTCTCCTTTCTATGGTCAGCGCGCCCTTCTACGGCTGGAAAGGGCCTACCGATGACACCGCCCGTCTCAGCACACATGCCGTACATGTCCATCTTGACGTCGTAGATGTTTGTGAGCACACTGCGCTCCTCGATAGGGCTATCTGCGAGCGCTTGGTCCCCTCGCTCGAGCAAGCTGTTGCGCTGCGCCAGAGCGCCCGTGTCGACCTTTGGCCATGATGGCTTGGCCAGCGCCGTCACGGTACAAGCAGCGACAAAGGAGATGAAGGACCATTGCCTCATTCTGGCCTGCTTCCCAAGTTGGCGAAGGATTCGAGGGAGGGCAACCAGGGTGAGCTTAGAGGGGTCTGTCGCTGAGTCTGTCCCTCATGGTCTCCTCAGACTCTCTCGAGCGCTGCTTCCTCTCATAAAGCGACATCAAGCGCCATGCTTGTCCCCAAATGGCTTCTCGTCACTTGCGCAACACTCGTTTCCTGCGTGCCAACAGCCAATCTGCCTGCTTTGGCACACGAAAGCAGCCTTCAACCGTCGTCATCGATTGCCCGCCGAGACTTTGGAATGATCTACCAGCTTCACTGTACGGCTGTCTGCTGCTTGCGCTGCAGTTGCTCACACCCCACGGCGCAGTCCTCCTCATGGGCGAATGCGACAATGTCGGCGCTTTTGGCTGTAAGCGAGCACAAAAGGTTGCTTATCGACCCGCGACACTGACTGAACTTTGCCCACAGCAACGGAGCCGACCGTCAGCTCTCAGCAATCCTATCTTCGTCTCGCGATCTGACGTTCTTTCAGGCTAATCTGCTCATTCACGGGCCTGCCCACGGGCTGCCTGCGGGAGGAGAGCGCGTCAGTCCATCGATTCGACACATTGCTCGGTGCTTTGATTCATTCCATGTCGTCTACAGATTTGGGGAGATGGATTCGAAGAGGTGACCTTTGAAGAAAAGGCAAACGGCCTCGTCAGGGTCAATCTGCTGTACAAGGGATCAAGACGTAAGCATGGCAGTTTCCTGCATTGGAGGACTGCGCGCTGATGTGTCCTGACAGGAAACTATCCCGAAGAATCGTGGACGGAAGACGTGAGTGCGGCAGCAGAACCTCAGAGCGGGCTGAGAGCGAGCGCGCTGGCAGAGACTGTGGTGCTGTAGCGTCAACGGTACCGCCTCCTTTGATGCAAGCTACACCAGCCGAGAAATTCTGGACCTCGAAATGGACATCATTGGTCGATGCACGCCAGACTCGTGGCAATGCAAGGGCAAGACAGGCATTCCAGGTACGACTCGAACCATGCAATCTTGACAGCCCACAAGCTGATGTTTGCCATAGCAACGACGAAGTGCACCGTCAAGGCAGGCTATCTGACCTCGAACGGCATTCATATCGGCAGAAGCAGCTCCAAAGGTGTCTGAGATTGCATGGGCGCTCGCCCGAGCTGTCAATTACCACCGCGTCTTGCTGTTGCCAACACTCCTCTTGTCCGAGTGTCGTGCGATCGCCCCTCCGGTCTCTCTCGCCAAATGTCATTGTTCGCTTGTGTCGTTTTGCTGCAGCTTGCCGTACTCGGCTTTGCGGCTCCTCAACCATCGAGTGCCCTCGTCGAGCGGGATTGGGGCATGATGTACAATATCAAATGCAAGTCAACGGGCTCGACTGGCATGACAACAAGCTCAAAAGTGCTGCAGTCAACGTCACAGGTAACTGTGCAGACGTGGGCGATTTCACGGCCTCGGAGGTCGCCCCCACCACTATCTTTGTGCAAGAAGCAGTCGAAGGCAAAGCGACTGGCTTCATTTTAACCGAAGCCATTTCGAATCAGGTCACCTTACACGGTAGCGACAGACACGATGGCCTGCGCGTGCAGATGTATGTCTAACGCTTGCCGCCTTCCACGTCGTACGCGCTGACGGGTGCGGCCAGACGAGCGAGGGTCATGTTGGGTGAGCTCCTGACGGGTCGAGAGATGACCACGCTCAAAGACTCGCAGCGGACCATCAGCCGCTGAGCATCTGGTCGGAAGAGGCAAGCCTTCTTGCCATCAACGAGCACAAATTGCTGACGACAGGCAGGCCGAAGAATGCTGCGCAGCTTTCATGACCGCGCGCTTCAAGCTCTACTATGAAACGCGCAAAGTCTACGTTGTCAGCGTAGTGATGGACAGCTACTGTTCGCCCAACCCTGCAGCGTATGCCAGATACGACTGCAAGCCGACAAAAGAATGGCCACGTAAGATTGCAATGTCCCGATGGCCGCGCGCGCTGAACCTCTCGACGATCAGAGGAGCAAAAGTGCAGTGTCGGGCGAAAGATTCTCATAGCCGATGGTTTGCAATACCATGTCTGAGCAGATCAGACTGTGTGTGCAGGCACGAGATGCAGTGTTGCGGCTTGAGCCATCCTTGGAAGGACAATTGCGCCCTGAAGAATGCATTTCCTATGCCTGCTCGATCTCGAAAGCCTGGATCTCTGTTGTCTCTGTCGAAGGCACAGACGGTCTCTTGAAGGGTATCTCCTTGCCGTTGGCGCCAAAGTATGACTCGCTTCGGGGACAGTCCGCCGCCACTGCATCATGTCAGATCCTATGTCAGCAATCAAGACGAGACCCACGCTGGTATTTCCGTTCGCAATGAGGATCACCCGGTCCAAATTCGTCTGGAAAGCAGAAGCGTGCTGTGCTACACATCAGCCAACTTTGCCATGATAGTGGCCACACTCACCGCTGTAGAGGGCCACGTCGGGTATGTCGCCTGGCCAGATGTAAGCTAGCACAAAGCAGATCGGTGACACTCACCTATCTCGAGACCGATCTTGAACCGTGCTTCGACGAGCGGGCGGCAGCAGACTGTTTCCTGATCATCCCAATCGACTCGCATCCGTGGCACTGTGTGCTCTTCAGCTCATGTGCCTCTGCTTTGCCCAACCCACTGACACGTTTTCGGGTTGACGTGGAAGCGCATCTTGATGAAAGTGCCCACATCTGTCACTCTTGGCGTCGTCTCGTAGAGTTCCAGGCCGTCGAGATTGCCCTGCAAACAAGTCTGAGATGGCTCTTTTTTTTCTTCGATCCTCTGTAAGTATGGACTTGCCACTTCCGCTTTGATCCACTTGCCGGGCACACCGTGCACGTAGACTCTTGCTGACACTGTGGGGATACGAATTGCGCCCACATCGCATTGAGCGTCCAGATGGAAGTTGATAAAATGCAGCTTTTCAACGATTCTATCTTTGGTGATGTCCCATGGCCGATGACGCTGCTCGATCCGGAGTGCAGACGTATTGGTGGGTATGGCACCGACACAGAAGACCAAGCATGCGAGAAGGATGGGCACCATCGACTCGAACATTGTCACGATGACGGAGAGCAAAGACAGCAAATTTCGCGCAGCGGGTTTCGAGATAAGCTCAGGCTGTCGTGATGTACCACTCCTTCGTGTTGCACGTCGAGCCAACTGTCATTGTACCGATGAGCATGTGGCATCAGCTTGAGGATGCCTAAGGGCTCACAGGGTGGATTGTCACGCTGTCCAGGGTCACAGCCGCTCCTCGAGGCTATACAGTACAGATGAGTGGAGTGACCGATCAATGCAAACCATTCTGATCGCTTGTAAGCAACGTTCGGGCAGTACACAGACTCGTCACGCACCCTGTCCGACATGCGCCTCGATCTGAAAGTTTGAATAGACTGCGCAATGATCATGACACTTGGCAGCATTGTCGGTCTTGTCTGTCGGGTCTTTCAGATGTGCGAGACCTTTGACAGTGAAAGACACTGTGGCGTAGAACGGAAACCTGTACTGTATGCCCAACACAACGGCCCGGGTGTCGCCTCCATCCTGGAGCGTTCAACGACAGGCTCAGTCGGATCACATTGGCCTCAATGTTGCTCACCAGTTCGATCTTTGGGAAGCCGATCGGAATGCCATGCCAGGCAGGCGCGGATATCTTCATGCCCACTCTGACTGCATCAACGTCAAACGTGCCTTGCTCGCCGCAGTCTTCTGTACTGTGCAACACAAGAGTGGTCTGCCACGATAGGCCTGTAAAGCTTTCGGTCTGGATCATGTCCAAAGATTGTCGGCTGAGATTGCGAGCCTCTGATGGCCATTGGAGTAGGATGTCATCAGCCGGCCACTGGGCTCCGTGAGGAAGAGGAGTGCAAGCAAGGAGGGGAAGTATCTGCAACGACCAATCAGCCTTGGCAAGGCGCGACGGACAGAGCAGCCGACAGCGAGGAGCGTTGTGTAAAGCGCAAGACTGAACATGTCTACAGCTGTCATGCTGATGAATTGTGGCGCAACCAGCTGTTGCTTGACGATACGCAGAGAGGGGTTTGTCAGGAGTCAGCCGAATGCGTGACCCCACCGTCTTTACGCAGCAAGTAGATGGCCTTCAGACGATGCTCTCTGCTCTTGCTGGCAGCCATATCGGCCGTCTCTCTTGCTCGTGAGGCTAAAGAGGATGTGCTGGTGTTCTTCAGCGACGAAAGAGCTGCGATGCTGCCATGGCCGAACGTGCATGACGACGATGATTTTGAGGAACGATTCGAAGCGTTCTTAGCTCAGCCACACATTGCCGATACGCTGCTGGTTGCAGAAGGGGAGCACGAAGAGAAGCGATCAAAGTCCAGACTGTCGTCATCTCCTGAAGCCGAAGACGCGCCTCACGACGCGCCGATGGAAGCGAGCGCCGGCAAGCTGGCCGGGCGGTCCCACATCTCCCGAGTCTGGCAGATTCTTTATGATGCTTCTGCTTTTTGTACCCATCTCGGCGACTTCACTATGCCCTATCATTCCGGTGGCCTGACCGTCTTGCTCGACGCCGGGAGCATCGAACAGAAGCCTGCGGTCTATGTCGTGAGCTTCACGGTCTGCTCAGCATGATCATGTTCATCAGCGCGAACAGTCCGAGTTCAGAAAGGCTCATCGAGTTGCCATATCCCGAAGAGAAGCGACCGAAACCTACAATCGAGCGCTTATTGAGATCACAATCCGCGGCGAGAGAGGACCACTCGAGCGTGAAGATACTTGGACTGACGACGGTGAGAGCATCATAAGCTGCGCAGGCTGAAGCTCATCAGCCGGCCAGACTATGCCTGCTGTCGCGAATACGCGACTTTCGTCTTTTGGCTCTATACAGATCAACGTCAGTCATTCGATAGGGTCAATTTGGTGGCCATCTGACACGCGATGCAGCCAAATACCTCGTCGGTCCCCAGATTGTTAAGCCGTACGAGCATTGAGGAGCATGCGATGCTCGCTCACACCATGCGCAGGTATTGCTGGCCAGATGTAGATGCAGATGCGTCTCCGACTTGCAAGCACTCACCGCCCGGTCAGTATGCCTACATCGTTCGGCATAGACGCTGAGAACTTCCGCAGGACCACATTCGTGCATTATTCGTACGAACCACTTTGTTGCAAGCACAGACTGATCCGCTGTCTCCATGCAATATTCTACGTCACTTGCGCGGCGCGCATTGACCTTATGCGCTAGCTGCCAGCTGGAATGGACACGCGAGATCGGACAGCTGTGTGTTCGCGGTCTTGCTGCCGATGATTCCAACAATAGACATTGACAGATGCACGACGAGATTGAGGCCAGGACGAGTGACGCCTGTATAGCTCTTCGAGCAGCCCTTGTAAATATCTTGGACTATGAACATCCGTCAGAACGGCAATGACAGGACAGCGAGGGACCCACACGTCGTATCGGTATCGTTGTTAGCCTGATACGCAAAATGAATAGGCAGAGCGACGGTGCTCTGAGCCTTGCCCGGCAATGCGAGACCCGTTTTACTCCCCGTCGCGATGACGGCATTGGTGTTAAGATCTTTGATCGAGGCACTCAAGCTCGAGAGATGGATCGGGATATAATTGTCTGTTGAGTCAACTGCTGACAGGGTCAGTGCCGCGCAATACGTCGTTCCCAAGTGAACGCACAAGCCAAATTCAGAACGCCATGCCAATCAAAGGTGGCGGGCGGCCCGTGGCTGAAGACAGGATCGGCATATGTCGTGTCAAGCGCAAGAGGCTGGCTCGTGCTGATCAGGACCGAAGGTGTTCTCGGAATGACGAAATAGAGCGTGATGCCGAGCGCAACGATGATCGCGAAGAGGACGCATACACCATGCCGCCATCCGAACCAGCCACACAGCTTACGCTCTCCGCGCTGCCATTCACCAAGCTCATTGACTGCAACGCCGGCCTTGCTCTGTCGGAATTGCGACTTCCTTGCCTCCTTGCGAGCCATTCGGCCTTCATCAGCTGCCCAATCCGTGCCCAACACAGGCATACTTGACAAGACTACGTCCTTGTAATCGCCGCTAATCAGGTTCGTAGATGACGCGTTGGCCGCCCGAAGATCCAGGGATGCGTCTTCGCGCGTCGGGTCTGACAAGTTTCGTTGCCTGTCACTTCGAGCGAATTAGACTATGTATCAATGCTATGCTACAGAGACTAACAAGCTCGTACTGCGAACTTCCTGGGCGACGGTGCTGTACGGCCTTGACACGTTGTCAAAATCGCCTCGAACGTCAAATGTGTTGAGCGGTAGCGAAGCTGTCCGCACGTGGCGATCGCGGTGATTGGCAACAGCAGCGACATTGCTTTGTGCTCGTTGACGATCGCTATGGTATTGCATCGATTTGGCTTGGCTAGCATTGTACGAAGAGTAGCGCTGGTGACCCTGATGGGTCGAGTAGCGCGGAGCTGACGTGCTCTCGCGATTCGGAGCTGCCGAAGAGCGCCGCGAATCTGATTTCGTTTTCCTCCGAGCGCTCTCGCTCATCGTTGGCGAAGCCGCGCGTATACGAGTATTGGCTACGTCGGCGTTACCCCATGTAGATCTGGCACTGTGTACTGACACGGGCGAGGCAGGTCTGCTGCCAATCAAGGACGAGCGCTGTCGCTCTTCATCTGGCCCGGATACACGCTCGTGCGAGTTCTGGAAGCTTGTAGCAGTTTGAGGGCGCTGCACGATTCGCGAAGATCTGTTAGAGCTTGGCTGAGCTGGTTGTACACTTCTGAAATGAGCCTGGTGGAAGTTTCTAGGGTCGAAAGAGGACATCTGCGCTGTACGGTAAGGATGATCCATCTGGCGATTGATTCCGATCTGTACGGTGTCTCGACGCTTGATAAGAGCCGAGCGACTCGTAGCCAGAGCCGAATGCCGTTGGTGGCTTGTACTGACGTCGTGTGAGGCTCGCGAGAAGACGGTCGGGACGAGCGGCACGGGCAGAGGGGGCAGATCAACACTTTGACCTCGCCAGGCACGCGTACCTGCGCGTTCTACCTTGATTGTGCTCTCCGAGTGATCGCTAGACCGTCTCTTGCGTCTCCAGAAGGCTTCCGGTAACAAGGGCTTTGACCAAATGCGTGAGCGCTTCAATTGCTCTACCGGATTATGCGGTTTTTCGAGGTCAGATTTAGGGCTTTGTACGTCGTCTACGATGCTCTCGCGCGATACACTTGAACGGATCGCAGATCGATCAAGTGGCAGAGTCTGGAAGCGCGCTTTGGAGCTGTCAGTAGGTTCCGAGGAGTACCGCCAATCTTTCGCGAGGCTATAAGAAAGGCTTGCAGGCTCGGGTTCAACGAGATCTGGCGTGACTGTTCGCCAAACGCCAGAAAGCGGGTTCAGACCAGGCAAGAAAGGTGCAGGAAGAGGCGAATCTGCTCGCTCTATAGGACTGGTGATCAGACGACGCTGAAGTACTGCTGCAGAGCTCTTATGCTTCGGTCGAGGCGGCGGTGTAGGCGCAAAGTCACTAAGAAAGTCGGAGCTGTACTGCGATGGGCTGTCAGGGACCGGAAATACTCGCAAGCCAGTCTCCGAGGCAACGACAGATACTCGATCGCCAGGACGAGGAGCAACAGACGAGAAGCTTTCTCTGAAGATGGATGAGCCAGCAAAGTACGGTTGTGGCGCCTTTGAGGCTGCGGTCTGAAAAGTGTCTCGACTGAATCTCTCGTTCGCCGATGACTGGCTGCTACTGGAAGTAATAGACTCTGTTCGATAGGATGAACGACCCGGAGATCTGAATCGAGGATCTTGTATCAGTAAACTGATCTTGCGAGGTTGGGGCGCGACGAGGATCGGCGCAGAGGCTGCCCTTTGCCGTGTCGGATCTGTCAGCCCACTAACGCTGAGTTTCGCAAATTCTACAGTGGTTGACGGAAGAGGAAGGGCAGCAAGCTCGTCGGCGGTATCAGGCACGGTCAACGTGAGATCCGGAGGCGTGTGATCGGGCGCGCTGCCTTCGCTTGACGCGTTTGCTTGCAGGTGCTCCTCAGGCTTATATTTGGACGTCTGAGACGGACTACGCTCGACGGTACGAGACGACCGCTTGGTGACGAGGAGCGGGCTTGTCGGGCGCTGCAGATAGCAAAGCGAAGACGGCTCCTTATTGATGCTGTTCGAGCCAGAGCCAAAAGCAAACGAGTTGCTACTCCGCTTGCTCTGATTGCCACTTGACGCCTGGCCAGACAGGTGGGAATATGAGGCCTTGTCGCTGAGCGTCGGTGCTTGGACTTGAATCGACAGACGAGACGAGTCTCCTGATTCTGATGCAGATTCTTCGAAGGACCAGCGAGATGCGTCCTTGCGGCCTTTCTGCGTGTCTAGCCGCGCGCTACTACTGACAGTCGATCCACTCGCTCGCTGAGCTCGAGGGGATAGCGGCTCGTGGCGGAGATGCTCTTCAGCTTGGAGCGCGGGCGGCGCATCTGGGCGGTCTGTGCAGCGTACACGGAAAAGATGAGCATTCAAGCAAGCCACTGCGGGAGAACTGACGTTGAGATGACTGTGAGGCACCTTCGTCGCCTTGCATGTTTGGAGCAATCGATTGCACTCCTTGACGATCGACAAGGTCGCTTGGCGCAGCTTCCTTGTCATTTGCTTGCGACATTGGCGCGGCCGGCTGTGAGGAGCTTTGGTACTTCGAAGCGATGCACAAAGACCGCAAGTAGAAAAGAGGGTGACAATGAGACGGAGGAGCAGGAGACGCTCCAACGGAGCGATTGCCTGGCAATTTTCATCTCATCCGGCACGGCGTTTCATGCCCGTGCGCGCGTTGCTACGCCAGAGACAATGTTGCATCTTGTGGGGCAGGCGATAGCTGAGGCCGTAGCCGCAGCGCGTCAGGCGATGGCCAAGATGCTCGCAAATGCCGCAGCGGTGAGCGCGCCGACGACAAAGGAGGAAAAGATGACGCTGCGGCGGGCCGGAACATACATATCCCTCGTCAGTGCCTCCTGCACGGCAAAGTAGCGGTGGAAGCCAAGGGCGAGGAAGACGAGCGCCAGGAGAAGAAAGGTTCCTCCGATGGGCTTGCCTTGACGCGCGATTTGTATCAGTCGAGTGTCTGAGGGGCTGAATGATATCACTGACCTAGACGACGATAGCGTAGCTTCTCGCTGGCCTGTGAAGTAATCATCGAGTCTATCTCTACCTGTTGTGCGATCACAACGTTTGTGAGCGCGCGGACAGCGGACAGCAGCATTTGCTCTGTCGCGTCTGTATCTGAAGAGCCTTGTCGCGCCATCAAGGATGCATCTGGCTGTGCTTCGGCCGGGATGAACAGAAGTGATTGGACATGAGCGAGCGCGGACTGGGCGACTGCTGAAGATGGCGCATTAGCACTACCGCTACTGCCGTTTTCGAGGATGGTGGACAGACGAAAAAGCTGCGTCACCGCTGCGAGTTGCGAGACAACGTCATCCGGAGCTCATCAGGTCGGAAGCAGACACTGACCGACGCCGATGGACGCTAGCGACAGGCTTGATCTAAGCCAGGCGAGCACGGTACGTTCATTCGCCAAATGATCTCGCGCGACGGACCCCTTATTGACGAGCTCGAGCGTCACGTTCTGGCGCTTGTACCAAGCTTTGCCCTTCGCTAGCGTCGTGTGAGACCATCCTTGGTCTATCGCTGGCTTGCTTCTGTCGTCCACTGCAGAGCTCGAGCCGCTCACTACTTCGCCATTCGGATGTCGGTCTGAGCCGAGCTGTACGCCTGCTTGGAATCTCTGACGCTGCTGTAGAGACTGCTCCATATGCGAAGATGACTGCTGTTGTCGCTGGGCTGTCGCCATGTCGTCGGCAAACAGTTGTAGCGAGTTGGCGGTCAGACTCGATGGTGCTGCATGTCGCTGTCGCGCTAGGACCTGCTCTACGCATGAGCGATCAGTCATGGATCATCCAGCCAACAAGGCGGCGACTTGCATAGGCCCGCGAGAATGAGCCAAGGACGAAGCAATGCAGCAATGGCGTGCTCACAGTGATCGAGCCTGCCGCGTGCAGACGTCCCCCCTTCGTCCCCTCAATGCACGCCAGGGCCACGTCCCGGACCAGCCTCATGAGAGTCTCTGAAGTCTGACCAAAGCATCGGTGACGCACTGAACCGAGAAGCGCTCCCATTTGTCCCTCTGTTCGGTGTCGACACGCTGTGATTTGCTCACTTTGCCTATCGAGCTATCTGATGACGATACGAACAACAATGAACCTCAAGAGCACGGCTGTGCTCAGCTAACTCGCTCAGCTACTTGACATAGCCTGCCACATGCATCATCATCACCTCGGGTCCACGTAGAACGTGAGGAAGCGCTCATGAATGATTATACCAGCCAAAAACCGAGCCCCTCCTGGCCGCTCGCTTCCCGCTCTCATTCTCGTCTTGCTCACAAAGAGTGCGATCACCACGCCCTTTGGGGTCAAGCGTATTGCTGTATCTGCCTGCGGCGCACAGCTTAGAGGCGGAGATGGCGTGGTTTACCGATCCTTGTCGAAGAATGACTATCAACAAACGAGATCCTGCCTGCTCTGCGCATGGGTGAGCGCAATGTGTCTTGTACAACTCTAAGCATCTCGCGGATCTACCAGCTGTGATGAAGTCACCGTCGAACGCAATGTCCTTGCTCACCCACCAAATGTTCTGAGATTGACGAGCGGTAAGACGATCGGAGACGTTGCAGTCTGGATCTGCTCGCAGCGCGCTGACGCACGGAGCCTGGCTACGAACGCTTAGGAGCCTAGGACACGCCTGCTGAGTCGCGAACTACAGCGCCTTGTGGCTGCTCAGGGACAGGCCGCTTTCGCCTCGTCAGCAAGTCAGTCCACGCAGAGTCAGAAGGGGCGGGCCGATCGCGTCCTGTGCGAATGCGGCTCTGTCTTCGTCCGCTGCGGAGGACTATCCGACGAGGAACAACGTGTTTTTCCAAGTCGACTGGACCAACCGAGAATGACGTCAATCACATATGATGGATGACATGCACGCTCTACGAGTACAACAGCTGAGGTGGGTCAGGAATCTTTAGGATCTCTGCTTTAGCTTCTTGCCACTGCTCGAGATTCTGTTGAGCCCAGTCTTTGTGGTTGTTGACAAAGGCGAGACACATCTCTCTAAAGTCTGCAACCTTCTGACGCTGGAAACGATCGAGATCGGCCTGGATGGTCTGGCTGGCAAAGACGAGATCTTGTTCGGTCGAGAGGAGGCCTTCGCGCAGTTGTGCAATCGTATCTTGCGTTTTACCAATACTGTTCCGTCTGGTCGCCTCGGGATCGTTGTCCATGATGTTCTGGATGGAATGACTGAGCGAGCCTAAGAAGCCGAAGGAGCCAGCGCGACGACTGGCAGAGCTCGTGGAGTCTGTCCTTCCATGCATAGCGCTCGAAGCAAGATCATTGTTGGCTTCGTCTTGAGGCCCTTCCTCGCTCGCTCGCGAGCTATGTTCGACCTCACCTTGGCTGTCGAGCGGTCTGACACGAGAGCTCGCTCGATCAAGTGCCGAGTCTAGCCGCCTCGCTTCTGCTTCTGTGCGCTCGAGTTCTTCCAGCTGGACGCGCTTGGTCTCGAGGACATCACGCGTCATCTCAAACTGCATGTGCTTGTTGTGCCTGAACTTGAGCAAGCCCTTGATTATCGTGCTGAACTGCGCGTATTCTGCCAGAGGTTCAGTGAAGGTCTTTTCCCACTCTTGCAAGAGCACGTTAGTGTGAACATAGGTTGCGTCGACCGCTTGGCCGGTCTTCTCGATCGCAGGCGCAAGGGGTTCGCCTTCGGTCAACGCGAAGCCGTTCATGATGGCGCCCAGCTCGGCGTGATCGGCAGAGAAATCCGCCCATCGCTTCATGAGACGGCGGTTGATGCGCTCCATGCTGGTGGTAAGATGAGCAGAGAACTTGGCGGTGAAGGCTTCAGAGTCAAGAAAGCGCTGGTCTGGCTCCTGCGGCAGTTGACCCGTAGACGGTAGCGGCAGTGAAGCATAGAGTTGCGCAGCGGCGGTGTCGGTCGGATCTCTTGCTGGCGCGCGCAGGGGATTCTTTGGCAGCTGAGTGACCATGGGCGAATGTGCCACTTCCGCCTGACCTCGTGAGTCAGTACATGTGCCAGCATTGACGTAGACCAGCCTACCCATGGTATATTGCCTTGCAGGAACTTGATAAAGAGGGCCTCCTTGCTCAGGATGGGGTGTCGGCCGATACGATTGAGAAAGACGGTGAGCATACGTTTGCGACGGGCGATGACATTGGCATCTTCTTTGGCTTTGCTCTGCTTGACCGCATAGTCCGAGAGTGTGTGATGGGGCGGGATTGGCGGAATGATGAGGACGGGATACAGCTTGAGTAAGATGGCACGGAGCGACTCGAATTCGCTGTACCGCCTCCTCGCGTCGCCTTGCTGCGTTGCTGACGCGTCAGTCTGATCTCCGGAGAAGACGAAGACCAAGCTCACCTCTGATCTGATAAGGTAGACAATGTAGGACGACGATGTACCGCCCTCTGAAGTCTTTTGAGCGTCGATGATCTGTACGTGCGTCATCAGCTCAGCGTCTGGCAGCATAAGCGCAGGACGTGCCTGAATGGCATCCTTGCGAGACGGATCATCTCTCAGGCGGGGGGACTGCGTCGCCACTGGATGCGGTCGGTTCGCTTGGATTGGCGGTGTCGAGGGACCCGGTGCAGGGTCTGGCGCGGCCTGCTCATCTTCCTGCTGAAGGGCTTGCCGCTCCTCGGCATGCGATCCGAAGCCTTCCTGATCGGTCTGGAAGGGATTGTCGTCCATGGCGTCCATGATGGAGGAAGCGATGCTGCTTGGCTTGTACGTGCGGTAGGTACGCTACGCGATACGCGTCAAACCTTTTGAGCATCGTCCTGTGCTTGACCGACGAGCAGCTGCTGGTTTTAAGGCGACTTTACCCCGGATTGATGGCCTGTCTGTGTATCTAGACGGCTGGACAGAGGCATCCACGACGATCTGTAGACGTCTGAGTGGGCGGCCAAGCCAGCTTGCGGCGACCAGGAGCAGCAGACGATAGCAAAGATAGAAGTACAAAAGCACATTTGTAGCCGTCAGGGAGCAGGATGGCAGATTGGACACCGCAGACAGAGGGCCTGACAGAGCTCCTCCACTGCCTTGAGCAGTCGCAGTCATCGGACAATCAAGTACAAGCTGCAGTCAGAACGGTACGTGCCTAGCCCTGTCATGCTCCTGCTCGCGGCCATCCCAGTCAAAGGAGCTTGTCTGATATTGGGTTGCGCCGCTCAGAGGATCGATCTCTTCAATGCCAACATACCCGACTACAACAACTACCTGGCCTATGTCCTCGTCACGCCCATCGACGGCGTTCAATCGCAATACAGGAGCGTGGCAGGCTACCTGCTCCAGACGAATATCCGACTCAAGCTTCAGACTTGGCCACCCTCGGTCGTGGAGTATGTTCGCTCCGTCGTCTTTCGAGGCCTAGCAGATCACGCGCAAGATATCCGGCGAACAGCAAGCTCTGTCGTCGCCTGGCTCACTATCGAGCTCGGCCTGGACAAATGGCCCGACGCGCTGCCCGAACTCATCAAGCTCTTAGACTCGCCGTCTGTGCCCGTGCAAGAAGTGAGCTGCTCTCGTCGTCCCGCCTGATATTGTGCTGACACCGTCGCACCTCACTCAAAGGCCGCGTTCAATACTATCGCCAAGATTTGTGAAGATATGCCGAGACAGCTGGAGCAGGCGCAATACAACGGACAGAGACCGCTCGACTACTTGATACCGAAGCTCATCGCTTCATTTGACTCGGACAATGTCAAGATCAGAATTTTATCACTTCAGGCCATCTCGCCCTTCATCGTCGATCAGAGTATGCTCAAGACTGACGGCACGCGTCCGCCCACCATGTCGACAAACATAGACGCCTTCCTACAAGCTCTCTTTAAGCGCGCTTCTGACCCTTCGCCAGACGTCAGGAGACTCGTCTGCTCGTCCATGGTACAGCTCCTCTCGAGCTGGCCGGAAAGGCTGCTGCCCGATCTCGGTCCTGTCGTGGACTACATGCTTCACTGCTGCAAAGAGACAGATCCAGATCTAGCGAGAGAGGCATGCGAGTTCTGGCTCGCTTTCGCCGAAGACGCCAATATCTCAGATGCGCTCAAGCCTTACTTGGATCGAATCGCGCCGGTCTTGCTCGACGGAATGGTCTACGACGAGGATGAGCTACTCATGCTCGACGAACCCGACGAAGACAACGCTGCTGTGCCCGATCGACCAGAAGACATCAAGCCTAGATTTGTGCAGGGCCGTCAACACGCTCAGCAGCATGATCCTGCTTCGGCGGAAGCTTCCGGATCTGCTCCGCCCGCCAATGGCACCTCAAATCAAGACGCAGATGAGGACGAAGAGGAAGAGGAAGATGACGAGGAGGAGGACGAGGATACGTCGTGGACATTGCGCAAATGCTCTGCTGCAGCGCTCGATGTCCTGGCCAACCACTTCGGCGATGAGCTCTTGACCCTATTGTTACCGCACCTGAAAACGAAGTTATGGAGTGATGACTGGCTTCAACGAGAATCCGGCATCCTGGCACTCGGCGCTATTGCAGACGGTCTGTCCGATCTCTTGCGATGCAGACCCTTGCTGATGTACATTGGTGCCCGACAGGCTGCATTAATGGCATCGAGGCGCATCTGCCCGTTCTTGTGCCATACTTGCTTCAGATGCTGCAAGATGCAAAGGTCCGTCGCGACTTCTACATACTTGAGCCGAGCTGATCAACGCATAGCCGCTGGTACGATCGATTGCCTGCTGGACGCTCGGGAGATACTCCAGCTGGACGATCCCAACGCCCGAGCAACCTGGCCACAAGGCGACATATCTTCTACCTGCAGTCGAAGGGCTCCTCCGAATGGTACTCGACAACAACAAACGCGTTCAGCAAGCTGGCTGCAGTGCATTCGCGACGCTAGTAGAAGAAGCAGGGCCAGAGCTCAACGATTTCCTCGATCCGATATTACGCAACCTCGTAATTGCCTTTGGCAAATATCAGACGAAGAATCTGTTCATCCTGTATGATGCTATCGGCACATTATCAGACGCAGTTGGCACGGCTCTGAACAACAAAGCATACATCGACATCATCATGCCACCCTTGATATCGAAATGGCAGTCGCTACTAGATGACGATCCTGCGATCATTCCGCTACTCGAGGCAAGCCATCTCACTCACTTCCAGCGCCGTGTGTCTGACAAATCGAGCAGTGTATGTCATCGGTCGTTATCGCCATCGGCGACGGCTTTGGTCCTTACGCGCAGCCCGTCTTTGAACGATGCGTCCGTATTTGCTCGTCCAGCTTGACAGAGTTTGCGACATTCCAGAATGAGCCAGCACATAACGACGAGCCCGACCGTACATTCCTCGTTGTGGCTCTTGATTTGCTCAGCGGTCTCACGCAAGGATTGGGCTCGTCGATCTCACCGCTAGTAGCAAACGTCCAGCCACCGTTATTGACAGTGCTGTCTGCCTGTCTCAAGGTGAAATGATTTGACTCTTCCTGCTCAAAGCTCACGAAGGAGGCAGCATCCCGATGCGCCAGTGCGGCAATCAGCGTATGCTCTGCTCGGCGACAGCGCGATCTCGTGTTTCCCGCTCCTCGTGCCAGTCTTGCCAGCGATCATGCCCGATCTTGTCGAGCAAATCGAGCTAGAACCCCATCACGACGTCGTCAGCGTGTGTAACAATGCTTCTTGGGCAGCAGGCGAGATCGCACTGAAGCATGGCGCACAAATGGAGCAATTCGCACCTGCCCTGCTAGAACGTCTCATACCGCTCATGGTCTCGCCCAAAGTACCTCGAAGTCTGACGGAGAACTCTGCGGTCACTATCGGCCGTGTTGGCCTAGTCTGCCCTGCCGTGGTTGCGCCTCACCTCGCGTATTTCATTCAGCCGTGGTACGTCCATCCACGGGGCTCATTCCCACAGAACCTGACAGCTGAGCTGCCGCATGTAGGTGTACAGCGCTTGCGGATATCAAGGACAACGAGGAGAAGGATTCGGCCTTCAGGGGCATCTGCATGGTCATCCAAGCCAATCCGAACGGCCTCTCAAACGTGAGTACTTGCAGCCCAACAATCGGTTTATGCTGACCTGAGGTGCAGCACTTCCAATTCTTCCTCAATGCGGTCGCACGCTGGCAGAAACCCTCGCCAGAGCTATTCGAGATGTTCAGAAGTGTATGTTGGCTTCCTGAACGGCCCGCTTTGCGCTTACAAGTCCACGCAGATCCTAAATGGCTTCAAGTCGGTGAGCGGCGATACCTGGCCAGCGATCATGGAGCAATTCAATCCTGCCATCCGGCAACGCCTCGCCGAGCGATATCAGGTATAGCAGGCCTAGACTGGAGTCGTAAGCAGCGCTGCAAATCCTTGACAACGTAGCATTCCTGCTAGAATCTCTTGTTGTTGCGCTGAGTCTTCCAGCCTCTGAACGCGATTGCAGCAACGCCGATGACGACCAGAATGGCCAGCCACTTGATGAGAGTCGTGACGAATCTGAGGAATTTGCTGCCCGCTGATGAAGATGATCTTCGCGAGCGTTTCGGGGCATTCGCACTCGGGCTGTGATAGAGTGCGTTGTAGGCTGACACGGACACGATGTCATGGTCATCTGTGGGGAGACATCAGTTGCGTCGTTGCAAACAGACCAAGCACACGCACCGCTCACGTCGCCGGTAGCTGCAGTAAAGCCTAAGAACGGTGAGCCTGGCAGGGTCAGATTACGTATGACAAAGCATGTCTCGTATTCATCCCAGGCTCGGTGTTGTATCGCGAGCTCAAAGTAGTTGTTGCGAAAGTAGGTCATCTTTGCTTTTGCAGCTACGTCTGTCCGTCGGAAATCGATCTGAGAACGATAGTAAACGTGAGCAGTGGTCACTTGGGAGCAGGCTCTGGCTTGCCGAGCAGCGTATCTCTGATTGTGTGGCTCCATCTGAGCCATGGTCGTAAGAAGTCGTTCCGTCATTATTGATCGCTAGGATCTGCGGGAAAGCCCACTGCATCCTAGTGATGAGCAAAGGCGGTGGCAAGAGACGCGGCGCGCACCGAGTGCCTCGAGTTGGCATAGGTATCAAAGAAAATGGCAAGGCCCCTCCATAGATCTGGAGAGGCTCGTCAATATCAGCTCTGACGTCAGGTGCAGGCGAGCTGAGCGGACCCTCGTTGCCAAAGACGGGGCCTTGCGTGGCGCGTGATGAAGTGAGCCAAACGGCGAATCCGTCGCCAAAGAGGGTATTACTCTTGCCGTCCACCCTGAACTCAAACTCGATCTCGAAGCCAGTCGGTGTGATGGGTAGGCGAGACCACAGCCAGCCAGCTTGGGACGGCCTGTCTTGCGTGAGTCGGATGTGCTTGTTGGTGTTGACGATGGCTGTGCCGCCAAAGTCAAACCTGCGTGACCGCCTTCAGCTTGTCGAGACATCAGAGAAGGGGCAAGCTTGCCATCGATTCTGCAGATCTGCGTCCACGTAGGCTGCAGGCACCGTGAGCATCAGCCAAAGATCATTGACGTGGCTCGAGCGGCATGAAACTGACGGGCAAAGAGCGAATGACTTCTGATGGGTAGCGTCCGCTCTACTGTCCCCGGTACTCGCGTCTTGTAGTCGGGTGCGGCGGCTGCTGCTGCTGCAGACTTCTTGTCTGCCTTTTTGGCAAGAGCAGGCCTCGCTACCGTTGACAGCAGTAGCAAAGCCTGAAGCAGGAGCAACACGCTCGACAGGCCCCGAACACCTTTCCGCCGTGCTCTTCGCTGCCCAGACTGCGCATTGCTTTGGCTGCAATCCGCAAGGGACATCAGATCGTCAGGTTGCCGGCACTTTCGCATGAGAACCAACCTGACGCGACGTCGACTACGGTGCACGCGCGCGAACACACGTAGGCACTGCCCACAAGGAGATGCATGTCATCTATTTGATCTTGTCCTGAACACCCTCATCGCTCTTCCACGGCTCAAGGTGACGCATGTGATCTCTTGTCTCCCGAGCAGGCCGAGAGATGGCAGGCTGCAGAGTCGAGTCAGCCTCGTCATTGCAAACAGGCAAAAGGGCGTACCTGATCAACTTGAGCCAGTCGAATGACCCGGTTCACGATGAGCATAGATGTGTTGAAACTATGCAGCTGGGCTGGCGCGACTTCGATGACGGCGGCGAGGCACATGCTGCCCAAAATCGTCGGCGGATCCTGCAGGATGTGTTCACTGCAGTTTTGCGAGATCAGTAAGACCATGCACAGTCACCCCAAGGCACGTACTCCAGGAATGGCAAAACTTCTTTCGGGTGATGGAGTATGAGACCGCCCAGGAGCTGGCCGAGAACGAGGTTGTAAGCATCTGCGACTGCTTCAGCCCATACGCTCGCACGCGCTCAATTTGCGCGCACCTTTGGTCTCTTCGACGAACGCCTCGCCGACGAGCTCGATCATTCTGGCGAGGACTGGCTGAGTGACGTTATTGCCGCCGCTGATCGTGACGCTCGCGAGCGCAGATACAGCGGAGAGCTTGATATCCTCGCTCTGACCGCTTGCAAGCGCAAGCAGCTCTGTCACCACAGGATCGACCCGTGGCTGGACTGCCATGAGCACACCGAGTGCCTGAGCCGCTCGAGATCGAATGTTGGAGCTGACTGAGTCTGAGACCGATTTGATGAAAGTGCGCTGAAGTTGGGGCAAGAACGGCCTGACGAGCTGCGGCACGCGCGCCAGTAATACCGTCAAGGTATTGAGAATGGCCGACTTGACCGGCGGCGGGAATCGCTCCGCGACAATGCGGATGAGAGGGCCAGTGATTTGAGTTACATAGGGCTTGATGAATTCGGCAGAGGTCCGCTCGGTGACATCACCGAGGCAGTAGGCTGCCTGCTCGCGCTGCTCTGCCGTACCATTCAACAAGCCTTGCAGTAAGATCGGCAGCACCGCTTTGAGGCCATTAGGCCGACAGAACCCTGGCAAATCGCGGCCACTTGCACCGGTCACTTCGATCGTACGACGAAGCGGGATCACATAGGCCTCTTGGTCTTCTTTTGGCGTCGAGCGGGTGAGAGCATCCATCGCATTCCAGGCGGCATCCACTACGAGTGGCTCACGATCGTCGAATGATGATATAAACTGTCTGATCCAGTCGACAGCATAGTCTGAGTAGTCCACAGAGGCTACCTGACAGAACACGGCGAAGATACCACATGCAGATGCCCGACTGGTGGGAGACGCAGCTTTAGCGAGTCCGATGAGATGTGCCGACAGAATATTGAGGCCCTCGAGATCTGTGACAGAACGCAGAACCGACTCAATGGCGTCCGTAATGACCTCATACGCCGCTTCCTCTGCGCTCAGGTCTTGCTTCGTGCTTGCGAGCGCGTCGATAATATCTGGCAGTCGCCGATTTAGCGATGGGCCGGAAACCGCAGCGATCTCTGCCAATGCGCGCGCATTGGCTGCAGATACAGGCCTCTTAATGAGGGTCGGCACGATACTGGGCAGCACAGCGCTCGAGCGAACTTGCACAATTTCGATGAGCGCTGCAAGCGCGGCTTCTGCTGTCTCGCTGTCTGACGCGATTGCGCCAAGCAAAGTCGGGATCGTCTGACTAGCGGCTTTAGCACCGACATGCTTCTGCAATGTGTCGAAGCATTGAGCAGCGGCAGCTCGGACGACAGCGTCAGCGTCGACAAGCGAAAGACGGATGGACTTGATGATCTCGTCTTCATGCGGCTCAAGCTGCGCCTTGGTTGCGCTAGTCAATACCTCTGCAAATGTCAAGCACGCGCCGCGTCGGCTCGCCTGATCGCCTTGCGATCGCTGCTGCAAGATCTCGACGATAATACCCAAGTAGCCCTCGCCCAGCTTGCGGCAAAGCTCGGCTACTGTGCGCGCAGCAGTCTCCCTCTGTTCCGTGCCGTTGCTTGCCATCATCTTGATAATCGAATTGACAAGCGTTGGCAAGATCTCGCGGACAGTCCGAGGCGTATTATGGACCAAGGCCTTCCAGACATGGGTCGCGAACTGACGCACGACGCCCGATGCATCTTGACGGGCAAGATAGATTGCACTGAGCACGCGATCGCGCCGTTCGCGTCCGAGCACGTCCACAAGAGCTTTGCGTGACGATTCTCTGCCGACGTGCTGATCCTCTTCGCCTTCCTCCTCTATCTCATTCTTGCCGCTAATACCAGAGATATTGAAAAGTAATTCGCCGACGAGCTGCACGGAGCTTTGTCGGATGCGCCAACTGGAGTCGAAGAGACTGCTCTCGAGACTGGGTAAGAGCAGATCGATTGCTGTAGTACTATGGTTGGCGACAATCATGCGACCGGCGCGCATCGACGCATCTCGTACAAGTTCTGAATCATCAGCCAGACCAGCAAGTACTGGCTGTACGATTCGATTGAGGAACGGTGTAAAGCGATCGCCGAAAGTGGTTGGCAAGAAGACAAGCAGCGACATGAAGCCTTCACGGACGTATGATCTCGAGCTGCTTGTGTTGGCGATGATCTCGGGCAGGATCGAGTCAAGTCGCTCTGTGCCCAAGCCTGACAGGATCTCTGACAGACCTTGCGCAGCACCTTGCTGATCAACGCCCCCACGATCTGAGCGCAATGTCTCAAGCAAGGATGGCAACAGGTCGGGAAAAGCATCCTCTCCCAGACGCTCGACGAGACTCCCAAGCGCCTTTGCGGCTGTTCCTCGAGCTTCGGGCACGGGATCGATGAGGACCTCCCGTACTCTGGGAATGAGGGATGTGAGATACGGTGCGAGATCCTTACTGTCAGTCAAAGTCGCCATATTGCCGACGATCTGCGATGCTTTGCGCTTTGTCTCGGCGCTACGCTCTCGCAAGCCACGCTCGAGGATAGGGACAATCTGCGTATACGGATGAGTTGATATTATTCTCCCTTGATTTAACGAGACTTACCAAAGCGAGCGCAGAATGGTCAAGATAATGCGCAAACTTTGTCGCAAGCAGAGTATCCAGCGCTTCTGGTGTCTTCTCGGTAGGCTTGACGAGAGCTGCCAGTAGTATCTGTTGCATTGCTTGCACCTCTGGATTGGTGACAACGTCTCCGAAACGCTTCAAGCTCGTGTTAGCTGCGGATCTGACTTGTGTGTGCGAATCGGTCAGGACTTCTGTGAGACGAGGGATAATTGTTGGCAAAGAAGCTGACAGTTGCTTGGGGGCGAGGAAGGCCATCGAGCCGATCAATTCAATTGCACCTTTCTTTGACCGCCATTGCTTGTCGTTGAGACCTTCGAGCAGCGTTGGGAGGATCAATTTGACTGCATGACCCGAGAGCTTGCCCATGATCACGCGTGCTGCGTCCTGCGCGGCTTGTCGTACTTCAACCGATGCGTCACCGAAGGCTGACAGCAATTGGGGCAAGAGCTGAATGACGTATGGCTCGAAAATCCGCCCAAGAATGGCCGAGAAACACTCGTAAGCAAACAGTACGCCCTGACGCGAGTTTGCGTTGCGCTTGTCATCCATCGCATCGCGTAAACGAGACATGATGGAAAAGTCCTTCAGTGAAGAGATACCGCGACCTTTGACGGCGCTAGCGAGGCCGTATGCAGCCCCGCGACGCTCGGCGTATCTGGCGGCATAAGTGACATCACGCAGCAGCTGGTCGATCAGACCGGGCGCATCATCGCGCAGCGCTTTGACGAGCGGCGGCAGGCAGTCCGAAACCGCGATCTGGACCATCTCACTGGGTGTTTTGAGCGCTTCGATGAGTCGCGTCATGACTTGCTTGACTCTGGGGTCCGTCGAATCAAGATGACGTGCAGCTCGTCCATAAAGAATGACAATTGCTTCGGTGATGTCGTCGTCCGTACGAGTTGCAGGATGCTGAGCAGCAAGGTACGCTTCGAGTATGCCTATCAGCTCTTGCAGATGCTGTCCATGATGGCAGTCGATGTATGCGATGGCCGCTTCGAGCATAGTCGAACGTACGCGATCGTCCTTGTCGCCCAAGGCTTGTACAGATATGAAGAGCAAGAAGACAGCTTGAATCTCCTTCAGCTGGCATTGTGGCGCAAGATGCTTGACTGTCAAAGCAAAGGCGACTCGTACTTGCCATGGATCCTCTTGATTGAGCGACTCGGGGATCAGCATGCCGAAACGGTCGTATTCCGGGAGTCTGTCGCGCTTCTGCGGATGTGATAATTGAGTAGGAGAATGATGTGAAGAGTCTTCTACATACTTCAAACATGTAGTCTGATGTGAGATCTTGGATTATGCCCAGAACGTCTTGCGGTATCAGAGCAAGGGCGGCAGCAACGGCACGGGCAGCTGCTTCGCGCACGAACTTAACCTCATGCTCTGCAACCCTGTATCAGCCCACGACTGTACGGATGTGGACATGACTGACTTAAGAACGGCTTGAGGTCGGCCCAGGCGGTTTCCGATACATCGAGGCCGTTCTCCTCCCACAATTCCGTGGCCAGCTTCCTCGTGCGCTCGACTTCGTCTTGACAAGCTAGCCACAGCTCGTTCGAGTAGTCGAAGATTGTCAGGTCGAGCGGCTGTACCGCTTGGAGACAAATCAGTCGGAGCTGGTCCTCTTCAACCAGCAAACCGCGGAGAAGCAACCGCATCTCTGCCTCGCTCGCGTTGTTCTCGAGCGCATGGCTTGCGTCGATAAGCGCCTTCGATGCTGTCTGAACCAAGCTGGGGTAGCTGACGAGCGCAAGGAGCAGGTCTTTCAGAACAGCTGAGCGTGGGAACAGCGGACTGGCACATTCTCGTGCCTGAAAGCCGAGCAAGTCAATTGCCAAAGCAATCTGCTCATAACCTTCATCCTTTGGCTCGCTATCGACGGCGACACCGCCGCAAGCAATGATCGATCTGACAAGTGTATGCGCAAATGCAAACGTACCGAGCGAGAGAGGCTTCTGTTCGGCTTGGAAGCGTAGCTTATACATCGTGCGCGTGACGAGCAGGTTCAAAGGCTCGTGAGTATAGTGCTCCGGAACGAACTTGGCGCGGGCTACTCGCAAAACCGCCATTGCAAGCGCAGTGCGGGTATTTGTCGTGCAGTCATCGCATCTGTCTGCCAAGGCAAGGAACGTCGCCAAGCCTTGCATGGCAAGGAGGGCTGCAATGGCTTGATTCGCAAATGCAAGCGTTGCCGAGACAAGCTCAGGCATGTGCGGAGCAATCTCTTGAGTGTGGGAGCTAACAAGACTGTCAATGACCGCCAAGCCACGGCGAGCTGCGTCCATATGCAGAACGACACGCGCTCGAACGTCGGCCTCTTCTGCAAGACGCTTCTGCACAAGCTGCTGGTCGGCTTTCGACAGATTGACGGGCGTGGCTCGCTTCTTGGCTATACTGGCGCGTAACTCTGCGTCCCATTGCTCAAGCTCGCGATCCTTGCCCTTGGCATAGATCGGCTGAGCTCTCTGTTTCTCGAGAGGATCGCTGAAGGTAACATCGCTTGGCGTCTCGTAGATAGCAAGCTCATCAGGCCCGATCCAGCTGAAAGATTCTGGCTTGAGATCTTCCCGAGCCGCTTGAAGTAGTCTTGGAATCGCAAGACCTGGACAAACGAGGCATAAAGTAGCTAACGACGATTTAGCTGCATCCCGTGTGCTCGAGGCTGACGACGCGAGACCGAGCAGGCAATGCGCGATGAGCTCGTCAAAGTGCTCGCTGATCACTTGATCTGGCTTTTGACCTATCGAAAGGGTCAGATCGATCCAGAGGATTGAGCGGTCGGTGCGGCACAGAGCATGATGGCTCGGTAGGAAGAGATCTACCAGTCTTCGATTTTGCGCGAGATGCGCTGCTTTGCGAGGGCCGGCGAGCGCTGTGATGGCAGATCTGATGCGCGAAGACTGATGCGCTGTTGTTCCAATGTCCGGATCGGTCTCTTGCAGCCTTTTCTCGATGCCACGTAAGAGTGGCGCTTGCAGAGCATCGACGGTCACAGTGGCTTCCAGTATTGCGCGTCTTGCTTCTAAGCAACGAGAATCGAGTGCTAGGTATGTTGCGAGCTGACTGATGGCCTTTTCTTGGGATGGCTCTTGACCAGGAATGCTCTGCAACAGAACAGCAAGAAGAGCCCGCGCAAGCCAGATCGCTTCTGTGGGGTCTTGCAGCTTCGTATAAACTCTTTCGGACAATAAGAAAGATGGTCGAGGCCCGGCATTGAGGAGCGATCTAGCCAGATTGTCCATGCGCGATCGATCAGGCAGCCATCGTGCGATGAGGCCTAGCGACAACGCAGCAGCAACATAGCCTTCCAATGGTCCGTTCGTGCCAGCGCTAGCGGGCTGACCGATCAGACCGTCAAGTGAGACTTCGAGTGAGGGCAGTAATGCTCGGGCGAGAGTCAAGGAGGCAGCATTGGGTTCATCTATATCGAGCTGCCAAAGAGCGCCGGCAAGACCTGCCAGGACATATCTGCGCAGCGAAGATTTGATGTCTATCTGGAGCTTGACGAGATCGTTCGTCAGAGCCGCATCGATCGAGTCCGATCTCAACAAGGCACCGAGGTGCACCGAGCAACATGACATTGCCATTTTGAGCGCCTCTTCGTGACTTTCTTTCAGCAGTACCAAGGCGATGATTTGAAGTATCGTTGTACTCGACTGCTTTGTCTGGGTGAAATCACGTAGGATGGCATAAAGCGCAACGCGATGTTCTGCCGACGCTGTCTTGCCATCTCGCAGGGGCGCGAGGAGGAGTGCCAGTAAGTCTGCTTGACGTTTAGCCTGAGAAAGGCGTGGCAGAATCGTGAGGACAAGCTTCACGCCATCGTTGCGCAAAGGCTCCTTGATTGAGCGGAGCTGATTAAGAACGGCAGTAAGGAACTTTTCCGATAGCATAAAATCTAATGGGCATTCTGCAGATGCAAAGAGAGCCTCGAGCACAGGCAGGGCGACTTCCGGGGAGCGCAAGAGCATTCTGTCAGCCACGGGCATGACGTGCTCCGTCATTTCGATATCGGTGACGATGCTGTTCAGAGTGTTGCACAGAGCTATCCGGGTCTGTTGTGGCGGCAGTGTCCTACTACTGAGCACGAGCTGAGTATACAAAGTGATGATCTCTTGCTTTCTAGTTTGCAGTGTCGTTGCAAAGGCGGGATCATCTGCACCAACTGTACACAGTAAGCCGAGAAGCGCAAGGGTGTACACTTGCTTGTTGGCGAGCAAAGCTCCGAGCAAGGCGGGCAATTGCACTCGTAAGCTCCGCAATGATCTCACGGCAAGATGATGAGTGGATACTCTCGTCCGTTGACGTTGGTGTCCTTCGCCTTCTTGCGAGGCGTGGTATGCAAGTGCAACGGTAGGCAACAAGTCAGGATATGCGGAACTCCTGAGCTCTACAGAGTTTGCTTGGCTCGTCTCGAGCGATGACAGTATAGTAAAACCCCAAGCGGCCAAGGTGTACAGTGAGGTCGGAGCAGACGAGCTGGGTGAGCTTGCCAGTGTCTTTACTTCTTTCGACAGCCATCCGATGATATGGGAAGTCAAGTTTGCGGGAGAAGCGTCGCTAACAGAGGCGTCAGTCGCAACGAGTACATGCAAGACATCGAGAACGGCGTGACGTGAAGCTCGGTCGGCGTAGCGCGAGTAAGTCTGAAGGATGAGCTTGACCAAGGGCGCAAGGGCCTGTCGCTCCTGCAGATCTACCGACACATGTATCAGCATCGAGACAAGGGCACATGACAAAGCAGCGAGACTCGCCTGAATAGCCTTGACGCTTGAGACGAGGCAGGAGCTGTTCATGGATGAATGCAAGTCGTGGCGCTGTGCGGCTGGACGGCAGCGTTCTCTGCGCGAGCGACAGGAGCTCGTCTGCATCAAGCTCTTCTTCCCGTGTGTCATCTTGAGGGCTGCTGTGGCCATTGACACGAGGGTGTGCGTCATCGAGTTCCATCTCGATTTCGTCGACCGGTTTACCTGCCAGTCTTGAGAAGTCTGGCTGAGAACCTGCCCAGCCTGCGATATCCCTTGCTTCTGCACGCTCGCTCTTCTTGATCTTGAGCTTGCCCGAGCTCATTTGATCAGCAGGAGGGAAGCAAGCCACGAGACTCGTCGCTTGTTGTCGTCTGCCAAATTTTGGAGCGTGTGGTTGCGCCAAAGTTGTGATCTCTCAGTCACTCGTCCCGGGCTGCTATGGGCGAATCCTCGCCTACGATGGATGCAGAGAAGCTCCAGCATCCACCGCCATCGACTGCAGCTTCACTCATTGCAGGCAGCTTCGGCGGAGCATGTCAAGTCATCGTCGGTCAGCCACTCGTGCGTCGCTCTCATCTGCCATGCTTTGAGGCTGCCTGACGCATGCCGCTGGCCAGGACACGATCAAGACAAGGGCCCAGACTTCCCCAAGAGGCATGTTCAAGGGACCGCTCGATATCGCGACCCAGACCATCCGCAAAGAGGGCGTGCTGGCTCTGTACAAAGGCAAGTCAGCCGCCTGCAGACTCGTCGTGAACGTCTGAGAAGGGCTTACGTGCAGGCATGGCATCGCCTCTGATCGGCGTAGCGGGTGTCAACTCACTCTTGTTCGCCGCCTACGGCCAAGCAAAGCATCTCGTCTCACCCTACCCTGAGCTCAGCCTGCCCCAGACCGCTCTGGCAGGCAGCATGGCAGGCGCAGCCAATGCACTCCTCGCAAGCCCTGTAGAGATGTTCAAAATCCGAATGCAGGGACAGTATGGTCAGCCCACGGACAAGAAGCTTTCCAAGGTACTTAGCGAGATGTGGAATACATGGGGCTTTCGACGTGGCATCATGCGTGGCTTCTGGGTCACCGTCGTCAAAGAGATACCTGCCTACGGTGGTCAGCTCTGGTAGATCTTGGACTGGGACTTGGCAGCTCACTCCAAGTTGCAGGCTTCTACCTTGCATACGAGTTCAGCAAGCGACAATTCCAAAAGCGTCACGGTCCCAGCACAGAGCTGCCCGTATGGGCATTGCTCGCAAGCGGCGCGAGCGGGGGTGCACTCTACTGGACTCTCTGCTATCCTCTAGGTATGGTCATGTTACGCCCTCCACGATCCAGGTCTGATGTGCAACACAGACGTGGTCAAGAGCCGAGTTCAGCTTGCCGACAAACCACCCAACGGTGCCAACTACATTGCGAACACCTTCAGGTCGATCTACGCCAAGGAAGGCCTCGAGGCCTTCTATCGTGGTCTCACGCCAACCTATCTTCGAGCGATCCCAAGCGCAGCCGTTACTTTTGTCGGGTTCGAGCTCGCCATCAAGTTCATGCGTGACAACAATCTGCTCATCTAGTCCTCGTCTTCTGGGAGCATGAGGTCGAGGTCCTCATAGTGCCGGATCCAATTGGCGAAGTCGCCTGCCGATTGCCAGGAGCTCGAAATCACGCCAGAGTTCACCAGACTAGCAGCACGACTGCGTCGACCCGCTCGACCTTGGCGAGCTTTGCGTTGGCTACGAACTCGGTCAAGCGTTTGCTCGATCTCGTTCGATAGGTTGGAAACGGCATCGAGCAAGAACTGGTGCGCGCGCAATTCGGCAGTCTTGTCGACGGCGCTCGCGCGCTTCGCAGTCGCTATACCGGGCGAAGCAAATACTGGCCGGCTCATAAAGCCAAAACCGAGACTTGTGCGGGATGCAAGTGTTCTTGGTGCTTTCTCATTCAAGATTTTGGTGCCCAAGTAGTGAAGCCACTGAGGATTCTGTGAGCGCGCGCTAGGAAGATAGATGACAGGGACTTACAAGCAGGTTGGTAAAGGGGACGTAAACTGACCAGTCGTCTTGACAAATCTCTCGCATCTGCCGATAGATGTCGAATTGCAGATCGCCTTGTCCTTCGAATACGCTCTCATCTTCGAAACCGCCCGACAAGAAATCGCCAGATTTACGCGTTGCTCTGGAAAGCGTGTAGTCAATGATTGTGGCAGTAATACCGGTCTCTGTGTTGTCGAGACAAGTGGGCCACGACTGTTTCGATGACGAGGCGACTCGCATTCGTCCGAAGGAAGCCACAAAGTCTTGATCTGCCGTCTTCTCGGGCGGCTCGCGAGAGATCAGGACGTTACCCCAATGCAGATCTCGATGCTCGAAGGAGCAAGCCTCTTCTGCCGCCTCGACGGACTTTGCAACTTGCCACATCACACTGGCCGCCTCTGTCCAATTTTTGAGCTTTGCTAGCTCGAGGTCCTTGCCGTGATGAGTGAGGCACAGGATTGCGTATGCTTGCTCATCGTCAAAGAGTTCCGGGCTCGGGTTGAGCGATTTGCCAGTCTCCATATAGGCTTGCCATTGCTGCATGAGCTCTTCGGGGTATTTTCCTTGCACAACATACGCTCTGCGGTCTTCCTTAGCGACGATGTGGGCAAGAACGAGCGGCATACCCTCTGAGCTTAGCGTAGCCCGGTACGTGCGATTGCTCGAGCAAGTAACTGATCTCGATTTCACGCTCGATATCGGCAGGCTGCGATGTCGCTGCGAGTTCCATGTTCGCATTCGGCGAGGGTGAGACGATTGGTATGATCTTGACAACAGTGCTCGTCGCATGAGAGTACCATGCGTTTGCTGATGCCGTGAAGACTTCAGAGTAGGATGCTTCGCCAATCTTACGCCAGCTGAGCACTTGATCTGCGCAGAGTGTCACGAGTGGAAATTGACCGACAAAGGAATCGAATGTGTATGGCTGCTCTTGCTCGCAAAGTGTCAATAGTCTGCGTAAGTCTGACCTTGGTCTGCATGTGCAAGGCTCTGGCTGGCGTTTCCGGGGCACAGGTGTTTCATATGTCGCAGAAAACGCTTTCCGTGAGATCGCAGAGTCTGTGAGGACTTCGACGATGGCTGGCCCAGGCCGCGGTTCTGCGAATGGAATTGGCCGTTCAGGCGACTTGCCTCGTGAAAGCTGGGGCGGAGGTCTCTCAGGCTCTCGTGGCTTGCTGTCCCCATCTGCTCGTGGCTCGAGCGACTTTCTGATTTTTGCTGGTGCCCGAGGTAGCCAGATCACGTCATCATCTCCTGCTCTTTGTCAGCTTGCTTAAGTATTGTCGCGGAACGGCGTACCTGAGGGCTTGCGAGGCGCTCGCGGCGGATGTATGGATTTGGGCGAGCTTTTCCTTTGTGTGTCCCTCACAGCGTCGTCAACGATGATGGCCCGCTCGGGACTGCTACCACTGAAGCTACGTATAGCTTTGTTGTTCGTCCGTCCGACGCTGATCGTCGTCAGTGGCTTCTTTGACTTTGATATCCTGCGTGCGGGCATATGTTTTGCGTTCGAGATCGGCATTCCATGCTTTCTGCTGGTACTTGCTATCGCCGCAGGTTCTGTTATTGTGATGGCAGGCGACTCGGCAGAGCCAAGCTGGCCAACTCGCGCAAAGGGGGACGGCTTGCGTAGAGAGTCAATGATAGCCCGGCGAGAGCTTGCACTGCTAGCTGAGCATCGTGCGTCAGCTGTCACTCCTGTCTCATGGCCGTAGTGGCCCTTGTACAGAGTGCCCATGGCAAGGCAACGAAATAGCAACAAGCCAGTCGCGCCTCGATTCAGTAACGTGACGTGCAAGTGACGACGACTTTTTGAGCGGCATGCTGCGTTGTACTTGCGGCGTGTTGCGCCTGCGAACACAATCATTCCGGCAGCATGGCACACGAGCTGCCAGCCAAAACCGAGGCTCCGAACCCGATGCGACAGCTTTCAATCTCACGCCTTATATCTGGCCAACGGTACTGCTCATCGCTATCACATCCTTGGCAGTCAACAACAAGCGAGTCAGGACAGAAGCGGATGTTGCAACATCTCGCTACCTGGCACAGATCAGCGTGCTCGAGCGATTGGTGGCTCAGGCGCGGAGGGGCCAATACATATCTGATCAGGATCTGTTGCGGGAGCTGAGAGCGGTCAAGCTGCGAGCGAGAGATCCCACCGCAGCGCCAGACGACCTTTCAGACCGCATCGGCTGGTTGGAAGCATTCCTTGGCGCCAAAAAGTACAGCAAGAGAGCTAAGCAGTCGGCCGAGCAGGATTTGCAGCAGAGTGCGTCAATTTTGCCAGCTTATAGAGCGCTGCTGACTACATCGCAGTCATTGAAGTGCAGCAGGCCGCTGACGAGGCGGCAAAGGCGGTGATCAAGCCGCACTCAATACAGGGATCCCTATCGCTTCCACAGGAGAAGACGCCGCAGGATCGAGATTCGGATGACATATCCCGGTCAGGCAGGCCCCGTTTCGATCCAAGAACATTGCGTGGCTAGACTATCATGTATCAGCGCTTTCACACGACCAGCTATGGTCCCTTCGTTTGAGTGGCGCTCGACCGAATGAACGAGTTTTAGATAAGCTGCGGAGCGTGGACAATATGCAGCTGTACCCGCAACGCTGATCGTGTGACGATCCCGTGGACAGCTGAGCTTGCATCACGACTGATTGTCACAAGACACTAAATTCGGGAACCGCGCGTGGGGCAGATGCCTGATAACGATAAGACTCCACCACCTTGGCCCATATACATAAGTCTCGCAAGAGCAGACGGCCACCCGTATCAGCAATCGACACTGTGCTGCCCTCATTCAGAGATACACATAGACACCGCGCACATCTGCCAGCATGATCACCGAGGAGCCGACCGCCTATGCTGCACCTTATGTGGCGGAAATGTCAGCAGAGGACTTGACGTCTCTCATTGACTCTACCACCACTAAGTTGCCAACTCTGGATCAAGTCAAGGTGCGTCACTTCCGTGGGTTGAGCTTGATCAGGCTCAAATTCTGGACGGTAGCACAAACTGACAACACGTGACGGCTGGCTGGGCGATTTTGATTACGCGTGGCTCTGTCTTCCGACCTTGCCTTGCCTTCATACTGGACGCTTCCGCACAAAATCGACACCCTTCTATGGTCTCACAGACACCCTGCCCATTGTTCTCGCTGTCGTTGCAGGCTTTCAACACTTCCTAGCCATGCTCGCTGGAGTCATCACGCCACCCATCATTTTGGCGAGCGAACTTGGCTTCGGCCCCTCACTTCAAAATTATCTCGTCTCCAGCGCTTTTATCGCTTCAGGCATACTTAGCGCTGCCCAGATGACCCGCTTCCGCTTCCCTTTCACCACCTACACGTACGGGACTGGATTGATCACAGTTGTGGGAATATCTTTTGCTACCCTGTCCACCGCCTCGGCTATCTTTACAGTCCTGTATGCCAACGGCACTTGTCCATCCACAACAGCCGCGGATGGCACAGTCACGCGAGGGGAGTGCAGGGAAGCATATGGCTACTTGCTCGGAACCTCGGCAGTCTGTTCGCTATTCGAAATGCTGCTCTCGTTTGTCAATCCGAAAACGCTTCGCAAGATCTTTCCCCCCGTGGTATCGGGCATAGTCGTCATATTAATGTGCGTGCGCTGCGTACGAGCATCCATGCCAGCTCGGGCTTCAGCGCAGATGGTTGACGCTCTGTTTGCACAGTGGCGCTTCACTCGTAGGTGATTCTGGTATCTTGAACTGGATGGGTGGCGCGGGCCCTTGCTCTTCGTTACCCGTCGAAGCAGGTTCTATATTTGCAAAGTAGGCGTCATCCGCACGATGCGTGTCTCCATTCTGACTCTCCTGGCAGGTGCCCAACCATCTTCGCAAAGCACGCGCTGCCGTGGGGTAGCGCGCAATACCTTGGACTTGGCTTCGTCACTTTCTTGACCATCGTGCTATGCGAGGTCTTCGGCTCGCCATTCATGAAGAACGCGGGCATTGTCATCGGCTTAGGAGTCGGCTGCCTGGTGGCGGGTCCAGCAGGCTACATCGATGGCTCCACGGTCAGATCAGCGCCAGTCATCACATTTACTTGGGTCGAGACTTTCCCCCTCAAGGTATATGGTCCAGCCGTCCTGCCTTTGCTTGCCGTGTATCTCGCCCTTTCCCTCGAAGCCACCGGTGACATCACTGCATCCTCAGAAGCGTCTCGTCAGCCAACTTCAGGCGAGTTGTATTCGAGCCGCGTCCAAGGTGGCATTCTTGCAGACGGCTTCAATTCGATGATTTCAGCCCTCATGACACAACCCCCCCTCAGCATCTTTGCGCAGAACTGCGGTATCATCGCAGCGACTGGTAATGCGAACAGATTCTCAGGTTACATCTGCGCAGTCTTTCTCATCCTAGCCGGCGTACTGTCCAAAATCAGCGGAGTGTTCCTGGCTATTCCCAACTCGGTGCTAGGTGGGGCTACGTCGTATCTGTTTGCTACTGTCGTCACCTCTGGCATCCGTGTCGTCGCGATGATGCCGTTCACGTAAGCAGCGTGACCCTTGCGATTTTCAAGAGGGCTGATGCTGTTGAGCAGGCGACGCAACCGATTCGTCTTAACCTCGGGACTCGTCTTCGGGCTTGGGGCATTACTCAGACCCAATTGGGCGTCATTCATCTTTACGTCACCCGAAGTCGGAGGCAATCGCGCGCTCAGAGGGGTCAGCATGATGACTAGAGCTTGAACTACATTCACTGACTCGTGTTGCCTCGTATAGTTCGAGGACTCGATCGTGATTGTGCTCGAGACACCGTTCCTTATTGGCGCCATTGTTGCGACCATCGTCAACGCCATCCTGCCCGGCGAAGTGCAGCCGACTACGACCATCATTACGCAGTCTGAACCTGCCAACCAAGGCCCGGTCGACCCAGCCCAGCTCGAGTCTCAATCAGGCTCAGATCGTGCATCGGAAGACCACAAGGAGAAGCCGCACCTCACCTCATAGAGGCCGCGTGTACACTTTCCAGATTGCGCTGCACATTCAGGATCACAGGTTGTTTCGATTTATGCAATAATGATGATATCTATCTAGACTGTGTGCGAAGCAAGCCAGCAATGTCGTTCACGCTGTTGAGATGTGATCGGGCTGCGCCATGCATCGAGGGCAGGAGGGTTCTGAGAGGATTGATACAAGTCCAATGAAAGCGTGCTGAAACGTGTCAACTGAAACATCAGATAACACATATGAAGCTTTGACATTGCGTGCAAGTGACGACGATTTTTCCAGCGGCATGCTGCGTTACACTTGCGGCGTGCCGCGCCTGCGAATGGGATCATTCCGGCAGCATGGCTCACGAGCTGCCAGCTAGAATCGACGCCGACAGATAGTCGGCGTCGAGGCCGCGTGTCGACTGTGATTTCGATTGACACGTATCATACGTCGCCGCACCCTTCGATTCGACTGAGGCGTCCCCTTTCGCCGGTGTGAAGCCGCCAAGACCTGCGCGGACAATCTTGTCTGATGCGTAGATGACATGCAATGACGAATCATCGAGCACGCTCAGAAAACATTCGGCGGCTGATGTGCGACTCGGAAAGCCAGTGGTGAATACTGCGACGCTAACAGTACGATATGACGAGCTGCCGCCGTGGCAGCAAGACAACCCTGCCATCACAGCCGGCTACAGATCAGAGAACAATTCCTATCGAGCCTGTTTCTACTCCATCTGCGGCTATCTGCACAATGAGACGGCCAACATCTGGACGCATCTGCTCAGCTCGACTAGCTTCATCGTGCTTGCTGTTGTGATTGCGCTCGGTGGATACATCAATCCTTCGGCAGATCAGAGCAAAGGCCGACTTGGTCTTGCTGCGCTGTGGAACGTCGTCGACCCGTGGCCTGCGGACAATGCTACGCTGCCGACGGTGAGCTATGCCGACACTATCGCCTTTTATGCTTTCAAAATCTGCTGCGCGCTCTGTCTCGGATTCAGTTGGTTTTTCCACACTGTCGCTTGCCATTCAGATGCAGTGGCGAAGCGGTACAACAAGCTCGATTATGTCGGTATCGTCTTGCAGATCTATGGCTCCAACATCGCCGGCCTGCGATTCGCGTACTTCTGCGACGTTCAGCATGGACTCATGTGGGCCGCAGTCATCACTGTGTTGTCCGCAGGTGCCGTCTATACCGTCATTTCGCCGACGTACCGTACGCCTGCCTATCGCAGACTCCGCACGATGATCTTCGCGGCGCTCGGATTGAGCGCGATCTTTCCGGTCGGACATGCAGTAGCCCTATACGGGGTATGTTCGACGTCGCTCTGGAAAGCTCTCGCGCTGATGCTGGCAGCAGTGGAACCGTGCGCATGATGTCTTGTCGCTCAATTACCTGCTCAGCAGCGGCGCCCTATATTTGTTTGGCGCAGCGCTCTATGCCGAGCGCTTGCCTGAACATCTTCTGCCCGGCAAGTTCAACTACTTCTCGAGCCATTCGATCTTCCACGTCATGATAAATGCAGCAGCCTTGTGTCATTGTGCGCTCATTGATCTGTCCCAGCACAAGGCACTGAGCTAACGCAGCGGAACAGACGCAGCCATCTCGGAAGCCTTTCGCTTCTGGCACATCGAGCAGCTCGGCCAATGTCCGACCAGCCAAAGTAGCATAGCCAAGTCATTCATAGACCTATAGACCATGACGGCAGCATTGCATACATCGAACAAGCTCCTGCTTGCGGTCCGCGGGCGATCCCCTGATGCATCATCGAGACCGTTTTTTGAGTTGGCCACTGTCATTTGATTGGTGATTTGTGACTTGGCACGTCGCGAAAGGCGCGATACTAGCGGCACGACCGAGAACTGGCGAACGAGGGCGAGGCGAGGCAGATGTCTGCCTGTCAGTACTCTTGTAAGCTTCCCTCGCTGCACGACCTGGCAAAGCGCTCACTGCGTCTTCCACATGCTCAGATCGGTCTCTGCGGGCGCTAGGCGTCTGCAATGGACCACCAGAGTACTCAGACGTCTCAGCTTTTCAGCGGTCAGTCAGATCACCTGGACCACTGCGCCGACGTTGGCTGAGCACATCCGACGGAGAGCAGACCAGCAGGGACGACGCGCAACTTTGCATGGAGCAGCGATGGCTCGACATTTGCCTATGCCGAGTCGAACAGGTCAGCTCGACAGCACTTGCGGACTGTCTCGCATGCTGAGCTAGTACCGCCGTTCTCAATAGCGTGACAGTCACACGGGCGGACAGTCACGAGGTCTTGTGTACAGTAGACGTGCCTGCAGTCGTCACGGTCGCCCTCTCACCCAAGGGGAGCTTCTTCTCGACTTGGGAGCGAATGGGCAAGCACTCCCCCTCGAGACCATCAGTCAACCTACGCTGATGTTTGCACGGTCATCCAGTCAAGACAGCGGATGGAAGTCAGCACAAGAACCTGCGCGTGTGGTCGACGAATACGGGACAGGAAGTCGCCTCCTTTACGCAAAAGTCTTATGACGGCTGGTCAGCACACTGCCAAGGCGAGACTTGTGCAAGACTCATTGACATCCAGGGACCTGCAATATACCGAGGATGAGATGCGGGCAGTGCGATGCGTCGCAAACGAAGTGCACATCTATGATACCTCGGATTTCACAAAGGGGATAGCCGACAAGCTACGCGCCGATGGTGTTGCTGCCGTCTCGCTCTCGCGCGGTCGGAACCCTTCCGTTGCCGTCTTTGTGCCAGAGAGCAAGGTGAGTCAAGACCAGCAAACGTCGCCTTGAGCTTACCAGCTGTGCTGCAGGGCGCACCCGCAAGCTTGAGAACGCACCACCTCGAGACGCTATCAAGCGTCAATGCGCAGAAGACGTTCTACAAGGCAGACAAAGTGCAGATCAAATGGAATCAATCCGGTACGATGCTGCTCTTCTTGACGCAGACAGATGTCGACAAGACCGGCAAAAGTTACTACGGCGAGACTGGCTTGTATCTCATGAGCGCATCCGGCGCCTTTGATTGCCGCGTCACGCTCGATCGAGAAGGCACCATCCACGACTTCACATGGTCTCCGAATGACAAGGAATTCGTCGTGACATACGGCTACATGCCAGCCAAGACGACCATCTTCGATCACCGGGTCAATGTCGTGCACGACTTTGGCATCTCGCCGCGTAACTTTGTCGCCTTCAACCCGCAAGGTCGACTGCTATGTCTCGCAGGTTTTGGCAATCTCGCCGGCGAGATCGATATTTACGACCGCAAGACGCTCAAGAAGCTGACCACTTTTGATGCGCCCAATACCAGCACGTGTCAGTGGTCTCCAGACGGTCGCTATCTCCTCTGCGCTACTTTGAGTCCGCGGCTCAGAGTAGACAATGGCATCAAGCTCTTCCACCACACAGGCGCGCTCGTCCATGTGCAAGATATGGAGGAGCTTTACCAAGCAGGCTGGCGGCCGGCAGATGCCAGTCTTTTCCCTTTCCGTCAGTCGCTCTCGCCTGCTCCTGCTCCCTCTGCGCAATATGCGAGCTCAACGCCCACCAAACCACCAGGTTCGTAATTCTGCCCTGCCTTGAGGCTGTTGCTGAGGCAGTGTGTGGCAGTCAAAGCGATGGGTGCGTATCGCCCGCCAGGCGCAAGAGGACAACCCGCCTCTAATTTGTTCAAGCGTGAAGACGAAGGCGGCGAACCTCACGTCTTTCAAGCGTCGCCTGCGCGCAACGAGCCCATCGAGTTCGGACCTCGCAAGCCTCGCACCATACCCGGCATGGCGCCCAAAGATGCCACACAATCGAATCAGGAGAACGGAAAATCGAAGAAGAAAAAAGAGCCCAAGACGCCGAGGCCGAATCGTAGGAATGGCACGGAAGATCCTGACTCGTCCTTCTTGGCACCAGACACCGGGCCGAACAGTCCCGCACCATCGACGGGTCCGGCGACACCGGCGAGGGCGTCGACACCTAGTACGCCGATGCGACCGCCTGCCGTTCAGGCCCTCAATGACTCGAACAATAACATCGTCTCGCTGTCGCCCGAGGACAAAAAGCGTCGAGCTCTGACCAAGAAGCTCTCTTCGATTCAGCAGCTCAAAGACCGACGTGCACGCGGAGAAAAGCTTGAGCTCACGCAAATTCAAAAAATATCGGCAGAGCCGGATGTCGTGAAGGAATTGAAGGAGCTCGCTGCGCTCGATCTCAACGGCAAAGCATAGATGTTTAACTTGTCGCATTGCATCCCGCATGCTTCTGCAGACTACCCGCAGCGATATACATTGGTACACACGCATCTGTTGCGCTTTTCTTGCGATCGTAAAGTGTGAGAATGGATGTTGATGTGTACAGCGCTAGCGTGAATCGCGTTTGCGATGACGTTGCGAATGATGCGATTTAGGCGACTTGGACGTGCCTCCGGTAGCTTCTCTGGGGCTTCTGCTTGAGCGCTCAGATCGTGACTCGACCTCGACGACGCCCGAGCTCATGTCGCCGAATTGCATCTCGCCAAGCTGCGTTTCGCCATCAAAGCCCATTCGCCAAACGCGCGGCGATCCCAGCAGCCGTCCGAAGCCTGAACCTACGCCAGATCGGCCCACTGTCGCTTCTACCGATAGCTCGGCTTCGAAAGCGTTGTTGCCTTCCTCGGGCAGCCAGAGCAAGACCGCCAGATCGAGCGAAGGTGTAACGCCGGTATGTGCTACCGGATCTTCGCCAATCGTGAAGAGTGCTCTTGACGATTCAACGCCAGATCCTAGCACTGACGGATGAGATGTATAAGCGTAGTCTGTTCCTCCTCCGCGAGACAGGAACAGCGAGCCGTATGGCGTATAGCCAATCGACACGCCAAGGGTTGTGTTTGTGTTTCTGTGTACTTGCGTACGCTCCTCGACCGGCGGTGCTTGCGTACTGTGCGAGGGATAGATTGCTTTGATGACGGGGCATACGCCATCGGGGTCATCCCCAGCTGGAAAGAACCTCAAGGAGACTTCGGCTTGTCGAACGCGGCCCTGCGTGAGCGCGTGAAAGATGACCCTAAATGCGAGCACGCAAGACCGAAACGGCACAGTCTCGCGAGGTGGATACTGCACGGACATGTCAGTGAAGTCACTGTCACATTTCAAGCGCGACGCACTAGTATATGCGTCTTCGTTACTAGCAAGCGTGACTTCGAGAGCTGTACATCTGCCACCAGTGGCGTACGTGAAGGAGTCACGTCGCCTGGCAGCTGCCTCTCCTTGAGCTTGGGCGACGTGGACGACTTTGTACGTGTGCGCGAGACATTCTTAAACGAGCTTGAGGACGGCAATGGGCTCGACGAGAGCTTTGGTGAGCCGCCCTTCGGCGTGTTGATCAACGTCGAAGGTGTAGCAGTCAATGATGAAAGTGAGCGAGCAATATCCGTCGAGCTCGGGCTCCGGCCTATGCTCGACGCCAGGCCGACATCAGGCGCTTCAGTTGCCTTGAGCTTGAACCCCTGCGAGTGCTCTTCGCTGCTGCTCGATGCTACTGGCAGAGGATCCGAGCCAGACTGTATCATGTTGACAGATGACATCCCCTCCTTGCCGTATTTGACCGTCTGCGGAGGCGCCGAGCCTCTCCTGCCAGAGTACCATCCACCTGATAGACGAATGCCGTCCATCGAGTCGCTAGATTCACCGCTCGAAGCAAATGGGGCGGGCGATGCTGACCGACGACTGGCATCTGACTCTTGCGATGCTTGTCCTCGATGAGACCATCTGCTCGTCAGATCAGTGACCATCTCGCCTGGCCGCTGCATGCTCACGTCGACATCTCGAATGGGTCGTCGCTCCGTCGTCATGAACCGGCTCGATCGCTCGTCGGTCAAGATGGCAGCATTACTGCCCCTGTCGCGAGTCAAGGCAGTGTGACCTTGGCCTGCGCTAGCTCAACTCAAATTTTGTCCTTCTTGTCAATGTCAATCAAGAACGCGTTCAAAGGTACAGAGATCGCGTGACACTGCCGACAACATGTCTAGTCACCGCGCGGCCTCTTTGTTGCAGGCGCACTGTCTTGCGGTCGATCGCCAAATGCGCCTGAGCGTGTACTGCTACGCGGGGCTGCACCGTAGCCAGGCTGACCTTGAGGCATCATCTGCGCAAACGCGGGATTTTGCATCATCTGCATCATTGCAGCAGCATTGAATCCTGGCATCATGCCTGGCATCATACCAGGCATACCCGGCATACCCGGCATCTGTTGAGGTGGCTGAGCGGCTCGAGCAGAGTAGCCGCCAGCGTTTGCGCCTCCACGATCGTTGTATTGACCTCCACCTCGACCACTCGGTCCCCCTCGAGACGGACCGTTGTTATACCCGCCACCACCCCCTCTGCCTCCTCGGAAGTTCACCACAGGGTTTGGCATGCCGAAATCTGCACGCGTGTCAACCAAAACTGCGACTCCAAGTCGCAAGCGAATGACCTTTGCCACCCTTGAAAGGATTGCTGTCTCGAGCCGCTTGGCCGAGCTGGCCGCTGATCTGCTTGCCTTGGAATTGACTGCTGATATGTCAGTGTTTGTGTCCCAGGAGGCCAGCTGGACCTACTTGTCATCGAACCATTGCCTCATGGCTGCTGCTTCTGCCGCTGTCCGGAATTCCAAATAGACGAGACTGTGCGACAGCTCGTCAATCAGAGTCCTGTAACATCATCCACTGAGCGTCTTAACGGACCCTTTAGATTTGCCATTGACTTTGTGCTCGGAGTACGCGATCTTGCTATGATCAATTTGGATGCCGAGACTGGCGCAGAGCTGGCGTAGATCTTCATCTGATGTCCACTGAAAGCCGCCGATGAGTCATGTTGAGCCTGTATTGGGCGGCCGACTCACCCAGTGCACTTCTGAGATAGTTAGCGCGACTTGAGATGGGTCCAGTCGGCTTGCGACCTGCACCAGCGAGCATTCAATCGTGTTCCTGTCACAAAGGGTGCTGATACTCACTACGGGATCGAGAAAAGCTGGAAAGCCATTTGCAGAAGGTACGACACTGGGTTGTTGCTGCTGCTGCTGCTGCTGCTGTCTGGAAGGCACCGGTTGACCCGGCGCACCAAAGCTGGACTGCTGTTGCGGTCTTTGTTGAGGCGCGACGGGTTTGCTGTCTTCGACAATGTCTCCGTAGAGGTCGGCTCCCGTCTTTGACGGTCAAGGAGTTGGGGTCAGGGCGACGACAAGCGACAGCCAACAAGATTTGCGTGTCGATGCAGGGTACATTGTCGAGAGCATGCGAGAAAGCGGAACAACACGAGCGTCAGAACATTGTATATCTTACAAGCTTGCGCACCGCGACAGGGATAGGCAGAGAGGGAGCATGGGCCACTGCGTCGACAACGGCTGACAAAAAGAGGGCCGAAGAGCGGGTGCAATGTAAAGCACAAGAATGCGACTGTTGCGCATGTATCGGCAGCTCCAGAGACCAACACGTACGTCCAGACTATCCACATCGCCATAGATATCCACCTCATCTGCCATCACTGCCCGAAAAGAAGACCGCTCCGGCCAACAGTGGTCGAGATCTTGAAAATCGTGCCTTTACTGTGCAGCCCGCGCCAAAGGGGAGACACGTCGATAGTCGTTCCGCCCAGCGTGACCTCGAGACAGGCAGTGAGACTGAATTCGTACAGCGCATATGACCAAACGGCGATAGTCAACACGCAGGATGGCGGGTCGGCTTGGCAAGACAGTGGAGCAGATTGTGTTGCTGTTGCTGCGCGGCGCATTCTTCTATGTTGCGAGGCTGTACTTACGCCGTTCGCTGTTCCGAGACCTTCGCCAAGTCATTCGCGACGATCAGCTCAGCTCACAGCCACGTTCTCGATCTGCGAATGTTCATAGCAATGTGCGTACGCGAGTGACCGCCTTCGCTTGAGCTCAAAGCGCGACACAGGGATCGCGAAGCGCGTTGCAGACACCCGACCTTGGGCGACGCAAGAGCGGCACCCATGCTGTCTCACCTTACAGCGATGACGGATCTCCATCGCCAAGCTCGCCACTCAATGATAGAGGCTTGCGGTCCTACCCTTGGATGACTCCCAATATGTCCAGTGACCGCGCCGCTTCGGATTCCCTCTTGCCCATCTCGACGAGTACATCAGGATCCGTGACGCCCATACCTGGCGAAGGAGGACGAGCCAAGTCTACACAAAGCAGAACAGTCATGTCGCAGTTATCAGACGGCGTGTTCTGCCTATGCTTCTCGGAAAGCGCCACGTTATTCGCGCTCGTTCTGTCGGGAAATCTGTTTGACCAGCAGTCAGTCTATCAGTCGCGATGTTATATCGAGACTCAATGATGTGCGCCCAGGATACTCTACTTCAACTGGACGCTTTCACTCGGCGCCTTGCTGCTATTGATTGTCGTGCTCATCCCGCTGGCACTTTGCATATTGCTGACATACCGAAGAACAAGTCAGTCGCCCGAGCTCAGGCGCAGCATAAGCTCAAAGCAAAGAGCAGACATACGTACTGCGAATGCCCGTCAACTCAAAGTCACCGCCACGCTGACGCTCGTACCGTTTGTACTTTATCTGTTCGCTTTCTTTAAGCTCGGTGAGATGCTCGGCGATGCTTTCGGTGTGCAGCCTGGTCAACATACTTTTGGTAAGGGCCAAATACAGTGCGACGGCTGCAGTACTAAGGGCACGTCTTGGCAGGTGTCTTCAACTCGGTGCTGGAGCGGATTTGCGTGCCTGGCGTCTTGCTCATCGCTTCGCTGTCAGGCGCTGGCTGTGTCCAGACTGCTTGGGACGGTTACGAATGGCGAGCGCGTTATCGAGGGCGAGCTCGACTGCTGCACTGCCTCTTCGCATGCTGATCCATAGCAACGCGTACAGGATGGCTATCAGCGATCAGCATATCGTTGACGCGGAACGATCTTTGCAGCACACCCGGAGAGATCTCGCGGAAAGGAGGCAAGAGCTGGACGAAGCTGAAGAAGCAGCAGAACAGAGCGCCCCTCGCTCGCTTCTATCGAAGCTATGGAGTAGCGATCCTGCCTCCTCGAGTAGGGTTCTGCTCACCGCGCCTGAAGTTCCGCTAAGGAGGCTGAGCAGAATGCGCTGCGCTCAACGCGGAAGTGCAAGGCCTGTCTTCAATGGAGTACCAAATGTCACAGGACGTGCATTCGATGTACAAACGCAAGGAGGCGCAAGAGCTACAGAAGACACTCAAGGGCAAGCTTTGGGTGGCTACCAGCTGGCTATTCGTCGTCTACTGTGTCTGGCGCGTCCTTGTGGTCAGTCCGCCTGAAGCCCTCTGCTCAGCGACTCATGCTGATGGATCCGTAACAGTCAATCATCAATCTGCTTACACCATCGAGCAACAAGTCTGGAGGGACTACCAATGACTTCCTCACTTTGTTGCTGGCCAAGCTAGCCAGCGAAGTCAATGTCGACCTCGACGTGCACGCATGGAGTGCCTTGATCGGTCTGGCGCTCATAGGTGGCATTCTTGTCGCCAACATGCGATACGTGCTCGTGGCGATCTCGCGCGTCTTCAAGCGGACGAGCTCGGGCATCAGTACCAGCTTCATGACTCTGTTCCTCAGCCAACTGATGGTGAGTCAGCGAGCTCGGCTCCTTGAGCGCTGCTAACGCCGAGCGCAGGCGATATATCTGATTACGTCGATGATATCACTTCCGTCGGCACAAGCGAGCGACACGGATACGGCCACATCTCAGCTTTTGGCTTCGTTACCAGAAAGCTCGACCTTCAGGCGCATGTTCGATCTCGTCCTGCTCATAGCGGCCACGCTCACTTTTGCTGTCCGATTTATCGGTCGCAAGCTAACGACTGACGATGAGTACATGCTCGAAGGTCTTTCATCGCACGTCTAAGTTCCACAATCATGCTTTCTGTTGTTGCTACATTGTACATTGCCTCTCCTCTCCTTTGCTGCTATTTTCCGCTGATAGCTGCGTACAGTCTTTCGCCGAGATCGTCTTCCTGCAGCAATGTGCGATCTGCTAGGGGCGTGGCAGCAATGCTGCGCTCGTATGCAAGCATATCGTCTTGATCAGTCTGATCAGCGTAAATATCAAATCCGGTTGTGGTGTCATCGTCGGCAAGTACCGGCCCCACGCTGATACTTGTTGAACGATCTGGTCGTTGAAGCTTCGAGAATCGCTTCTTTGCTGAGGAAAGGCGCGCAGCGATCGCAGATGGCGGACGTCTCGTAGTCATTGGTGCTTGCGATGAACCTGGCGTGGTTCTTGACGTCTCAGGCGAGATATGTAGGGGGTCATGCTGCGGCGGGGCCTGCGCTGCGCTGCTGCGGCCGTCCAAATGTGATGTCTGCGGACGTCTACGGGATGAATCGACAGATGGCTCGCGGACACGAGTTGGCTCGCGGGTGATCGTAGTATCACGGCCGGATCGGCTTGAGTCTGGCTTCGGATCGAGTACGGTATCATCATCTGCAGCTATTGACGAATCGGCTTCGCTCTGTGCGTCCTCTGCCGAGGTCTCCGTCAGATATCGTTCTTCTTCTAGAAGTGGCGAGAAGTCGATGATATTTGAGCGCACTGCAGGCGTCGACATGGGTGCGGGCGAGAGACGTACGTCTGCGTGCGGCGAATCGAAATTCGGTAGATCGAGGGTATAGTCAAGATCGGCAGGCTCCTCGCTACAGTACCGTGTCGTTTTGCGATATGATCTGTTGAAGCTGGTCGTGCTCCTCGTCTTGCTGAAAGACTGTAATGTGTCATTAGGTGCAAGAGCAGCAGGCTTTGGTGGCGAGGGCGTGGACTGCCTGCTTGGCGTTGGAGACGCTTGTTGATCGTACGCTTCGAATGACTGCACTCTGGCTAATGGCTCAACCTCTCGAAGGACGCTTTGCGGAGGGCTAGTGACAGTCAGTCTCTCGCTGGTCGCTCCGGGCGCTAGTCTGGTCCGCACATGCTTATGCACTAACTGAGGGGATTGCACAGTTGTGACTTTAGCTGGAAGTCTGTCGACGACACTGCCCTGACGTGTAAGCTGTGCTCTGGCGACTAGGAGGCGAGCAGGCTGGGTATCGGGCAAAGGCACGACGCGTGGCTTTGTTGACTTAGTGAGAGGTCTCTGGAAGCGAGGTATATCTGTTTGCTCTTGTCTCGGTTGAAGAGGTCTAGCTTTTTGCGTGGGAGGTGCAAAGGCAGCCGAAGCCTTCATGCTCTGCTTGGAGAATCAGGATACAGCTAACATGCATACGCATGCAACGCTGACCTTGCTTGCGACTCGACCGATGGGACGTTCTCGGGCTCCCTTCTGGGCTAGCCTTGAATCCGTCTGAAGGCGGGGTGCTCTAGGCACGGTGAGCTGTACTACAGGCGCACTCTTGCTAGGCTGCGATTGAGCAAGCTGCGACTCTGCTAGGCGTTCGAGTGAAGTGACGGTGTCTTTGACTCTGTTCAGTCTGCCCAGCCGTCTTAGCATAGCGTCCTCTGTTCCCTCTGAGGAGACGAATCGGGCTGTCCTGATGCTGCTCGATTGGGCTGAAGGATTGGCATCTCGCAGGCGACGATTGAAAAGATCATCAGTCGAGGCTATCACTGTCCGCTGCGTCTTGCTATGACTCGCCTCGTCCATTCGGGCACGCTTGGTCGCGAAGCGTAGGTCTGGAGATGCAGAGGCACGCTTGCTGTCTGACCGGCCGGGTCTAAGTCCACTCGACGTGGATGCTTCGAGTGCCATTGGTACTTGTATAGGTCGCGAGATGCCGCTGAAGCCATTGGTCGGTGGCTCACTTCCGTCTTGTTCGACAGATCTGAGCCAGTCAAGCGACTTCCTGACTGCTCGCTGGAGATGACTAGATGCCATGCAGCAAGTCACGGCTTGTGACAACGCGTCGACCTTTCGACTCGTGACCGCGTGATCACGACCGGTCGTGACCGAGTTGCATGGTAAGTTTTGACGCGTCAAATCGCATAAGAAGGGCGCTTCCAACTTTTCTGCACTGCGCGCCGAACTTGTCAGCTTCGACTTCCGGAACAGTCAGCGACGACGACAACGACCATCGAGACGACGTCAGCACTACAGTATCATCACCAAGAAGACCAGCAGCAAGAGCG